TAAATTTTAATAAATTATATAAAAAATTACCGTATTTTAATTTTATTACCGGGTAAAAAAGAAATATAATAACATGATTATAAAAGTATTTAAATAAATATAATTATAAAAATAATTATTAAAAGTAAATATAATGTTAATTAATAATTATTAATTTATAGTTATTTTTTTAATTAATTATTAGTTAAATAATATTATTTTTAAAAGTAATTATAACTTTTATATAAAAATTATATTAAAAAAAATAACCATTTTAAAAATAACTTTATTTTTTATTATAACGGTTATTAATTAAATAAATATTAAGTTAATAATTATTATTACGTTAATAATCGTTATTAAATTTATATTAAAAAAAGGAAAAAAAAAAAAACTATCGTAATTTATTAAATATTATTTTAAGGTTTTTAATGTTTATTAATTAAAATTAATTAAATAATAAAAAGTTAAATACGAAACGTATATTTAAATAATAAATTTAATTTTTAAGGAAAAATTAACTTCGTTTTTAAAATATAATTTTAATTTTAATATTTTATAATTTAATTAATTTATAATTAAAATTATTATAACTTATATCGTTTAATAAATTTTTCGAATATATTTTAATTAATGTTTTATTTAAATTTTTATTAATTTAATTTATCGTAAAAAAATAAATTAAAATTAAGAACGTATAAGTTTAATAAAATTTCCGTTATATATTTATTAAATTATCGTTTATACATGTAATTATACGGCGATTTATACGCGGGGAAAAATATTAAAAATGCGTTACGTGATTTTACGCGCGAAAAAACAAATTTTATACCACGCGGGTAATATTACTTATAATAAATATTATAATTACGCGTTTAATTAAATAATTAAAATTAATTTATATATATTAATATAATATTTAAAGTTTCCTTATCGTTTTAATATATATAATATTATATAAAACGTTATATTCGTATTATAATAATAAAAAATTATATTTATTATTTTATTTAACTTTATTAACTTTATTAACTTTATAAATTAAAATCACGAAAGTGTTTATTAAATAAATATTTATATAATAAAAATAATATTTATATATTTTAAATTTTAAATATTTATTTAAATAATATTATTTATTTTTTTTTTAATTTTATTTTTTCATTTAGTTTTAAAATTTAAATAATATTAAATTTATTTATTATAAAAATATATTAAACTTATCGAGTTTATAATTAAACATAATCCCGAAATTCCTTATTTTCGATTAAATTATATATAAAAACCGTTTTTTTAAAAAATAAATTTTTATTAAAAAAATACGATGTTAAAACAACGTTAATAACGAAATATTTAAAATAAAACGAATAATAATATATTCACGAAATAATTTATTAAATTAAAACGTAACTTTAAAATATTTAATAATATATTTAAAAATAATTTTATAAAATAAAATATTTAAAAATGGGCTTATTTTTTTTAATATTTATTTAATAAATATATATTAATAAATTAACGTTTATTAAAAGTTTTTAATATATATTATAACCCATTCCACGAAGAAATTTAATAAATAAAAATAAATTTACTTAATATATTTTTTTAATTAAATTAATATAATTAATTTAAGCCTTAAATATTATCGTATTAAATAAAAATAAATGTAAACGTAATTATCGTTTATTATTTAATAACGTTTTAATTTAAATATTTATTTACGGCATTTATAATATAATTATTTCAAGTTTAAATTTAACTAAATTTAAAAATAATTACCGTTTTATATAAAAAAAGTATAAAAAACGTTTATTTTACCACGTATAATAATATAATAAAGCTAAAAAAATTAACCGTTCGTATAAAAATTAATTAAATATATAAAAAATATATAAAGAATATATATTTAAATATAATATTAATTTATATATAAAAAAAGTAAAAACATTTTATAACATTCGAAAAATAAAATAAACTTTATTAAAAAAATTCTTAAACTTTATAATAAAATAAATAAATTAAGTTTATAATTATATATTAATTATATTTATTAATTAACTTATAAATATACTTTAATATAAAAAAATATTATTATTCACATATTTAAGTTAAATTAAGAATATTTTTCGTTATTATTATACTTATTTTAATAATTAATTAAATAATTTTAATCGAATTATTTAAAAAAAAGCTTAAAATTAATATAAAATAAAAGAAAATTTAAAATGTTATTATTATAATTTATTAAACCATGTTTACATTTTATAATTAAACGGTTACGGTTTAAATTATTATTAATTTTTTAATTAATTATAATTATAAAGATTAATATTTTTATTATTATTTAAAAACTTTTAACCGTTATTTATTTATTCGAAAAAAATATTTTAATTTAATTTTTTATTAAAGTTATTTACATTATTATTAAAAAAGTCGTTATTAAAAACCATACGATTATTTTTATTATTTTAAAATATATTTAATTCGATTTTATTTATACGAGGTTTTTAAAAAACTTCGATTTTTTTTCTTTTTCTTTTATAAACGAAAATATGTTTTTTTTTTTAAAACTATTTTCTTACGACCGAAAATAATCCTTAATATTTAATATTTTATTTTTTATTTTTCACTTTTTATTTATTAAAGTTAAAACGGTATAAATTATTATTATTTATTTTTACGCGATATTAAAAAAATAAAAAGAATTTAATGCGTTTAAATAAAAAAATGTTTAATTTAAAAAAAAACTAAACGAAAAAAGTAAAAATAAACTCGCGGGAAACGACATATATCGAAATATATTATATATTATAATATTATATTATTATTTAAATAATTATTAAAACGTTTTTCCCGTTCGATTTTAAAACATAATAAAATAATTAAAAAAACTTATTATTTTAAAAAATAAAGTTATTACATTTTTATTAAATACGTAACGAATTTATTTTAATATAAATATAATATTATAAACGTTTAATTCGTGAAAAGAAATGTTATTAATTATAATAATAAACTTTTTCATATTTTTTAATTTTATTTAATTTTTATTAATCTTCGAAATTACATGCCTCGTTTTTAATTAACGAAGCGATATAAATTATTTTTAACACCGTTATTATGTTTAAATTATTTTTTAAAATTTTTTTATAATTTTAATAATTTCGACGGGAATTTTTAATAAAAAAAGTTCGAGTAAATGAAATATTAATTTATTAAAATATATATTATTAAATTTTATTAAATAAAAAAATTAAAGTTTAATATTAACGAATATATTTTTTTTATCCCGGTATTTTAACACGATAAAATAATACGTTTTATTTATTAAAATATTATTTTTTAATATTTAAATAAGTTTAACGTTATTATCGTAAATTAAATTTAAATAAAAACCCGGGTATTCGTTAATAATTTTCGAAAGTTATTTAATTAATAAATTATTAATTAATAAAATATTAATTAATGAATTATTTCGAAATATACGAACTTTATTAATATTTTTTTTTCGTTAAATATTCCTAATTATAATATATATTAAATTAATTAAATTATAATAATAATATTACGTTTTAAAACGATTAAATTAAATAAAAATAAAAATTAATATTATTATTTTTACGTTCGAAAAATGTATATATAATAAAATAAACGTAATTTTATAAATAAAATTATATATAAATTATATACGTTACGTAATTTATTTATAATTAATATTTTAATAATATAATAAAAATAATAAACGATATTATATTAAATACGTTTATAATTAATAATTATAAACTTTAATATTTTATTTTAATTATAATAACCCGAATAATAAATAAATAAAAATGCTTTATTTTATTTTATTTACGAAATTATTATCGGGAAAAAAAAAAGTTATTAATTTTTTTATTACACGTTAAATGTTCGAAATTACTCGTAACGTATTATTATTAATAAAAAAATAATATATTTAATAAAATAAAACGAAAATAAAAAATATAAAATGTTATTATTAATAATATTTAAATAATAAAAATAATTAAAAAGTTATTTTATTATAAAAATTAAAATTAAATATATTTATAACCCGTATTATTTTAAAATATAAGTTTACTAAATTTAATTAAATTATATTATAAATATAAATAAATTTATTTAAATATATATAATTTTTTAATTCATTAATGAAAAATATTTATAAATATATATATATATAAAAATAATATACTGCTTTTATATGCATAAAGTAAAATGATTTAACGGGATGGCGGATCTTACGGTTATCGTCCAACGTAGTACCTATGGACATGTACCTAGGGAAAGGAAGAATCTTGTACCTGCCCGACCCCTACCTTAGGCATACCTAAAAAGGTTATGGAGCTGGAGACGATTGACTGGATGGAGACGCTAGGATACCTGGTCCGTGCATCCGATCCGCACACAGAAAGCCGCCCGGCGTTTCGGAGCTACAATAGGATCCGGAACCTCTCTCTTTACTGACTTTTTGTCCCCTAGTCTAACAGTTAACTCCTTACATAGATGTACTTAAGTCCATCCTCCGTCTCGCTGATTTACATGCCTCGGCAATGTATCTCTTATTCCTTCATCTTTTCTCCAATAGGATATAATCTAATATGAGTTACCTACCTGGGTATATCCTCTTCCAATAAGTATCTTATTGTATCATTGATCCTTTCATTTACTTATTACAGCCGTGAGTACATACATACAGCGTATGCAGAAGTACCTACTCGCATACTCGCACCCTCACACCAGTTGGTTTTAAGGCTGAGACGTGGATCTGCTTGTCCCTTGACACCGCATCCGAATACTTAAGTAGTTTGGTTTGTTCGTCCCACGATGACGATTGAACTATCTTACCAATGACCCTAGCAACTCTTCAATGGGGAAAGAGTAGGTCACTTGGAAACACACTGCGAAGTTCATATTTGTGTACCCTTTTCGTGGCGCAAAAACAAACGTAGAGGGACACGTGCCGTTACTTATACTACCTAGGTCTTCAAGTTGGTTAGTAATCTTAGAACAAGCCACTCACTCCGAATCGGTCGAGATATTTGTAATATCAGTAATGGCGCCATGCTGAATAGTACAACTATAAATCTAGATTCATTTATGTAGCTTCTCTATCCTAAATTTACTCCCACTCCCATGTTAAAAATTCTCAGGGGGGCATCGAGTGCTTACCAGGTAGTTATAGTTGCAATATTTAGAATTTCTGTGTTTCGATATGCCTGAAACGTTTGGACCGGCTTTCGAGGGCCAGTCTCAGCCGCTTCTGAGTTTCGGGTTGCCATTGACCGAATCACTCGTCAAGCATGCAGATGATACTTTCCATGCATCTCGAATTTATATTATCTGTTCTAGATCCCTTGCGAGAAATACGACATATCTTGACGACCTCAAAGAAGTTCTAGGTGATAAAGTTGCTGGTGTCAGGGTCGGTCTGAAACCCCATTCCCTCTGGTCGGAGATACTGGAAATCGTGGAGGACACAAGGAATTGTGATACAGACTTGATAGTTACATTGGGCGCAGGGAGTCTAACAGATTCAGCCAAGATAATATCATTTGTATGTGTACATTCTAGAGCTGATAATGTTCAGGGGTGCCTAAAGATTCACAGAGCTAAATATGTGTTTAATAGGCTCTGGCAAACAACGTCTCGACACATGCTGAACTAGATACCCTCATGCCAACAAGCTCTCGGAAACGCGACGATATTAAGCCATCGAAGGTACCTGTTGTCTGTATCCCAACATCTTTATCTGGCGGCGAATATTCTGCCTTTGCCGGAGCGACGAATGACGAGACAGGACAAAAACACACTTTTTCAGGTGCTTTAAAAAGCCCTGCGTTGGTCATCCTCGATCCGGAGCTTGCTACAACAACCCCTGAGAAAGTTTGGTTGAGCACCGGTATCAAGGCCGTTGATCACTGTGTAGAGACTCTTTGTTCTCTAAAAAGCGACGACGCAGCGGATCGAGATGCCAGACACGGTTTGGCTAAGCTTATCCCAGGCTTAATAAAGACCAAGCAAAACCCCAACAATCTTGAGGCACGGCTAGAAACCCAATTGGGAGCTAGAGATGCTATGAGCGCAGCTACTCGAGGCGTACCGGTAGGAGCAAGCCGTATGTATATCTTGAGTCTCCTTTATTCCAGTCTCTATTATCTGTTTTCTCTGTATCCTTTAGAAACCACAAATTTATAGGGCTAATGCTCATATGTTGAGATGTTCCTTAATACCGAAAGAAACGGTAATAGCTGACTTTGATTATGCAGATGGTATTGGTCACCAATTGGGTCCCGCAGGTGTCAGTCACGGCGAGACTAGTTGCATTCTGAACCCTGCCGTGTGCAAATACAATTACAAAAAGGGTGCAAACATTGCACGACAAGATGCCATCAGCGAACTCCTATGGGGAGACTCCAAAGCTCGTGAGATCTTTGAGCAAAAGAACTTGAATAGGGATACAGCTGATCTGGGTGACCTAATGGATGCCATCATCCGTGCTCTTGGATTACCAAGGACGCTTAGGGAGTTCGGAATCGGGGAGGATAGACTTGACCGGATCGCTGAGCTTAGTTTGGAAGATCGATCGACTAAAACCAATCCAGCGCCCCTAGACAAGGAAGGCGTTCTCGATATCTTGAAAATGGTACTCGAATAAGTTGTGTTCGCAATTAGTCTTGTCTCATATGGAATAGGATAATAAAATGAATCAATGCCCCATCCCATGCTCCATGCTTAGAACTACACGTATTAGCCTTTGCAGCTAGTTTAATATCAACGGACCATAACTGTCAAAATATGCTGAGCCTCTTGTCATAGCAAACGGTATCACGCCTCTGGTCCAGAATCTACTTTCTCAGACTGTCGAGGCGGGCTTGGAGGTCATCGTCACCAGGATCTCCTCCGCCGCCACCACTGCTAGGGCCGCCGATGGCTTGGGCGATCCGACTATCGGCAACTTTCTCGCCCTGGAGGCCCGTTGGAGTCTCTCCAAACTATTTCGTGTTAGATAGGATTAAACGACACGGTTGGTGATGTACTTACGGCTTGGTTAAGATCGACACCGATCTCCTCCAAAACTTGTTCTACAACTTCATCGCCCTCCTCCTCTAGACCCACATCCATGGCGTCGTCGATCGCATCATCCATCATTTCCTGCCTTTCGTCCATGATAGCAGTCTCTCGTTCGAATTCCATAGCGATACGTTGTAGGGCGGGTAAATTCATAGATCGGTTCATGCTGCCAAGAGCCACCGTGGCTCCTTTCATAGCTTGCATCATTTGTTCGTTTGTTCGATGCGTCTACGATGCATTTTTGTTAGTAGAATGTTACGAATAAGTACTCGACGATGATTTACCTGTAGTCGCAATGATATCTTCTGCAGCTGGCTCCTCATTCCGTAGAACTTCTCGACGTATCTGTACCAGAGTTATAAATTGTTAGCCAGATCTCCTACCTAAAGCTTGTAATGACTAAACAGCCGTACCTCCTCGTACGGACGAGATCCTTTGCTTGGATTTTGGCCGCTCCCATCTGTCCTTTTTGCGCACTCTGTTTAATCTGGCCGACGAGCGTCTTCTCTTGCTTCTCCAACTTAACTCGTACTTGGTCTAATTCTCGGATTGCCTTGTCGATCATGCGCTGGTTTTTGCGCAAACGCTCCGCGGGCGTTATACGCTTGCCGAAGGCCCATTCAATAATCTAACATTAGATAATCAGCCACCCGTCGACATAAAATTGGTTTCTATGTCTTGTCTGATTTATTCGGAAGCTTACATTCATGGCTACGAAATCGAGAAGCTTCGTCTAGGGGTTGGATTCTGTTGAGTTCGTAGGTTGTAGTATATGATAGTTGGCTACCAAAGAGAAGTCCAAGGATTCCGGATGGCGGAAGATATATCGATACCTTGATTTGGTATGGCAATAGAAGCCTTGGGAGGTACGGGTCGTTCTTGTTCAGTGGGAATTATGTTGCCTGGCAGATGATGATTGATGGAAACCTTGAGTACTCCGTACATGATTGATCAACAAGTGACGATAGGTGGTACCTAGTTAAAGAAGATATGTAACTATCACGATTTCGTTAACGTTCTACAATTGCAACTAATGGATACAATTACATAATTAATTATGCAAGTATGGGGAATGACATAGACATAGTCCGTGCTGGGTTTAGTGCTCACCAAGCTTCGTTACCCTGGTCCCATTGAATCTGGTAAGCTTTTAGCCAATTAGAAGATCTTATCAATCAGTGGACATACCGCAATTTCGCCTCAGCGTTCAATTAGAAAAAAGTATCACCACCCACCCAACGCACCCCAACCTAACACATCATTCATCCACCCAGTCGACCCAGCCCACCTAACGAACTACATACCAGACTCCGCTCACGATTTTCGAAAGCCGGTGACGCTCATGAGTTCGACATTTTAATCAACCCGATTAGTCAGGAATATTTTACCTCTATGGGTAAAGGCAAGGGAAAGGCCCGCCGCGGTGGGCAAAACCGCGACCAGGACGACACACCGACTCCGCCCGATTCCGGACGGCCAGCCTATATGACTGTCGGCAACGGATCGACGTCAGAACATGCCACAAGACTACAGTCGCTCATAGACGACGATTCAGGATACGGTGGTAGCCTCATAGACGGCGATTCTAGCTCTTCGAACCGACCATTTGGCTCCCAACGAACCGATCCCACATTATCGCGAGATATGCCTTTCCATCGTCAATCTACCGGTAGTCCGGAGACCGATCACCGAAACCAAGCTGCCGCCGTTCATCAGCTATGGTACAACAAACACCAGGCAGCTTTAACTCGATCAATCAGCCGAGTTGTCGAGCTTCTCAAAAATCTTCAGGAAATCAATATTTCTTGGCCCGCACACTATCCTTCAGTCCAACGAAATGACCCCTCTTCCGACCGACCCGGATCGCGCCCTGCATTGCAGCATGCCTTCTCTGCTGCCGGAGAATTAGCTGGCGATCCATCCTCTCCATTTCACCCTCGACCATTAAGACGATCCATGACGACTGTTGAAGATGCTGAAGCCGAATCTAGTCGAGATGCCGAGAACAAGAGCGTAATCGATAGCCCTAGACTGTTCACTCCGCAGATCGCTCAAGAGTTTTCGGTCTTGAAGTTGGATCTCAAGTTAGGCGCTTTACACCAGACCGAACTTGTTCATTCGCTCGAGAAAGGTTCAATCGCCGCGCTGCTCGACGGTAAAATTAGCTCCAGTATTAAACATCTATTTCTACTTCGCGAAAGAATAGAGGATACCTCTAGCAAGGTTTTGGTGACTGGAGATCTTAATGCTGGAAAGTCTACATTTTGTAACGCCCTGCTACGTCGCAAGGTGCTTCCAGAAGACCAACAGCCCTGCACCAGTATCTTTTGCGAAGTCTTGGATGCAAAGGAAAATGCAGGTGTCGAGGAGGTTCACGCGGTTCACATGAATGCGATCTACAACCGGCACGACGAGTCGACCTATGACGTTTTTCCCCTCCAGGAACTAGAGAAGATTGTCCTCGATAACGAAACATACATGCAGTGCAAGGTTTACGTTAAGGATGTACGAACCATCGACGAGTCGTTGCTCAATAACGGCGTGGTTGATATTGCGCTAATCGATGCTCCGGGACTCAATTCCGACACGACAAAGACGACAGCTGTATTCGCGAGACAGGAAGAAATCGATGTGGTCGTCTTCGTAGTTTCCGCTGCAAATCATTTCACTCAGTCTGCGAAGGAGTTCATCTGGGCTGCTGCGTCGGAGAAGGCATACATCTTCATGGTTGTCAACGGCTATGACCTTATTCGAGACAAGGAACGATGCCAGAAATTGATCTTAGACCAGGTATACGGCCTAAGCCCCCGTACATTCAAGGAATCGAGCGAACTTGTGCACTTTGTATCCAGCAATGCAATCCCAACAGCTCCATCGCCCCCCGGCGGCCCGGACGGAGGGGGGAGCGGGAGCTCGAGCGGAAATGGAGACGACCCTAGTGATGACCCTAAAGGAAAAGGCAAGGAGAAGGAAAAGGTTGAAGATTTCAAGAAGCTAGAGCAGTCCTTACGGCGATTTGTCTTGGAGAAGCGAGCACGCTCCAAACTTGCTCCCGCCAGAACCTACCTACTCAACATCCTCAACGATCTCAACGTACTTGCCACTGTCAACAATGAGGTAGCTCAGTCTGAATTTGATCGGGTCGTCGGAGAGCTAGAAGAGATCGAACCTCAACTTGAATCTTCTCGCAAAGCAATCGCCGCGGTTGGTGATGGTGTGGACCAAACTATCGAGGGAACATGCAAGGATATCTACGATCACACTCGGGTTTCTCTCAACTCTGCAATTGCCAATGCCGGCGAAAGCAATCTCGGTGTGCCCTACCACGGTCTGTTCCACGCTTTTGATTACGCCGAAGATATCAAAGAAGCAATGCTATCCAAAATTGCGGAATCTGTCACGTCTTGCGAGGATTATGCCCGGACGAGAGCTGTCGATGGCGTAAACGTCATCAAGCAGCTTGGTTTATTGCATCTCGGCAACGAATATCATGACCTGAACTTCCGCTCCGATGTCATGTTCCGAAGAAGGCGCGACGTGCTAGCGAAGCAGGTCGATGTACCTACTGAGCTGTTGGATTTCGTTGATTGGTCGTCTCTTATGCAACGCCAAGAAAAGATGGCTGGCACGGGTATGGCCCTGACAGTTGCTACTGCCATTGGCGGGCGCCTGGTTGGTGGTATGGGATGGATGGACCACACATTGAACGTTGTGAAGATTGTTGGCAACGACAACCTCCGAAAGTTGATCATCCCCGGTATCGTTCTAGCAGGTATGTTCTATCATAGCATATTATTTCCAAGTTGAAGCTAATTATTCTCCTAGCCGTCTCAGCCGCAGCTTATGTCATCCAGCAAATACCTCATTCGCTGCCTCATCGTCTCAACAGCAAAATCTCGGCACAGCTGGCAGAAATCGATTATGTCCACGCAAACAGCACTCGCATTTCAGGTTCTGTGCGCAAAGTTCTCCGCTTCCCTGCGGATAACCTTCGGGTAGACTTGACACGTTCCGTGGAGCAACTGGGTAAACGCCGAGAGGAAACCCTAAAGGTCCGTGGTGAAAGTGAGGTGGCCCTCAAGTATTTCGGAAACCTCGTACGAGAGAGCGCCCATCAACGAACCTTCGTCGAGGATATAGATCTCGAGGCGCATCCTCACCCTCAAGGAGGCCCCGGTATGAGCATTGCATGAGACAAGACTTCTTTATCTGTGTGGCATAGGAATGGCGTTTAGGGAAACACAGTCGAATTATGAGCATGCCATTTTGTTTGTTCCGGAGATTGTCATGTTTCACTCCTTGACGGCCGTGACGGATGAGGGATGATTATGAAAAGGGGTCAATAAAAAAAGTTGGGAAGAGTGAGGTAGAATGGCTAATGGTTCTCAGGCGTCCAGAATCAATCGAAGGCAGAATGAGAACAGAAGCTCTACTCTTCCATGCGTGGTTTGTGGTTTGTGGTCTGTGGTTTGTTTTACTCCCTCCTCGATTCACTTGTACGTATTCTCTAGCTTTACTAAAATGATGACCCAAAATTAGGATTTTTACAAATGCAGACCTTCGTAAGGAAGACGTATTTCGAGACATGACATATTAGACCGTGACCTCGCTGTTTACCCGGGTAGGCATAAATAATGTCAAAAACACAGACTTAATAGAAATTATGTCTAGTCCTATTTCTCCGGAAGGTAGGTGTATAGAAGTGTTCGAGATTTTTTAAAAATCCGAGTATAGACCCAAAATGCCTTTTTCATACCCGAGTTCAAGGTCTAGCTATTCTTTTAGATACATTTCTAGCCTCGTAATTATGACAATGGCACTGGCATGTGACGCCTCCTGGTGCCCGTTGTTGTTCTTCAGAGTATACATATGATAATATTGGACAAATATTGAAATGTTAGCCAATAATTACCTATGCCATAAACAATTTCTTTCCAGCAACTACCTTGACATTTTCAACATCCTAGATGCTTGATTTGAAAATAGCAAATTTCTACACGATATATAATATGAAACGCCGCTTTGATTGTTACTTCAATTCCTAATTAAACAACGTTAAAGGCATAGTCTACAAGAAAATGTTGTTCATATTCCGGTCGTCATACTCGGCCAAGATTTTCCCATGAATGTTGAATTTATCGGAATTTACATTTATTATCTTAGGTACTATACTATTGTAATTACACATTCTGAAGAAAGTTAGCAAGTGGCCTCATATTTTAGCCCTTTGTTTTCTAATCAACCAGATACGTATTATTCAGATGGCGATGAAGGAGACAGTCCTTGGTTCAGCTGGGGAGCATCGAATGATGATAAATAACGACTGTTATTTATTATTTGCGGGTATGGGGTATTTGATGAATTTATCTTGAAATCGCCGGTTAGGGAAGATTCCATAAACCAGAATACGAACATCTTTCTTAACAACAATGATAACTTTGCTCCTATTAGTACTAGTTCAATACAAGCACATGTTATTTAGAGATGGGGACGAATTCCAGCCTAGTAAATCGAAGATAGAAGATCAGGTTCGTTAGAAATTTACTAGTTGGAACCGCCATCCATGGATCACATATCAAATTCCTCGAGGCTCTCGCCTACCCCTTTTCCTCTACTTGTATACGTGTTCCCAAGCAACGAATTAAGATGCTATCCTCGCCACTCTGCATTTATTTGAGAACAGGCTCATCTAATTATATCCATTCTCCTATCATTCGCATATCGCCGCAGAGAAATAACAATAAAGGGAATGGCCTCGTGTGATTTCATACTAACAGCGGCGCAATCAAATCAGTATAGCATTAGTAATTTAGTTTAAATTTTGATTGGCTGCGCCCCATCGCACACCGTACCACCTTGGCCAGCTCGAAGTTTGGGACGAATGTATGAGCAGGACTTAGCATCTCCTGTAGATCAACAAAGGCAATATTTGGCAATATTTGGCGGGAACACTTAGCGAGATTACGAAATCAAGACTAGTTAATGGGTTCCTGTGACCCCATCTCTGCGCTTTGAGGGATTATACGGAGCTTGCGAAGAGAATTCGGAGGCACGTGGAAGGGTTTCGACCCCTCTCGCGAAATTTCAGCATGCGGCTATAACACAACCGGACTTTTGTTATTAGCACATGGGCGGTTGGTTCTTACATACATGCCTAGGTAGTAGAACAGGTAAGCTTGCACATGCATGTAACTTAGTTACCATCCCCTTGGAGACAAAATTCTGCAGGCTCTGCAGGGCTTAGCTAAGAGCGGCTATGATAAATGCAAGAGCGGGAGGATGGCATCCCAGTGCCGCGGCTAGCGTTATCTGCAACTCAATGTTCAGCTCGCGGTCGCTTTCGAGATAGCGTCAAGATGAAAAATTACTTCAGTAGGACTTCCATGACCACGTGGTGCAATTAGGTATCACGGATCCGGAATAGTTATCTGGATAATGAGGGTTAGGGCAAGGGAAGAATTAATAGCATGACGAAGATTGGGAATCAAGCGAAACTAACGAATTGATAAGATCCAAGATCCTTGACTTTAAAAAGGGTATAATATCGATAGGACCGATGCGAATACTCCTCTTCTTTTCATTAATGACTAAACAGAAAGTGATGAAAGTGATGAAACTCACGATGTTGGACATAGTATCCAAACTTATCTCGTGTTCGTAGAAGTACGGACGAACTCAATGAGGCATAGCCGGAGGTCCGGGTGACATTCCGTCTGGGGACTGATCCCTGGGTAAGAAGTTAAATCTCATGGAATCACGTCAACTGCTGGGGATGTATGTAAGTTGGTTACATTCTGCAGGAGCACTGTGTACTGTAGCACGCGGAGCCAGGGGATAATTCGCATATTCCGCACTGACATGTAACCTCGCAGCCCTCGTTCCTTCTTCAAATTTGGAACAACAGATTTACGCAGCTTCCATTTTCCAAAATCGCTTGGCATTTCTGCGGGTCTGGGCGTTTGTGTTCCCACGACCCCGGCTCGGCCCGCTCCTTGCTAACCTCGAAATCGGAACAGAAGCTTCGGTCACTAGGTAGGAAGCCGGAAATATTCACAGGAAAGAAGTGGCGAGGTTACCTAGTACGTAGTTTCTATTTGGCAAGGAAACCAACACTAGCGGTGACGACGATCGTATTATCTCAGCTACTAATTACTACACAGTCCTAACAGTCCTACATATCTATGTATTTATGACAAATCACAATTTACACTTCCCGCTCGTCCCGTTGACCTTGTTTGCCCGCCTAGGAACCAGGTGTCTTAGTGATTGACTGGGTCTCTGTCCGGAACAGGAATCGAAAGCGAAAAGCATACCCGGAGTTCAGGAAGAGAACCCTGCAACTATAACCGATATGCAGCAAGGTATCTAGGTAGTATCTGTAAGGACGTGCCAACATCGGATGGCGTCAACTTTTCTCTGTAGCCTAATTGACGACCTCGCATGCGGTTTCATCTTACGTAGGTACGGATGGCTGGCTACATGTCTCACTCAAAAGTTCCTACGGACATTATACTCTTCGTACCTAGCCTTATCAACGACGAAGCAATTCTGGAACAATATAGACAAAAGTTCACACGTATGAATCTCAAAGTTCCAATGCAACCAGGGCCATGTAGTTTAAAGAATCTAAGTTGTTTACTATGTAAAAAGAAAATGATGATGCATGGTGGTATACCTAGTAGTTGTCCAGTTATCCTAACGCCGACCCAATGTGTTCAAAGCACTATGTTAAGGGAACCATCCTCCTGCAAGCACTGCGCCATTCCATAACGCCTAGATTCCAAACTCCATTGTAGAACACCAGTAATGAAATAACGACACCAGTTTATAAACGATTGTGTATCTTTGCTTACTTGTGCATCATCAGGGGTCATCTCAGTGAGAGACGCTGCTGCGTCTTCGAACCCCTTCATAGCTTTTTGCAGTGCGATCTCGATATCTTGAGTAACCGTATCGAGATTCTGCTTTTCCGGATCGCAGTTCTTGAACATCACGGGGACCAGGTTCAAGAGCGATGCTTGTGCCTGGGGACCAGTCGTCAGCATGCCTGTGAAAATCTCATATAACATTGGTGGGGTGGGCTTACTATTTCTTTCTGGACCGAGTATATGTCGTTAAGAATAAAACATATGACGACGGTCTCCTTCCAAAGAGCCCTCATAGCTGCGGACTCCATTATAGACTCAGGTAACCTGACTTTGAGCATGGCGCTATAGAAAGTGTGAGTAATAGACCTTACGGGATTGGTTATTCTTCGCACTACTCACTCTGTAATGGCTATTTGAGGGGCACATCCAACAGAACCGGATCGAATCTCGGTGTATTTGGCCACAGTCGGGATGTCACCCCTCATGCGATGGACGTGTTCCACACCTACCTGAACCATGAAGCTCTCCAGTTCCCGGTAGAAGCGTTCTCTTTGGATCTTGTCTGTAGTAGCACGCATTCCACGACCGACATCGGCAAATAATGCCATGTTGGGGTGTAATGACTGATCATCCTCGAATACTTGCTCCTTGCCCTCCTCGCTGGGATCAAGACCTAGCAGGTTGTGGATGGTGCTCAGAGATTTCTTGTAATAGGCTCTTGACAACTCTTCGTCGTTCGACACGTCAGTGTCTCCTGCGTCGACCTCGTCGTCCCACACGAATATCCACACAGAGTAGGCCGCGGCTATCTCAAGCTCGGGCCATTCTGCGTCAGGATACCAGCTAAGCAGGGTTCAGGCACGTTAGAACAAGAAAAAAAAATTCCCAAGAAAAAGTTTGGGGGAGGACTGGGGTAGACCGCCTTACAGGGAGATGAGACGGCCAAAGTTAGCCTGCTTCAGAGCCTTGAGCTTCTTCTCATTGGTGATGATGCGCTCCAACAACGTGTCAACTAGGACCTCAAGCCTCTCCGCGTGTGGGTTCGCGGCTAGCGGCCAGTCTGAGAACACCTTCCATAGGTCTGGAAGACGAAAGGTTTTGCCATCGAGCTGAGAAGCTAGGACCAGCGCTTCACCGCAAAGTCCCTGCTGTTTGGCTTTGGACTTCTCGGAAATGTTCTGGTCTGTGTTCGACGCCAGCCGGGGGTGAGGAAACAATATAGAAAGCAGCTTAGAATGTGTCCGCCGCGCGAGACGTATAAGAGTAGTTGTCATCATCTTGTCGAAGGTCTCTTTGGTTGTTGTCTGTCTTTGGCTTATAGAGGAGGTCTTAGAAGGAAATTGTCCATGAGTACTGGATAGGGATGAATATATCGACCAAGTATCTCGGGAAAACCTCTTCTTCTATATGAGTGAATAGGATGGGGCTCTCCTGTCCGTTGGGACTCAATACAGTAGTCTAAAACTAAAAACTTGGCTAAATCTTTCGTACGAAAGTGATAACTGGCCGACGAAGACAACCTTGAAATCTCTGGAGACCACAAAACCGCCAATCTTGCGAATCTAAGCAACAAAGGTTACCCATCGGTATCACCTAATGCGGCGTGACGTCTAGGAATGGCAAGACTACATGCCACTCCTGGAAGTCGATAGTCGAAGAGGATTAGTCGACATGCTTCAAAAAGCCGCATGAGAGGCGTAAGCAGGAGGATCCTTCGTGACCAGGCCGCTGGTACGGTCTAATCTGTTGTCCCATGGGACACCACGAGGCTATTGTTGCCCACTTTACCGGTCCGGTTGCGGGAAGTGTTGGACGGGTTCGATCGGACGTAGTATCCTGGCCCGTCTCGATATCTAGAAAGTTACTGGAAGCGTCCAATGATGAAGCGTACTGTCACATCCATAATGTAAGTTGGGTTACATAAACTTCATAGGAGTCGATAGTAGGAAGCTACTTCGCACACCTAGGTAAGGTTTAGGGGCTAGTTGGAACCAACCATAGGTAAGTAACGGTCCGGCGACGGCTACTAACGTTATGCGAGATAGGTAACCAACATTCGATCATTGGCCAAGTATAGAAGGCCGGGAAGAACATCCACTTCCATTGTTCTTTTTACATAGTACAGTCATTAATCGCCGACTAAGCAGCTAAGGATCCGAATCCGCCATTAGGCCATCTTTCAGACGGAGATGACAAGATACTAACAGATGTTAAGCAGGAAACGACATCAGAATGGCTGACTAGCGTATGGCTAACGTACAGCTAACATACAGCTAACATACATAGTGTATTGTATGGTGGTATGACGACTACATGGCGATATAGAACAGCCTTGCCATATTATGATATAAGAGAGGCTCTGACGAACTTTGAAGCATGTATGTTAGTCCGAGCTTTTCGTCTTTGATTGGTTCAATGTAACGTCAATAAAGCTTACCCGCAGAGCTATTGAAGACTCTTTATATTGATAGATTGGCACTGGCAGATTAGAATTTCGAAAGCAGTGAGCAGCGTCATAAGTCCGACGGTGCATAAAACATAAGCTTATACACTTCTCCTGACATTTCCCCGTTTTGCCCCAGGTCTGTCCAGGTCTGCCTCCGAGCACTCGCGGTTGCCATAATAGTGTAATAGTCCTAACCCTTGGTAAGAGTTTTATGATAATCGGGGCGTTGACAGGGGAAATCAGTCCCGAGGCCCACTACGGAATTTAGGACTGAGTGTGCGTGGGGATACTCTGTAGTGTTGGTAGTGTAAGGTAGGATGGCGGATAGGGCGGAGTATAATACAGTGTATGGATACTGTCTTGATAGACCCTGAATTTTTATTTTTTCTATCAGGTTTTCCTCTTCCCTCGGGTGTTGGCGATTTGTCTCAGATTCAGATTCGGCATATGGCGAAATTTCATAGAAGATGGAGAAATAAGAAATATGGGGACATCGTCGTGTGCTGCGAGATAGATAAGCGAAGTATTACAAGACAGGCGAACTTCAGACGGTCAGGTGATCATGATTACGGAATCTGGGACAGGCGTTCCGATGTTACGAAGCAATTTCACGTGGTAGTCTTAGGGCAAAGGGTACATGGGTCAATATGACCTGTTCGGTGTAGAATATGTATACCCCTGTTTCAAGATACAATACGCCAAATATTACACTAACATCCAGATGTGGGTAATAGCCCTGAGGTAAAGTTTTGGGCAAGGTTCCAAGGTACGAAGTACTAGTAGGTACATAACACGGGACGCAACGGGACCACGGTGATTTCGTAAGCCCGTATTATTCATAATATGGGCATAAAGTGGGCATAACTATTCCACATTAAATATGGGGCGTACATTGATGTCTTAGCCCCGTCCCGTTCCGTCGTAGTCTTTCGTAATATCCACCTAGCACCACCTTCGTCGTTCTGGCCAGACGCAAAACCGTTAGAAGGGCATGCTGGTCGTCTGTCAATTTCTATGTGATAGGTTCAGCCATGCGCTATGTATGCATTGTACATCATATGAAAAAGGTTCGGTTACATAACCCCAGGTAGTCAAGGCAATCCGGGTAAGTGATCTTCATATTTCCATTTCTTTGGGTGCGGGAACAAATAACATACGACGGGTAGATGATGACATGCAGTCTTGTTGTCATGCGTGTTCCAACAGATTCGTTGACGGATACATGTTCGCCAGGTAGACCATTGGCCAAGACGACGTCTAGCTGGTCTGGCAGTCTGGCTAGTCCAGGTGTCCCATTTTAATACATACTATTGTGCGGTCGAGAAGCCCTGAAGCTGGGCTTGACAGGCCTGACAGGCGGATAGGAGGCATGGACATGGGTATGGATTATGGGTATTGTGAACTTATGTCGGGATGGGTTCTTATGGGCTATTTGGCTCTTTGGCAGCTCCGCAGGGCCACGAATCCCAGCAACTCCCAGCATTTCCCAGCACTTCAATCCCTTGCCTTTTGCATGGCCACTCTCAATCAGCCAGGTTATTAAGTCAAACCGCGTGAGTGTCGCCCCCCCTTAAGAATCGCCCCTTGCAAAGAGTGGATACAGACTTACCCATTTTAGGTATAACGCGGTACATCGAAAGAAATAGATAAACATTCATGTTCAATTGCCATTTTAGGATTGGATTGTTTACTTTCACCAATAAAACCTGTGTACTAGTCTTAATTGGGTTTAGACTAAAACTTTATGTTTTTAAGTAATTGATCTAAGCTTTTTTAAAGAATTTTAATGCGTATTTTTCGAAAAGATGTGACGATACTAGTATTACCTTTTTCGTCTTAGTCGAATCGATTAAAATAGAAGGAAACGTTTTGATTGGATTAATTGATTTAAGGCTGAGCCTTACTAGTCTTAGTGCTTTACTTAATTGGTTCCTGGTGGACTTGGCGGAATTTGTGGCTGTTGATTCGTTCTTTAAAAGAGAGCTAAGGTGTTCCAATTAGAAACAGCCTCGCACGGCTTTTATACCCGATTCAAGCGTTGATTGGATGTATTTAAAGTTGCGGAGCAAGTAACAGGAATAAAAGCGTTTAATTGGTTGTAAAGAACAAAAAGGAATTTTAAAAAAGGTACAACGGAAAAAAAGTGGCTCGCAAAAAATACGAGCCTTTAATTGGCTAATTTTGGGGCGCCATTACAAGGGGCGATTCTTAAGGGGGGGCGACACTCACGCGGTTTGACTTAGTCGGACGGCTCCAACGGCTACCTTCCGTTAGCAGAATTAACTCGGCTCTCCCATACGACTCACTCGGCACGGGTCGCTGTCGCTCATGGGTAAAGACTCGCGTTTCAAAACACCAAGTTTTCGAAACTCTAAAGTTTTTTCTTCTTCGCCCTTAACCTCAACCACGACATCATCCTCTCTTGACCATGTTGAGAGGGGGGGAGAGCGCTCACGAACAATGAACAGGATTAAAGAGACGCTAGCCAGGATAGCTCGTGCCGCTAGAGGATCGAAGGAGCCGTCGTCGTCTTCGAACAGCCTGCGCCTGGATCGTGTAGGCCGATCGAGCAGTTCGACTTTGGACTCGAGAGAGAGGGAAAAAGGTTTGGTGCGTGCAGATGGAAGAGGTCCTCTCATCCTCTACGATGGAACCCCAAATGTTGATGAGGGACTTGATGTCGTCTTCGTCCACGGCCTATTTGGCTCACGCTCTGGGACCTGGTCGAAAGGAGGTATTTGCTACCCTCGTGACTTGCTTGGGCAAGACATCGCAGGACTTCGAGTTATCGCATGGGGATGGACCGGTAGTTTGAGCGTCAGCGGTACTTTTATCGATCAAGCAGAAAACCTTTTAGCGGATATTGCACGGCTGCGTGCTGGGATAACGCGCCCAATCGTTTTTATTGGCCATGGCCTCGGAGGACTTGTGATCAAAGAAGCCTTGGTCACGGCTGCGATGTCGCGAATTTACGGTGCACATGTCGAACTTGGCAACGTATACCCGCGGACTATTGGGTGCGTATTCTTGGGTACACCTCACGTAAGAAGTGGAAAGCGATCATTGGGCGAATGCATCGCCGCAACAGCGCTATTATCGCCGTCCGCGCCAACCCCGCAACTTCTACGAGGATTCAAAGACAACGACAAGGCTTTCGAAAATCTTCACGCAACATTTCTTATGATTTCAAGAGATATCAGAGTTGTGTGCATCAGGGAAAGGCTTCCATCGACGATAGCAACCTCGAGCGATCCTACTGATGGGATGGAATTGGGCAAATCAACCGTGCAGACGATGGTTCCGAGAGATTCGGCAGCTTACGAAGGCTTCAATGTGACGAGGCATGATATGGGAGTGTCCCATCTGGACCTTGCGAGGTTTAAGAGTAGGGACGAGGTGGGATATTCGCAGATGCTTGCATGGATCACAAAAGCATCATCTGGTCCGACACCGGCAGAGGCCGAGGCGAGAGAACCTCGAAATCAAGGTATGTAACTGACATCTATTTTATTCATGAGTGAATTGCTACTAACGTTTGAAACTTCAGAAATCATCAACTCAATTTATTATGATACTATGGCTGAACGTGAATCTCGGATTGATCCAGCTTATGGCCAAACGTGCGATTGGATCCTAAATCCAAACCTCTCCATAGTGCCCAGGCACCTTAGGTCCAAGGATCCCGTGCTAGTAAGTGTTTTAAACTGTTCATTTCTATCTGACCTTAACAGGTGGATAATTGTTACGGGTATCAAACATAGAGTGCATGTCAGAGCAGTCATTAACTTGAGAAATTTTAGTGGATCAGTGGCAATGCCGGATCTGGCAAGTCGACACTTATGAAGCATATTGCACGTTCCGAGAGCGTGCGACAGCAACTCCTTGAAGGCTGGGCGGCTGAGGGAGACTTGCTCGTGGCCTCTTTTTTTATGTTCGAAGGCGGCAATCGTATTCAAAAGTCTTACGAGGGCTTCTTGCGTAGCGTCTTATACCAGATCTTGTCAGTGAGACGAGACCTCATCAGAATCGCCTTTCCTAGTTTCTTTGAAGGGGATTGGCCACCCCCGGTCCTATTTACAAGTATCAATAACCTTAATCAGGCCTGGTATTCTATCTTCGCTCACATGTCTGACACCCTACGCCTCTTCGTTTTTATTGATGGGATAGACGAATATCGCATTATGGAACGAAAGGATCATTACGAGCCCGACCAGCTCGACATCACTTACGATAAAGACACGGGCGATGAGGCTTGGGGACAGAGTAAATGGGCCACAGATTCGCACGTGGAAATATCGAAACTTATTAACAGCATGGGCAACAAAGACAATATCAAGTTTATCGTCTCATCTCGCGAACTCCCCGTTTTCGAAGAAGCATTCGCAGAATATCCAAGGATTAGACTCCAAGAACACACCGAAAAGTCCATATCGCAGTACGTGGCAGGCCGACTCGAAGATGAAGCGCCAGGGTTACCAGATACCAAGAATCTGTGTAGGGAATTGGCGCACAAAAGCAATGGAGATATACTATGGGCTAGATTGGCAATCGATATGATAGTTGGTTGTAGCTTACGGACATTAAGGACGATGCTAAATTCTTTGCCGACACATCTTGGAGGACCCGACGGCTTGTATATGCGTATGTTGGAGAATATGACTCTAGAGCAACAGCAGACCGCATCCAGGATTTTTCACCTTGTTCTCAGCGCCCAACAGCCACCCAGCCTAGTTACGCTCTCCTTCGGTGCAGAGGGCTACATCAATCCGGCAACGGGTCAACTAAGAGCCATCGAAGACAATGAACATCCTTACGACAGTGATTCTATACAGCGCCTGACCGATCAGATGACAAACCTCTTACAAACATCCTGCGCCGGCCTCCTTGTTGCCGAAACCGGGCCGTCTAGTAATCCCAACACTCTCGAGACGGGTCAGCGAGTGGTCTTCGTCCACCAGACCGCTAAGGAATGGGTGCGTCGCAAGGATATATGGCTGAAACTTCCTGGATGTAGGCCAGTTGCCAACGTGGAGTATTACTTCAAGTGTCTCAGTGGATGCGTAAGGCATATCAAAGCTTTTGAACTCAACCGGCCTCCAATTTTAGCCTGGCCAAGCTGGCGATTCCGACCTGGTGCCTGGCTCCTAATCGCAAACGCGCTGCGGTTCGCCGAGAAGGTCGACAAGGAGGTTTCCGAGGTGGACAAGTACGTAGAGTTGATGGACGAGCTGGACGCAACATGCCAACGGATATGGGTTGCCGCGCTACAGAACCACAAGCCACTCCACGAGGATCCCGACTGGTATGACAACAGACTTCCCAGCATGTGCCGGAAGCACTGGACGAACTACGAACCGATGGACGCCGGAAAGCCGCCTAAGCGGAAGGATATCTTGGCACTCGCTGTTCAAGCCAATTTGATACGATATACCGAAGCGAAGTTGAGCAAGTTAGGTACGGAACAGAGAAGGAAGAAGGCTCAGGAACTTTTGCCTTTTGTTGTTAGCCCTAAGGCTGAGGGCTTCAGCGCCTGCGCCGGCCTTAGCGGAGAGTATCTGGATTTTCACCACGACATGCCGGACTCCCGTCTCTTAGATGTCTTATTCGACGCCGGAGCATCAGCACGAGATGAAGATAAACTGTGGGTTAGGGCGCTGAAGACGGGACGGCACTACTTCTCGAGAGGGAGCTTGACGATGACTCACCTATTAGAGACGTCATCGAGCACGAGATTGATGGATAACCGAGAAAGATGGGTTACTGCCGTCAAGTCATTACTTCAGCACGGCGCCGATCCGCAATGCGATATCCAGGTCACAACCGGCAGCGGCGAAAACCAGTCCACGACGACGATAGCCGCCGTTGACTTAATACGGGAAACGCTAGAGGGAGAACCCGAGTATGCCGTAGAGTTAGTCGAAATGGAGATACTGATGGGCAGGCGAGGGAGCGTGGGCATTGCTCGGTAAGCTTCGACCATGACGTATTACGATGTATTCCGAGTCTACGAACCGGACGGGACAGTGGATGGGCGGTACCTAAAAAGAAAAAAAAACAGAGGTTGGCGGTTGGAGGTGACATGGAGAAAAAAAAGTTTTGTTGAATTGGGTAGCATGGACGGAGGGATATCATGGGTTTTTATTTGTTATATACCATAACTACGACATCTATCATTTGTTGCGGAGCATTTTACTGCGGAGATACCTATCGTTTTACTACATAGCCATCCCTTAACAGCTGTACTACAATACCCATCTTCATTGGATATACCCAAAAAAGAGCGGGAGGATACGCATAGATATAATCCGGTAGCGGGTACTAGACTATATAGCATAAAATTTATATCACAGGATCGATTGAATGACATACAAATCACATATACCATATCCATGACTTTAAATGCCACGTATTTTCGCAAACTATGGCAGTTTGGTCAGTCCTTACTCGCCCATCTATATCGGAATGGAATCAGAAAGCCACTCGTATGTTCATTCTACTGTCTCACTGTAATCTAACTACCTCTTAAGTTACACAGATGGCGTCCGCCACCTACCATAGCGCGTGGACTTGCCTATATAGGTAGAGTAGGGGATATCTGGGCGCACAATCTAATACTGTAGGGTTAGCACACAAATCACTCATTTGGCACTATTTCGCTGCTAATGTATTAAACAGAGAAAGGGAAAAACATGAAGACAATCATCAGGGCTCTCTTTGATCCGCATAACCCATTGGGGGGTAGCTCAGGACGCAACTCACCGAGAGCTGAGCCACGGTTATTGTCAGGAATTGGCAAAAACACTGTGACCCGGCTTAGGCTTTGCGCGTTGGGATTTCATCATTTGATTGCTGGCGTTCAAGATGAAAGTTAGAGAATACCTACTTACTTGCGAGAAGGCTACTATGGGTGGAGTTCTCTCTACTCAAGCAACACATTTTCTATTGAGTACCTAGTGGTTGTCCTAGGCAGTTTGCAACGCCAAAGTGTGTGACGCTGAATGTATTCATGTTGTCGTCGGTAGATATGTACGCTAGGTTAAAAGTGTATTTTCATATCTCATTCAGCCTCAGGTTTACTTGTTTCTTCTGGAAGACGTGGATACTAGGCGTTTCTTGACATGTTTCGGCATTTTCTCTTTTCGTTTCTCGGCCTTTGCTTCCTTGACAGCATGTTTGTGTTGCTATAGTTATTGTATCAGTACGTACCTTATGCCATGGAAATGAGACACACGAGCGCGTAGGTTTATGTTGCCTGATATAGGAATGTAACTTACCTTTTTTGCTTCTTTATCTTGGAATCTCTTTCCTCGAGGGGGGCCTTTTGCAAAAGCGCTCTCATCATCACTTCCACTATCGTTTTCGAGTGTCGCGCCATCACCCGACTCGTCATCTGAGCTGGCCTCTTCTTCCTCAGGCTTTGCTACTACTTGGTCTGCAAGAAGATTTCGATAAACGAGCTTGTCTCCCTCTCCCTCGCCGATCACTTGGGCGTCCTTCTCGATATCATATACTTGCTGTAGGGTCTGAGGAATGTATTGATTTCGGAAGACCTCATTATCGACCTCTTGCTTAGCTGCTGTTTCGTTGTTGGAAGACAAGCTTGATGTATATAGCTGCTCGATTGCGTCTGAAACACCCGGCTCTTCTACCGCACCCTGAGAGTTTGTGATAAAGTCGAATATGACCCGGTCAGGTAATGTATCGACACCTTTTCTCCGAAAGAAATCGCCCGTGTTCTTTACATCCATGCGAAGAAATTCGAGCGATCGAGGATGGTCGTGCTCAACACTTTGCGACACATCAATGATGTAAAGTTGCTTGTCGTTATACAAGATATTGTACTCACTCAGATCCGCGTGTACTAGTTTGCAGACTTGGTAGAGTCGTCGCATAATACCTAAAAGTTGGATATATAGCTGTCTCCAAACCTGGTCGGCATCTTCGTCCGCGATATTTGCGTCGCGTAACCGCGGGTAAGCGTAGCCTTTCTTGTCTCCAAGGAAACCCATTACAAGGACGTGAAGTTTGAGCTGGATAGGTTCGGGACAGGGAATGGCAGCAGAATGAATTCTCCGCAAGTTACGAAACTCCTTCTCTGCCCACAACTTGACCATCTTGCGGTTGTTTCCTTTTTCTGCACCGGACTTGAATCTGTATTCACCAGTAATGTACCTCTCTCGGTCCTTGAAGCTCAATATGGCTGTTTTGTAGACCTTAATAGCGCGCTGAACTGGTGGGCCATTGGGATCGGGATGCGCGACGGCGCCGTACACGTTGGCCTCTTTTCCAGTACTTATTGCGCCATGTATCTCGCTGACTACATCGCGGTTGATCATCTGATAGAGGATCATACGGGTTCTCCGATCGAGGACTTGGTCACTAGTAGCCCTATCGGACTTGTCCTTCTCCCGATCTTGGCCCTCCTTGACATCGTCGAGTCTTATCTTTCCAGCATGCTTTGAGAGAGCTGCGATCTGATCATCTATATTGGCTGCTGTATTGGCGGCGGGTTTTTGTTGGTTGGCATTTAGAGGGCGTTGTCTATTATAATTCCGTGCTATATCAGGCTGCCCATCTGAGTCGAGACCGTCGGCAATATCATCGTCGTGATTGAAGACGGAGTCTAAATCGCTATCATCGGCTTCGTCTACATCTAAAGATTCGGAGGCAGCATTAGCTGGATCTCTAGAAGCTTCCCGGTCTGTCGATTCATTATGACCATTGTTGGTCGATAATTGAGATGGCGTCGTCGCCATGTCGGTCGTCATGATGTATTCTTATTTGGATGTGCTATTCATACAATATGTCGTGAATGCGCTTTAAGGGTGATTGGCTATACAAATAGCAGGTGGGACAAAATGTGAAGTAAAATTGTCAATAATTCCAAGGTCATAGACGTATTGGATAGTTGATTTCATAAAACAATGTCGAAATGCGGGACGGCTTCCAAGGTTCACCCCACCAGAATCTTCATTTAGCTTATCTTATCGTGAAATTCGAGAAGATGTACATATGTACCTAGGGCATGACGCCCCATCTTTAAGCCACAGTTCAAGTCTCGACGTCACAAGTGGCTGACATGCATATTCCCTTTTTCATTGGTGGGAATTACTTGCAACAATCTCGACTCAAAGCGAACCAAGTTTGGACAATAGATTAACGTTTCATTACTACCCTACCTATCTACCAAGGTATTTATCTACATACCAACGCATCAAGCCGATATTAAAGAAGTCCAAGAATTTAACGTCACCGAGTTTTGGCAGGTCTTATCAGCCCCGCTCACCAATGTTACATGACCCCTCAAGTCATCCTTCTGCCAGGGTAGCTTCGACAGCTTGAGAGCAAAATGATTCGCTCATGCTCCAAGATGGCGAGGGCCAGGGATTCAGATCTCTCTGCATGGCTATGTCGTAGATGGGAATTGTGAAAATATATTAAATAATAACAGTCGGCCGCTGCAGGAACCTGTAGGTATAACATGTCCTGCTCTTTACTATGTCTATCAATTCCCAGCCGAGTTCTTAAGGAAATAGCTGTGAATATAATTTAAACGGTATAATAATGATTGGACCGTACTTTGCATATCTAGCTATACAACTCAATGGTTTGTCTATGCTACCTACCACCTATATAACCTTCAAAATGTCTTAGAAACTAATGCTCTCCAAGCTGTTCTTGTGGCCTCAAGGATAGTGGGAATACCTGCTGTCCCGTTCACTACATCAGAGAGTAGTACCTACTCAATCAGCTCTCTCAAATCATTAGTGGTAGACTCAAAATATGCGGAAAGCCGTGACGAGACTGGAGAGACCTTGATTCCGCCAAGCTTACAAGAGTTCGCCAACACCTTCGTGGACGATCTACATAGCACACTAGATCTCAATATTGACATCTCCGTTGCGGACCAGCCCACAGAAGATGCCATATTTCTTACGCTGGGGGATCCTAACAAGTACAAGGGTGTGAGCGGTGCCCAAACCTCTGAAGGCTATTCGCTCTCCGTCAATGCTTCAGGAATTGTCATATCTGGAGCCAGTCCCCTGGGTGTGTGGTGGGGCACGCGAACCGTCTTGCAGCAGGCGATCCTCTCAAATGGATCTTTAGGATATGGAGATGCAGATGATTCTCCAGGATGGGGGATTCGAGGTATGATGCTCGATGCCGCTCGACATTACTACCCTCCTGAGGTATGTCTATCCCGGCATTATAAGTTGTTCCAACATGAAACCCGTTGGTATTATCACCCGGTTGGCTGGCTCCTATCCTAAATATATAAGAGCTAATAGAAAGGAGCGAACAGTTCATTGTTGAACTGTGTTCTTATATGAGCTTTTTCAAGCAGAACACTTTTCACATACATCTCAGCGATAATCTATACAACAACGTTGCTATGTACTCAAGAGAGCAATCTTTAGAGTTGTATGCCCGGTTTCGTCTATGGTCTGATTCTGATGATCTTGCTGGTTTGAGTAAATATAAGAACGAATCCTACACAAGAGAGCAGTTTGAAGAGATTCAATTAGCTTGTGTTTCCCGGGGGGTAACCGTCATTCCAGAGATCGAAGCCCCAGGACATTCATTAGTCATAGTTCAATGGAAACCAGAACTGGCACTTAGCAGCGACCTTTCGCAATTAAACATCTCACATCCAGAAACAATACCCACGATGAAAACGATCTGGAGCACTTTCCTCGACTGGTTTCATTCAAAGACCGTCCACATTGGCGCAGATGAGTATAAGGGTGACCCTAACGAATACAATCGATTCGTCAACGAGATGGCTAGTTATATATACGAAGAATCTGGAAAGTCCATCCGCATCTGGGGTACCTTCCCACCTAAACCGGAGTATACTAATGTCTACACAAACGTCTCGATACAGCACTGGGAATTTTTTGAGGACAATCCCTACCATGATTATATATTGAACAACTACTCCGTTTTAAACTCCGACGATACATTCTACGTCGTGAATAAGTGGTCGGGAAGCTACCCACCGGTTATCAACTATGCCAAAACATTCAACGGAAACCCAGCCACAGGCGGGATCTGGCAACCTTACATCTTCGACGCCAACGTAGCTGCCAATAACCCGGAGAAAACCAACCCCTTTGTTCTCGGGGAGGTGGCAGCATTGTGGAATGACTACGGCGCGAATGCTACCGTATACTCCGAAGCCTATTACGCTTGGAAAGACGGAATCCCGGCATTAGCCGATAAGCAATGGGGAGGGGATCTCTCCGAACCTGAGTTCACTTCGGCGTTTTCGACTCTGTTCCCATTCATACCAGGACAGAACCTAGACCGAGCCATCCCCTCCACCACCTCAACGATCTTCCACTACAACTCCAGCGCCAGACTCGACAGGCAATCCTTCACAGCCGTAGGCCCATGGAGGGACACCGCCCTCGTCGATCAATCCGGCAACGGCTACGACGCCTCGACAACCTGCACCATCACTTCCGAGTCCACTCTAAACATCAACTCTTCATGCTCGCTCAAAACCCCGTTGTTGTCTAAAGGTCGGGGCTACACGTTGTCACTACGCCTGCTCATCTCCTCGCTCGACGCGGACACAGACGCGACCTTAGTAACCGGCACAGACTCCGCGCTAATGCTGACCCCGAACCTGACGTTATTCGCGTCCGGGAACTACTACCGGCTAAACACGACGCTTCCCGTGGGAACCTGGGTCGACCTAAGTATCATCGGTCGCGGAAACCGTACTTTCGCCAGCGTGCAAGAAGCGACGGGGCTGGGCGAGCCGTTGCCGGAGGTCGGGAGTACGTCTGCTACGGAGGAGGAGTTCTTGGCTGTGTTAGGCGTCAATGGGGTGTCGCTTGTGTGGGCGCCTATCGCTGTCGAGGCGCCGATTGCGCAGGTCGGGGGTGAGGGCTCGGGGTGGACGGGGGAGCTGGCGGCTATGAGGTTGAGTTCGGAGACTTGATGGATGGGTGGGTGTCTTGAACCTTCAACCTTACCCACTAAGCGGGTGTATATTGTACGTAGCTTTAGCTAGACTCTCGATGAGTATGAATATACATCCGTAGATGACTACCTCTCTAGAAAATTTAATACACGCGTTGGTATGATCTGAAGCAGATCGCGAGTGGCGTTATTATCCCCATCGGAGGAAACGCACATCCGGCGAGTGGCGTCAGAAAAGTATCTCATGTGCTAATACAACAGTGTTGGACTGTACGCATGAATATCTCCTGATCCGCCTATATAGGTCGCTTGCGCAAGCCACGATAGATAGTGAATTTTGGCTGTGTAACATAGGTAGGGGACAGTTTTGATTACTGCGCAACACGATAAAGTCAACAATATGTTCAATTTAACTTGGTTAGATTAGTTACTCATTACAGGTCGAACATCTTCAATAGCACGGAGCCTTCAAAAGGTAGCATTTCAAAAAGTAGGTGATCCTCATTAGCACCGGTGAAATCATGAACTCAGCCGTACAGTAGTAGTAATAATAAATAACAGCACCAGTTCCTCCCGAACGTCCCGTGGTATACAACGCGAGTAACTGCAAACTCCTCTTCCGAAGACCATCATATACACACAAGTAACAAGCCCCAACCCCGCCGTTGTCATGACTATCTAGGTGCTTGACCTTCGACGAATTCCAAGGCCTGCTCCCGGCTCACACAGTTAATGGTACTGAACTTATTTCTGAACAACACGCCGTAGCATCTGTCAGCGACGTGGACAATCTCCGGTCGGAAGGTGGTGCAAATGAACTGTGTGCCGGCTTCCGATGATATGGACTGAAGAAGTGCGGCGACGGCAGTTCTGTACTGCGCGTCTAAGTTGGCGTCGACCTCGTCGAAAATGACCATAGGACTAGACTCCGTCTGCTGCAAGGCGAAAATAAGACATAGGGCGCACAAACCTAAAGACATATGTTAGCTTGAAGGTAGAAATTGAATTAAGGGGATCATTGAACCTACTCTTCTGACCACCTGAGAGCTGCTGGATACGTTGCTGCTCATCCGCGGTTTTGGAGTTGAAAGAGACACTGATACCGACGCCTGTGTAGTTTTCTACGCTGGTACGTTGCTCCTCGTCGGAATCATCCGGGTCAATTCGTCGATCGGCTCTGCGCTGAATTACGAGGCGGCCGTGGCCAGCAGGCACTAAACGTTGGAAGATGGTAGCAAACTCCTTCGATACTTGCTTGAACGTTCGCTCAATCGCTTCGTCCTTACGCTGATCAAGGTGAGCAACCAGCTCCTCGATTGACGACTGTGACTGGTCGAGTTCCTTGCGACGCTTAAGGAGCTGATCTTGCTGGTTGGTGAAGCTGTTGTATTGTTCAAAAGCTTTCTTGTTCACATGCTTGTATTTCTTCAGCGCATCGTTGACTTTCTTCAGTCTTGAGACGACCTGTGGTATAAAATTAGCTAACAATGAACATGTCTCGTCATTTTGGGTTGGTCTTACGGTTTTAGTCTCGAGCCTCTCGTATTTTTCGAAGGCTTCTTCTGGTAAAACACCGAGGTCGCGGATGTTCTTAGCCAATTCCGTCGCCCTTGCTGTTAACAGGGCCTTCTTTTGTCTGGTCTTGTCTATTCTCTTCTCTTGCTTCTTAATCTCTCTTGCAACCTCTTGTTGTTGCGCCTCTCTATCAGCTTTCTGCTTCTCTAGATCCTTAATCCTCGATTCAGAAGAATCAATTTGCTGGTCATTTGACTGGATCTTGTTGTGAACAGAAGCTGCCATTGCTTGGGCTTTCTTTAGCTCTCGCTTTGCCTCCTTCAAGTTACCGCTGCCACTATTAGCAGTCTCGAATGCTTGACTTGTGAGTTGGTCAAGTTTGAGCTGGAGATTGGTTCGTAGATCTAATTCCAGCTTTCGCTTGCGGCTTTCAAGTTCTCTCCGCTTGCTGCTGATTTCATTCCACTCTTTCTGCAGTTCCTGTACGCTCGTACCTAGGCTTTCTAGCTGCTTTTCCTCGTTCGCCGTTAAGACCTTTTTGAAATCTGAAGCTAGCTCGGCCTCGTGTGCACTGAGATTGTCCTGGAACTGCTTCATATTCCTTTCAACGATGTCTCGTCGCTTGATCGCGGCTTCGAGTTGATCTCTCTCACGATCGGCTTGGTTGTTCTTGGCATTTAATTCTGCTCGGAGGGGTCCATAGCCATCCTCCATCTGCCTCAGTCTTTGAGCTAATCTGCGCTCTTCGCCTAGCGCATTAGTGATCTCTTGGTCCTTCTGTTCTATTTGTCTTCGGATGTCGACGGCTTGGGACTGTAATTTTTCATATTCCTCTCTCCACTTGTTGACGGCTCGAACGGCTTCTAAACGTGATTTTCGGGTATCGATATACCCGCCAGTCATCGCACCACGCTTGTTAGAGGTATCTCCATCTGGAGTAACACCGTGCACACCATGACTTCGTGCATATTGGCTAGCAATGGTAAGATTGGGGCAAATGATTGTGCTGCCGAAGACTTGTTGGAAAGCTTTCTCGTACTGGGGGTTATACTGAAGTTTGCTAAGCAACGGAACTGCATCATTAGCTCTGGGGAGATTTGCATTTCGCGGATTCAGCCTTGATAATGGCATGAATGTGATTCTTCCTCCGTAACTTTTCTGGAGTGCGGTGGCGAGCTCCGTCGCAGTTTTATCGTTGTCAACCACATAATGGAACAAACTAGCACCAGCAACCTGTTCTACGGGTAATCGGTATGCTTCGTTAACTTCTAAGAGCTCGGCTAACGTGCCGTACGCGCCGGGGAAATTGCGTTCGCGCTTTAATCGTTGTATAGTAGCTAAACCTCGCGCGGTGACTCGATCCATGGTATGGGACAATTCACGTTCGGAATTGTCCAGCTCACCCCGGGCATTTGAAATGATAGTCTCTAATTTGTCGTCTTGCCGTCGAAGCAGCTTTCTCTCCTCGTTGAGCTTGTCAAGGACATCTTTCGCACTTGTGACTTCCTCGGAAACAGCTAGTCGATGATCGCCAAATCCCTCGTTTTTCTGTCGCAGGTCCGCGATTTCATTCTCGAGTTGCTGGATAGCGCCCTGGATAGATTTGACTTCTTCGTCAGCATCGAGGCGGTTTGCTCTTTGCTGACTTAGTGTCACATTAAGATCATCGATCTCTTTTCTTAACCACGCATCCCGCTCTCCTTTGCTCTTGAATTGACTTCCTCGGGTCTGCTTCGTGAAGAGACGCTGTCGACCAGCTTCTGCTGAGTCGAGAGCCTGCTTGATCTCTGCCTCCTTCCGCTTGGCTTTGTCGAAATTGGGGACTAGCTTCTTAAGCTCAGCCTCTCTCTGTGCTATAGCGGTCTTTACCTCGTCTAGCTCCGCATCATGCTGCTGCCTCGCTTGTTCTTGGGCCGACATGCCATCCGAGAGGTTTTTGACCGCCAGTTCGGCGTGTGCTATCGCCTTGGCGCTCTCTCGTCGATCTTCATCGAGCTGTCGACGGTCTATACGAAGGAGCTCCATTTGCTGCTGCAGTTTGTGAATCTCGGCATCTAAAGTAGCAATGACTTTCACGCCTGTATTGAAGGCCTCGCGATTATCATCTGCATCCTCCATGCCGCCTTGTCGCAAGTCCTCCAACTCTTCTAGGGCGTCCTGTGTAGCAACTTGATCTTTATGATAATATGCGTATTCGAGACATCTACGCTCACGGTCCTTGTCTTGGTAGTCGCGCAGTTCTTCCTTCTCTTCCTCAAGCTCACTAAGACGTTCTTTGATGTAATCGAGCAATTCGTCAATTTTCTCTCGTTTATTATTGGTTTCCGTCATGATCTTAAGCGACTCCGAACGGCGAGATTCGTAGACTTGAGTACCGGCAACCTCCTTGAGTAAGTTCAACCGGTCTGACTCTTTCATATTGGTGAGGGCTGTAACGCGACCCTGCGGGACAATATAGTAAGGGTTCGATCTCGAGAATCCGGCTGCTTCTAGGAGATTTGAGACGTCTGCCTTGGTGGAGACCTTCTTGTCGACCGAGTACTCGTCTTTCTTTAGACCAATTGTGCGCCTTAAAATAACTTCTTTATTTCCAGTTGGGAATCGGTCGTCGCTATTGTCGAAGATGACCTCGACATATGCAGACATGACCGCCGAGCCCGAACCTTCATGCAATAGGGCCTGTCGTTCCTCTCGAGTCATTTGTGTGTAGGCATCGCTCAGTACGAATCGTATCGCAGCGAAAAAGTTACTCTTCCCGGAACCGTTACGACCAACAATGACATTCGTACCCGGCGAAAAGGGCTCCATGACCGTCTGGTCTTTGTAGCTATTTAGATGTTAGTTCGGCAAAGCCGCAATCCTCGACGGGGTCTTGCAGGGTCGTCGAGGCATCGGCGCATACCTCTTAAAGCCTTGGATAATAATCTGCTTGATATACATGGTCGCGGTGGGCGCTGCCGGTCGGGCAGCTCGTTTTCAGGGTCACAATATTTGTCGCAAAAGAGGCATGTACTCGAAAATGAAAAATTGAGAATATCGCGATAGTGCGAAATAGGAAAGGCTCGTCAAACCTCGAAATTGTCACGTCACGTAACCTTGGAAATGTATTCCGACGCGTTTTGAGGCGCGATAAATTTGGGAGTGGGGGGAAATCTTGGAAAACGGACGAATCTAGGTATGCTTAGCGTGTTTGCCTAGGTGGGTTAGTAATAATTGAGCTAGCCTAGCCCAGCCGCAATCTGGACAGTTTAACTTGTTGTTCAAGGTTCATTAGGTAATTACAAGTTGTGGCTTTGTGGCTTTATCGGCAGTCACATGACGAAGTACCCTTGTGTAATACCTACCTAGTATGATGTATGAAGGGAGTTGCGATCCTCAGCCTTACTTCCCGTCTGAAGTCCTTCGTAATAGTTATTCAGCTACATAGGTAGGTATTTTACAGTTGCTCTTGCCTTTTGAAACACTTCCGATACTTCAACCTCTGGCTTCTCTGGATTATAATGCAGTCCTGGATGTTGAACTTGCCCCAAATTCTGTATAGGAACTATGTACGTAGGACCCTAGGTAGATGCCTAATCATCATGATATTTCTTGCATTTTCTGCGGACTGGACACCCAGTACAAGGCTGCACAATGGAAATATCAATTATAGATGTACCTTATGACTTGGGGTACATTCAAGATAAATCACTACTAGGTAGTAAGCTCTCCCTTGGATCCGGAGCCTTGTGTACGGGAGCATGCATTAATACCCAGGTACTCAGGTAGAGGCTGAGAAAAGCTCCGACTCAAAGAACATGTGTTTTATGGATTAAATTGACCACGTATGTATCTGCTAATTTTGAATTCCTGATTGGACAAAAATATTCTGTATGCCGCCTTTGACACATTCAGATTGAAGGTTTCATTACACCGCAAAGGTCTTGAGGCTGGTTAGATGGATATCGTGATGTGCGAATTACTAGCACTAAAATATCTAGGTTGATTTCCTTATTGGTGTTTGGATCGGCCCCCGTTGCTACCCCCCGGCTGTTGAGTCGATCTTGCCAAGCTTGCGGCACAGAAACCATAGGCTACCTAGGATCTTAGATGAACGAAAAGAGCGTTGTTGCTTGATGGTAATTGTAACAGAAAAACAGGGAAGGTCTTGTGTTAATATGACCTTATAAAATACATTTAGTACTTGCTTAGCGGAAGACGATGATAACAGACACCTAGTTCTCAGGCTCGAATGTTCGAATATTACAGGAGTTTGGTGTTTGTAAAGGGGTCGAGAAACTCGTCATTCCAACAAGCCACCATATTTTCTTAATGGTGGATCCTGGCGGCTTTAGCCTTTAGCGTTGTAGGCTGGTGACGCTAAGAAACGAAGCGAGAAAGCACGCACTCGGACACGACCTGCACGACGTACAAGGTACATGAGAAAAATGGTTGCAGAATAAAGTAGATTGACCTTCCTGCCTACCAGCTGCTGCATAGTGAACCTTGCTTTCCTGCCTAGCTTTTGCGGTAAGAAAGCCTTGCTTGGTAGCTTATGCAATGGTAAATGCCGAGCCAAATGTTCGTGAGCAACTTCCCCGGGAAATATAATGCTTCTAGATATCATGATGTTGTAATCCAAAACAATATTTGGTAGAGTTTCAGGTTCCTTCCAGGACAAAATGTTCAACGCGTAGACCTGAGCTTATTTAAGACCCGACAGGACCGACAGGCCTGACTCAAGCCTTCGCAGCTGCCATCAGTTGAAAAAGGGTGGATGGGCTACCCAATTAGGAATGGTTCATATCTGACGGTGGGAGCTTAGGCCAACAAGAACCACCCAAGGCGGATCCCAACGTGTATAAAAGTATCCATAGGTACAGGAATATTAAGGAAGCCGGTGCCCTCATCTGCGACGACTTGCCTGCTGCTGCACATCCCGTCATATCATTTTTCTGACAGGCACGACAGACCCCGGCCCCCAAAAAACTGCCAACCCGCCAATCCCCCAATCCGACAACCTACGCCTACATCCTACATAATAATAGTACGCCAACCTAAAAGCAATCAAAGGTCAATCAGGTCAATCAAGCGCGTCGCGCACGAACCACCATTAATAGAGAAAACGTCAAAAAGAGTTAACAACCTACGATCTGCAATCCACTATTTTTCTACGATTCGAACACCTTTGATTTGAGAGTGTTCAACAGTTTCCCCAGAACCTCTTTTAGGTAACTATTTACTGCCGACTCTCCGGTTTCTTTTACACGCAGTACATTTAGTACATCGTAAACACCATCAAGTCCTACGACGCTACGACGCGGGATATTTTCTTGTTCGACTCTCTACTTAAAATTCGCCATTCGATGCATGGTACTACTTAGGAGTCTTTTATTTTACCAAGCTTTTTCAACCCGTTCGTCTAGTTTCATTACCACGGGACTTATGAAAAAAGACTGTTTCATCGCAGATCGTTGGCATCGCGATATCACCTGCAGGGTATGTGCCTTTTCTTATCTTTTTTTTCTTTTTTTTTGGTTCATTTATTCCATTTATTATTCATTTACAACATCGTGTTTGCTTTCTAATTATCATTACACGGAACCTTGTACACACATTTAGTCGTGCATCACTCTCATAGTTGAGTTGCAACCTATCATCGTCCCCCCAATATATAATCTTGACCATTCCCGCACCCTGCAACTGTCATAACTACTATCTCGGATGAGATGACCATGGCATAACCCGGCTGTCTTAATCAACATCAAAATCCTCTTAACCATCAAGTAAAAGTGCTTACTTGAATATGATGTTCTTGAGGAAGCGCATAAATATCATCAGGAAGCTTAGTCATGTAGGGAAGTGTGGTGTCTGATGTCTGGTGTCATATCGGCTACAAGCTACACATAGCATGTCCAATCACAATAGCCCATTTGATTTATATGCGACTTGCAATAGATATGCGAGTTCAAGATCCGAAGTTCCACATTGAAGATCCCCCGTCTCAGGCACGACTCGTTTACACTCAATGTATTAAATATATATACTCAAGGGTATGCAATACTAATAAGACTTATAGACCGCTATTATGAGCTGAATCCTTATTTGGTATTGGCCCCCGTAGCCTCGGTGTGACTTTGAAAATGGCGTCCAGGTAATATTTTCATACCCTACTATATAAATCACAAAACTTAGGCTAACATATGGATTGTATCGTAGGCTTGATCGTCTTGTTACGTAAGTAACCATAAAATATTTTCTGCTACTCATAAGCTCGGTTGAAATAGCTATGGCGATCTCGACCCGATTTGCATCGGTCTGCCTCATGCAGTCTGACGTTTTGTGGCTAACTTTTTATTCAATAGGATCCTTGAGACAGGAAGTACGAAGTTGATAAAGGATACCGCCGTCAACCAGTTAGCAGACTGGCAAAAACAGCACCCCGAAGAATTATTTAACCTACTATCAAGAGTAGTACCTTATTTACGCCACAAAGACTGGGATACCAGAGCCACTGCAGCTAAGGCTCTTGGCAAGATCATTGAAAATGCCCCTTTTTATGATCCCAATGACGATGAAGATCCTACCGCAGCAAAGAAAGAAGAGCCTAGTGGAGAAAACGGATTCGTAAAAAAGGAAGAAGACGACATATCATCATTATCCTTAGATGAGTACTTTAAGCCCGAGACATTGGATGTCTCGACTGTACTCAAATACGGCAGAGAATTACTGAGGACAGGTAACGTAGATTACAATGTTGCGAGCCTTGAGCCCCAAGCTCGACTTTGCCACCAGAAGAAGACCCTCACGGGTCGACTAGGATTACTAGGAAGGTTGTTCGAAGACGAAGAGATACCTATTACGGCTGAAAAATCAGCTAGTCCCTTTACGCCGCAAGATGCTAATCCCACAAACGGTCTATCTCGCCAGGACAGTATCGCCGGCAACCCATCCGGTCAACCAACTGAAGAGTCAGGTCTAAGTGCTCGGCAGCTCAACGTTCTTAAACGGAAACGGAAAAGAGATGCGCAAAAAGCGGCGCAAGGGAAGAGTGGGTTTGGCGACTTGTCAATACGCCGTTCCTATACTGCTGGGTCGGATTTAGTCGATGATACCCCCATGCCTGACGCTGATTCTAAAAAGGGCGGGAAAACGGATTACTTCAGTCTCGATAGACCAGCTGACGTGGATGAAGACACAAAAGTCGTTTCCGAATTCAAGGGTCCCGTCGTTCCCATCAAAACGGAAATTGAGACAGAGGATGAATTGGAAGGATCAGAATGGCCGTACGAGCGTCTCTGCGAGTTCCTCAAAATCGATATCTTTGATGCACAATGGGAGACACGTCACGGTGCTGCATTAGGTCTGCGAGAAATACTGCGAGTGCATGGCGCTGGTGCAGGTCGGCTAAGAGGAAAGTCGAGGACCGAGAATGACACGCTTAACAGAAAATGGCTCGATGACATGGCCTGCCGGCTCTGCTGCGTCCTTATGCTAGACAGATTCACCGACTATGCTTCAGATACATCCGTTGCGCCAATTCGAGAAACTGTCGGCCAAACTTTGGGTTCATTTCTAAAACATGTACCGCCACAATCCGTTTACAGCGTCTACCGCATCCTGCTGAGAATGGTGATGCAACAAGACCTTGATCTAGACAGACCTGTGTGGCCTGTCTGCCACGGCGGCATGGTGGGGTTACGATACGTCGTTGCTGTGAGGAAAGATTTACTACTTCAACACAACGACATGATCGATGGCATAGTCGAAGCCGTCATGAAAGGCCTTAGTGATAACGATGATGACGTCCGATCTGTCAGCGCGGCCACATTAATTCCTATAGCCCAAGAATTCGTTACGCTCAAGCCAGCAGCGCTTAACGAGATGATAAACATCGTATGGGAAAGTCTCTCCAGTTTAGGCGATGACTTAAGTGCCAGCACCGGTAAAATAATGGATCTATTAGCTACTCTTTGTAGCTTCCCGGCGGTCTTGGAGGCAATGAAGAATTCGGCCGAGCAAGACGAGGAAAGGTCTTTCACTCTCCTTGTACCACGATTATACCCATTTCTACGCCATACTATCACTTCGGTTCGTCTTGCTGTCCTAAAGGCTTTGATGACTTTTGTCAATCTTGGCGTGGAGTCTCAAGGCTGGCTTGATGGTAGGATTCTTCGATTAATCTTCCAAAACATACTCGTGGAACGTGACCAAGAAACTCTTAATATGTCTATAGAGCTATGGACCGCTCTAGTAAGATGCTTGGCCAAGGATCCCGAGAACCTCGCAAGCGAATTCGCCCCTCACATCGATGCTCTCATGCAACTTACCTTACATCCTGTAGGAGTACCTCGACACCCTATACCTATGAATGGTGTGCTCTTCCTAAAGCCCTCCGGAGGCACTTATTCCGTGCCTGGCTTTGCTCCTCCAGTTGCACGCAAGGGCTCTGAACCAGATGGAGAGCGGGCTACGAAGAGGCGAAAGAAGTCGACTAAAATTGACGATCCCCTCCCCGCAACCCATTCCCATGATCTTGATGGTCACATGATGCAGGGGGATGTAGACCTCGTTGGTATGGATACTCTCATCCGCTCTCGAGTGTCGGCTGCCGCAGCGATGGGCTTGATTATGTCCCTCGTACCTACACAGCACCTGGATTCTTTTGACGCCACTCTCGTCCCAGGACTCACATCGTCCTATTCATCCACACAGCTCGCCGCGTGCATAGTGATTGATGAGTATGCCCGAAGTTCTGTTACATCTCAACCTGACACTGCACGATATGTGAATGCGCTACAGAAGATTATAGATTCAGATCGACCTGCGCAATATCGCGATCTAGTCAGCTACGTGCAACGGGTACGATCCCAATGCCAACAGCTCATGAATCTCTTCAGGGATCATGGAAAGGTTCCTCAACATAAGCTCCCAGCTCTTGCTGTCGTTGTGCAAGGCGAGGCAGAAGCAGGCCCGGGTGCTTTCTCTCTTTCCACGGCTGACAAGTGTATTAATGATGATTTCGAACGACTTAAGAAGGCCATGGCACCAGCGCAACGCTTAATTGCCAATCATCAACTCTCAGAAGTCCGAGCCAGCACGTTAACAGCAATTGAGGATTCCAAATCTATCAAAGACACGCGGGACGTCCGTATAAAGGCAGCAGCAGCATGTGCTCTGATAGCAATGAAAGTGTTGCCGAAGAAGCCAAGCCCACTGATCAAAGCCATCATGGATAGCATCAAACTTGAGGAAAATCAACAGCTTCAGACCCGCTCCGCCGACACGATCGGTCGGTTGGTCCAACTATTCACAGATAAAGGTCGCCGAGGACCTGCAGACAAGGTTGTCTCCAATCTAGTCAAATTCTCTTGTGTTGAGGTGGCCGAGACCCCCGAATTCCCAGTTCACGCAACGAAGACCGATGTTATTTTATCCATGCAAAAAGAAGAAGACAGAGTTGATCATGGCTCTGATGCCGCCAAGTTCGCCCGGGAGGCTAAGGGTGCTCGCATAACCCGAAGGGGAGCGAAGGAAGCTCTTGAGATTCTATCCCGCACGTTCGGCGCAGACATATTCACCATAGTCCCAAGCCTGAGAACATTTATGGAAGATCCCCTGATAAAAGCCTTCTCAGGAGAGTTGCCTGCCGAAGCGAAGGACCCCGAAAGCACGTTTGGTCAAGAAATTGTAGATGCTATGTCAGTCATCCGGACCATGACACCAACTTTAGATAAAGCACTGTATCCGTTCGTCATGCAGCAGGTTCCGCTAATTATCAAATCGCTACATTCGGAACTTTCCGTGTTCCGATACATGGCTGCGAAATGCTTGGCAACTATTTGCAGTGTTATTACTGTTGAGGGCATGACCGCCCTCGTAGAAAAGGTCTTACCTTCAGTCAATAACCCCGTTGATCTACACTTCCGCCAAGGTGCAATAGAGGTCATTTACCATCTGATTGCAGTCATGGGCGACGGCATTCTACCTTACGTCATCTTCCTTATTGTACCAGTCCTAGGTCGCATGAGCGATTCCGATAATGACATTCGCCTTATCGCAACTACATCTTTCGCTACATTAGTTAAACTAGTGCCGCTTGAGGCTGGTATCCCCGATCCTCCTGGTCTCTCTGAAGAGCTATTGAAAGGTAGGGATCGTGAAAGGACATTCATTGCCCAACTTCTTGACCCCAAGAAAGTCGAACCGTTCAAGATTCCAGTCGCAATCAATGCCGAACTGCGCTCATACCAACAAGATGGTGTCAACTGGCTCCATTTCCTCAATAAGTATCATCTACATGGTATTCTTTGCGACGATATGGGGCTCGGAAAAACTCTCCAGACTCTTTGTATTGTCGCGAGTGATCATTACAACAGAGAAGAAGAGTTCAAGAGAACCGGTGCTTCAGATGTGCGAAAACTCCCATCTCTTATTGTCTGTCCACCGACGCTTTCAGGGCATTGGCAGCAAGAGTTGAAGACCTTCGCGCCGTTCCTGAGTGTCACGGCCTTTGTAGGACCTCCTGCAGAGAGAAGAGCCAAGGCCGTTCAGTTCGCATCCACTGATATTGTCATTACTTCATACGAAGTCTGCCGCAATGATTCCGAGTATCTCGAGAAGCAGAGTTGGAATTACATCGTACTCGACGAAGGCCACTTGATCAAAAATCCAAAAGCAAAGATTACCCTTGCTGTCAAGAAATTCGCAAGCAACCACCGTTTGATTCTAACCGGTACCCCAATCCAGAACAATGTCTTGGAGCTCTGGTCTCTCTTCGACTTCCTGATGCCTGGCTTCCTTGGTGCCGAGAAAGTATTCTTAGATCGGTTTGCAAAACCAATTGCCGCTAGTCGTTTTAGTAAGGCTTCGTCTAAAGAGCAAGAAGCCGGTGCCTTAGCAATCGAAGCCTTGCACAAGCAGGTCCTACCATTCTTACTTCGCCGCTTGAAAGAAGAAGTTCTTGACGACCTTCCACCTAAGATCCTTCAGAACTACTACTGTGATCTTAGCGATCTACAGAGGAAGCTCTTCGAAGATTTTACGAAGAAACAGGGCAAGAAACTCACGGAAGAGGCTAGCAAAGAAGATAAAGAAGCCAAGTCTCACATCTTCCAGGCATTACAATACATGCGGAAACTATGTAACTCTCCAGCACTCGTCATGACACCAAGCAACAAGCTTTATGATGATACCCAACGTTTCCTTGCCAAACAAGGAACTAGCATAGAGGATCCAGTGCACGCTCCTAAGCTAACTGCCCTCAAAGATTTGTTGGTTGATTGTGGTATTGGAATTGAGGGTACTGACTCTAATGATCCACTTTACCAGCCAATCAAACCACACCGCGCTTTAATCTTCTGCCAAATGAAAGAGATGCTTGATATGGTCCAAAATACAGTGCTGAAGCGCATGTTGCCTTCCGTTTCGTATTTGCGGCTCGATGGCTCGGTCGAGGCAAATAAGAGACAGGATATCGTTAACAAGTTCAACAAGGATCCTTCTTATGATTGTCTACTTCTCACTACTAGTGTTGGTGGACTTGGTCTCAACCTTACAGGAGCAGATACCGTCATTTTCGTTGAGCATGATTGGAACCCCCAGCGGGATCTACAGGCTATGGACCGCGCTCACCGAATCGGACAGAAGAAGGTCGTCAACGTGTACCGACTAATTACGAGAGGTACTTTGGAAGAAAAGATCTTGAGGTATGCATAACTATATACGTCGCTTTAATTTTTACTAACTTTTGGCACAGCCTTCAAGCATTTAAGATAGATGTTGCATCTACCGTGGTGAATCAACAGAATGCTGGCTTGGTAAGTCACATGCGCCCCAATTGTGCTTAAACTGGTTGCTGACTACCTTTCAAGGGAACTATGGACACGGACCAAATACTGGACCTCTTCAGTCTGGGCGATTCAGGACCTAACATGTTATCTGACAAACCTAAGAACGCGGTCGAGGGACGTGAGGAGGACATGGTGGACGTCGAGACGGGAGATGTGAGAGCTCCAGGTAAAAAGGCATGGGCAGATGATCTAGGAGAGCTCTGGGATAACCGTCAGTACGAGGAAAGCTTCGATTTAGATGGCTTCCTCAAGACGATGACATAATGAACAGGAGCAGAAGACGAACGAGTCATAACGAGGATTAATACCGAGGGTGGCCTTGGTATTTATGACATGCCTCTAGGCGAAACACCCATACCTTGTATTGTGTATAATTGTATTATAAGGGGGTGAAGTTGATGAAATGATGCATCCATTGTCCTCCCAAGAGGACTTGGCCGAATATATTAACCTTTTTTAAATAAGACGTTTCTTCGGTGATATGACCCTAGGTAAAAACGAAGACTCATCCAATCTCTTGATATCCAGTCGGGTAGAGGAAGTGGTGATTCTACTACTTAGATTGGACTGTAAATCAAGGTGTTCCCTACTCCGCCTGTAGATAATGCAAGGTACCGAACAGCGTAAACCGTAGGTGCTATCTGTAAACCTAGGTAGCGTACGGACATTAGCTTACAGTAGGTGCTAGGTACCTACTAGGTAGGTACTGTAGGTACTAAGTGGTCAAAAGTTTCGGGTATTTTCAGCTGCTAATGGGGTGTGGATCGAGGCTACGTGGCGGCTTTCATTAGTGGCCGAGCTCCCTAGGTTACAGCTGTTGCTCACTAAAATCCAGCGAATAAATCACTATTAAGTTAAAAAGTTAGCAAATGAGCCATACTCTTTACCAAGTGCGTAATCAAATCAGCAATCACTGAATACTAGCTGCTACTTAGTAGGTACAACAGCAGCAGCAGCAGTAGTAGTAGTAGTAGTAGTAGTAGTAGTAGTAGTAGTAGTAGTAGTACTAGTAGTACTAGTAGTACTAGTATGCTAGTAGGTACCTACTGTACCTAAAATCAGTAAGTTTTTAGGGGATTAGTAAATAATTATAGCGCATTTACAGTGGGGAATCGCTATAATTTTAGGGGATTTGGGGATTAGGGGACTCATAAAGCTTGTGCAAGCCCTGAGGAACAAGGGTATCCATCCTTACAAGGGTTCCAAGGTTGTGCAAGCCTTAAAAACACCACTATTCCCCCCTAACTCCCACTTAGGTAACAGTGGTCTGCCCACCTATAGCTCCCCTAAGATAAAGCGTCTATTAACTAAAGCTTTAAGTGCTCAGAGAACGAAGAAATAAATCACGCGATGCGACGGTCACAGTTTTGGCCCATGACAGCATTTTATCAAACAATAGCTCAATAATCATGTTATCCAATACGATGGAAAATAAATCTAAGGGCTGCCTAGAGATACACAAAGGCTGGTTCAACAGTGGTATCAGACTTGTTATGTACCTAATCTAGATTTTCAAGTCAAGACACATATATCTACTGTTCATTACCGAGTACCTAGTCCTAGTAACTAAGAACATCAATCACTTATCGTGAAATACGTAATGTGACTGGTTGCCCGAAGAACAGTCGCAGCTGCCTCAACACTCACTTCGCCGTGCAGAAACCCGCTTATCTCGGCATCGCCTAAAATCGGCCGGCACCGATCCTTCCTAAATAGGTAAGATCCTCGGAGGCGTATATCCGGCTCCGCCGACCTCGCCGATGTCTTGCGGAATTGCTTTACATTCCCCTGCATCGTAGGTTCAACGTTTATGATTGTATATTCCAATAATATTTACATGAACTTCGGTAGTAAATTGAAAAGATATGCATACTAAGACCTTATGTGGCACTAAACAAGTTCAATATCGGGAGGAATCAACGTGGTTCGTCTGCATACGGAGGTAGGAAATATCCCCCGCCTATGATCAAATCTGATAGAAATGCATCTAACTCCGACCGTAGAGCTGATGCCTTGGTCTTTCACTTAGCTCTAGATGTTTAGGGGCCCGATTACATCGTCCACGGCGTAAACGGCAACCCTCATCCAGTCGAACCCCAGCCGCGTGTCCATATCCATCGAGTATAACTCTGCGACATACCGCCCATCTCGTTCTTCAGCCTTCTTTTCCGCTTCTCTATGCACTGGAACCGCGTTGTTCACCCACCAGAAGTCGTCTAGCGGCGTGCGGATCTCCTCGCGAACGGCCGAGTGTCTTAGAAACAGCGCCCCGGCGTGATCGTTGGCTAGTTTCCTATCCGTGAATGTAGTGAGGGGTAATCTCTCGAGCTCTAGTTCACCGGTTTGTGTGCCGACTACTTCGTTAGACATTTGAATTTCGCCTTCCACATCGCTGTCATCGTCATGGGGTAGTTGTTGAGGGGTTTCGCTCGTGCTACGGGTCATGAACTCGCATTCTACGATGAAATGCGGGAGCGCCGGCCGCTTGGCAGACCATTTCTTCGAGCTCTGCTGCCGTTTAGTTAGGTTCTTTAGTTCTACGAGATGTCTGTCTACCCAGAAGACGCGCTCCTCGCCGGTAGCCAGCGTGAGCTCGGCCTTAAGTAGTTTAAGCGGCGTGTATTCAAAGATGTTTCTACGAGTTACGGCGGCGACGTTACCTTCGAAGTTTTCATACTGGGTGAGCTCTAGGAGCTTTGCGTTGGCTTGTTCACGGTCCGTGAAGGACTCTGGGAATTGTGTAGCGTAGTCGCGGATATCATCCTTGCGCGCAAGGTTCTGTGCATTCTCTGCTATGTAGATAGGGTACTCAAACTTGTGCTTTCCCACTATCGTCGTTCCGCCTTCTGTATTTCCTCCTCCCGTCGTGTGCTCAGCATCATAAAAGGGCAACCCTTTTCTCCATTCATTCACATCCACACCAGTTACATTCTGGCTTTGCGGTAAACTAGTTACGTTAGTAAGTTGGTGGTCATTTTGAGAACGTTTTTGTATCTTACAATCCTTGTCGAAGGCGTAATCAGGAGGTTTCATGGACGCCTGGTGGTACATGGCCATCTCTTCCGGGTTTTTGTCGTCCTTGATGTTATCCTCCATGACCTTGTGCCAGATCTCGCACGCCGAGCTGGCTATCTCTTGCTTTTCCTCGGGGCTCTTGACGTGCTTGAGGATAGCGTTGTGTAATGCTGTAAACTTGGCATTTCTATCCAATGTGTTGTATCGGTCAAGCATGTTCTTGCGGGCCGCGGCCGGCTATGATGAAGTTAGTCGGTTGCCAATTGAATTATTTCTTCGTTATTACTAGAGTGTATTTTTTGGGGGGTATTGCATACCGTAGTACTCTCACCAGGAACGGGCTTGTATTCAGCTAGAGGAGGAACGCGTAAGTATATGATCAAACATAAAATCAAATCAATCGTAAGTTTGGTTCTAAGGTATGCTCACCTTGACGACCCTTCTTCTTCGATACTTTCGGCTTCTTCGCCTAAAAAGCAAGTGTTAGGAGATTCTCTGATTGGTTTTATGGTTTGTTTATAGAAATGAATACATACTGAGGACTTTGTTGGGACAGCGGCAGCGGCAGTCGAAGCTTCGCCACGATCAGAGGGTGGTGTATCGCGTTGATAGAAACGATCGTTATCTGATGAGTCGCAAGAATAATTATCCCATTGATCATCATCGTCGCTATCCTTAGTCTTGTCATTCTCAACTGTTGCGATGACCTTGGCTATAGGAGTTCAAGGTTAGTGCCCGTCTAATTGAAAAAAAGGGGTACTGGTATTATGATATGGGAATACTTACGCTTCTTCTGGGGAGATCCGTCATCGCCAGAAGCAGAGACCGGAAGGTCTCGCTTCTTGGCGGGAGTTGATGTGGCTCCCATGATGTACGCGCTCTTCTTCGGAGTGCGGTGGTGGTCGCGCTTCTTGACGTTGCCCAAGGTATTTGGTATCTTGCCCTCAAAGTTAACACTAGGTCTTTTTTGCAGTGCTCTGATTATATCTTCAAAATCCTGTGTTCTCTCGGGAGGCTTGGTTCTCAGAAGATGAAGGCTAATATCATTGGCATTGTCTTGGGAGAAGTCAGAAATCTTTTCTGGTGGGATGGATTTGGAACTATGGCTTTGTGTACGGCTTGTCTCGTTCTGCGCATTTTTCTTAGTTTGCGGCTGGACTTCTTCGGACGCGGCTTGCTCTGTCTTCTCTTGTGTTAGGTGGCATAGTCCGCCCTTGCCCCATCTTTGAGTCGTGTTGGATCCGTCTTCGACATCACGGTCTCCACTTGTTCCGGTATCGCCACCGGGCTCACTACCGGGACCACGGCTGGTGCTTAGAGTGTAAATGCTACTAAAGCCAACTCTCCCGTCGAAACTGTGATCTTCTTCAAAGCCATCACCGCTCTCTATGTCATGTTTGATCTCGAGATCATGGTGGACGCTATCTCCATCAACTGACTCAGTTACCTCAGTTTCGCTAGCGAGGTCATCATATTGATTGAAGAAATCTGCAAAATCTCCTCTTTGGGACAGAAGTCCTAGTTCTTCCTCGGTGGAAGAATGATGCACTTCCATTGTGTTTCTCTGCCTTGACCATAAGCCGGGCGAGCATATGTGTCAAGAAGATAAACGAGGATCTTGAACCATCAAGCAATGTATGTCGTGTTGTAGAGAAGAGCTTGTGGCGTACCTAAGTACGTTCGTATTATCAAGGGATATGACTTTTATCCTACTGTCAGTCTAAAATATAGCTTACAAGGATAACTAGGTGGAGGTAGCGCACGGGAATGTCGAGTAAAGCTAGGATCGGAGTTTCAACTGGCTGATAGATGGCATTTGGTTGTGGCCAGAGACGTGTGGGATCAGATAAGCCGGTATGCAACAGAGGCGGTCGTAGAAAGCGTGATGGAAATGGGAATAGGCTCTCCAACAAACGTTTACGATGAAGTACGAGGGCGGTTGGCGTATGACGGGCTAAATCGGTGGACTGAAATGTCGAGGCCGGGTGGTAGGTATTGTGTAAGAGAAGAATGAAATTCTCTGGAAACGGGAAATAGCAAGGCGTTTCAAGTCAGGGCCGACCTATCTTGGAATAGTAGACTTAGAGGTAGGATGTAAAGAAGGGCAATATGAATAGGTAGCGACTCATGATGAGGGCAGAACGGAAGCGAGCCGCATACACCCTACCCCCACTTCCTACCTACCTGTTTACTACGTAGGTAGATAGAGTAATTGTTCATATAACTACCTAATCAGTATGACAGCACTATATCTTCTATGCTTATATATGGATATTACCTAGTAGATCGCAGAGGCTTTAAGAGACTCAGCTGTTAATTGCAGTTTCCTTACTAACTCCTATTACTTATGATATACCAAGGTAGGTAGGTACCCGAAGATATATTTAATAACAGGAAGGAGCCCAGTTATTGATCAGTGTTCTTCTCAAATGAATTCATATGTAATATGAGTTTGATTAATAGAGATGATAATAAGTATACCAAGGGGGCATCTAAATGGGGTATATGTTAGGGCTAAATATCGACTTGGTTACGGTGGAAATAAGAGATGATGTATGAAATATGTATTAATTTTGGAAAGTAATCGGTGTATGTGGAGGAGATTACAGAGATGACTTGCGATGGTGATATGAACAGTGAAAGTAACGATGTTGAATAGAATACCTTATGGTGAGTATATGGAGAAGTATAATGTTTAGATAGACATAGGAAAAATAAAGACTCATTTACCTATTAACCTTAGATAGCAGTTCACGAAAAGAAATCCGGAGGACATAGTAATGACATTATTCATCTGTATTCATGGGTATCTATGATTATGAGAGTAATCGGGAAAGGACATCATTCGTAAGATATCCCTTAAAGAAGCCGAAATAGCGTCGTATTATTTTTTGGGCTTAGACCTTGCCTTGAATGATTTCAAGGGATCATTCCGGCGGCTACCTATCCTCCTGCCTCTGCCCTTGGAGATTCTACCTCTTCTACCTTTCCCATCAAGGACCTTCTTGAAAGGTACAAATCCAACCTCATTTGGAGTGATTGCTTTTTTCCCATCCTTTGGCAATAGATAATCGGGCACATGCTTCAGATGGGGTTGGCTTCGCGTTGTTCGAAGTTCAACGTCGTGTCGCAGGTGACGAACTTCTAAGGGATTCTCCTCAAAATGTCGCTTCAAGCTTTCGCTCTTGAGCAGTTCTTGTTTAAGTTCTCGCAATCTTGCTTCGCGAATAGCAACCTTGGTAACAGCTCTGAGAGCATCATTTAATCGGTAGCGAAAGGCCTCGACAGCTTTCATGTCAAAACTATACGGTTTAACTTCATGGCCCCTCTTTTCTTGCTGCCTAATAATTTTAGATAGCACCTTCTCATCGTGTTCCGCCGTGTCGATACTGGTAGGCATGTGTTTCCGAAACTTTTCTTTCGGGACGACGAAAGATAAAGCCATACCTGTCTGACCGGCGCGCGCAGTTCGTCCGATCCTATGCAGGTAAGAGCGGGATGATAGCGGAAGGTCGAAATTTATGACTATTGCGACATTCTGGAAATCAATTCCTCGAGATACACCGTAATTCTTGTCGCGCCGTGAAGATTTACGCTTCTTTGCCGATGAAGCACTAGCTGAGAGTTGATTACTTTTTTCCGGAGCTTCGTTACTGGCATTGCCAAGATTGCTATCTGCAATCTCTTCATTGGCTAAATCAGTCTGGCCTTTCTCATCACCTATCACCTCATTTTCATCGGAGGCAATGATAATGTTGTAAACTCCTCTGTTAAACTCTTCAACTGCATGAATTCGACAATTGACGGGCAATTCAGAATTTAGAAGGCAGCTTCGTATTCCAAATTGTTCGAAAAACAGCTTGAGTCGATAGCAACGATCGACATCGCTAACAAATATAATTGCTTTTCCTTTGATCAGCTCCAGTTTTATCATGCAATAAATGAGAAGAAACTTCTCGTCCTCGCCGCACCTATGCGTCTATTAGTTATATGTCCATAAATGTGAGTTATTCAGCCATACTTGACAATGTATTGAGAAACTCCTCCATCCTCTTCGGGCTCTTCTAGATCTAGGATAGTAGGGTTTCGACAGAAAAGTCCCTTTAGAGTGTGGACCTCGGAGGTCAATGTTGCACTCATCAGAGTCGTCTGTAAACCCTTCGGTAGCGACGAGGCAACATTTTGCAGATCTTCATCGTAGCCATATGATAAGACAAGATCTGCTTCGTCTAAAACCAGATGGGTAAGTCTTTCCAAGGACAAGGCGGAGTTTTTGATATTGTGCCATGCTCTTGAAGGGGTTGCGACTACGACGTCGGGAGAGTCTGAGAGCACAGCGCGCTGGGCAGCATCGGAGAGCTTGTCGGAGAGTTTGGAGACTTTGATTTCTCTCGAACAAAAGGACGTAAGAGAATCAAGCACTTTGGTTACTTGAGTTACAAGCTCGTTCGTTGGAACTAGAATTAGAGCGGCAGTGTAAGAGTCTGACGATGTCTACTCCTCGGTTAGCCTTTTCCTTGCTACGCGATTGACTTGGAGAGTAGGCTAAGTTCACACCTGTTTTCGTTTGAGAATGGCTTGGAGAAGTGGTAGAGTGTATGCGGCCGTCTTTCCAGAACCGGTTTTTGCCTTTGCCAATACATCACAGCCTTCGATGGCTAAGGGGATGGCCTTCCTTTGAACTAAAGTCGGCGTTTGCCAATTCTGGTGGGCTGTGGCTTGAAGAAGTCTACTGTCGAGGCCGAGGTCTGCGAAGGTGCTTCCAGAAGGGGTTTCTTCGACACTGGTTGCTTCTTGTTTTGCGACTGAGACGGGCTCGTCTTTCTCGTTTAGCTTGCGCTTCATGGTGTAGAAATTGCGATACAATTGGACTTGAAGAATTGGCGATGATCGCTCACTCGTTGCTGCTACATAGATCTCTTCAAAGTGGGCTTTCTAAAAGTTCAATGTTCCTTGGCTTGGAAAAATAATTTGTTATCTTATCGCTCGTCATTCCCATCCCGGAACAACTGATTCACCCGATACCGGATTCATTCGTACGATATGTTTTTATGAAAATACTATTATGTATCAAAAACGTATATGCACTTATCACTGCATGTTATCGCTTACGTACTCCATACAAGCGACATATTCTATTACGACTCTGCAACCTTTAATCTGCAGGTGGTTTGTAACAAGCATTTCATCCCCATCGACATCCGGCAGTTGGAATTGGCGCATACAACCCCCCACTGTCGATTCGAGGACTTCAAGTCAACCAAGCTTTTTTCATTGAAGTCGTTAAAGGTCTTGGCTTTGGTAGGCTGCGACTATGTTATCTTGATTCATTGGTCAGCACCGCGGATGCCGCACCAACAACAGCCAAGACGTTTTGGCCAAGAGTACCCCTACAACCTCTATCTTCATATAACTGGTGCGACGATCCCTCCTCCGTGGTTCAATTCTCTCTACCATACTTCTTAGTGAAGTCTAGCATCGATGTCTTTAGCAGTCTAGTTTCTTTACGAGGTTACAGAGCAAATTGCCATCCGATCGTCACCAGTTTCATCAACCTAGCTTGATGGGTAAAACAATCCGCGACGTATCTACTACTGCGAGCCCGGACCGTCGACGCCTTCCGCTTTATGGCAAGGTTGATGTGATGGTTATCTACAATTCAGTTGTCGCTGTATTAGTCTTATTGGAGTCTCAATTCATTGCGAATACATAATATGCCCGAGCGTTTTAAGAACCACTGCAATTTCGTGGGTCCTCTATCATACATAACTTGGACCGACCGGGCTGAGCGAGCTAAACGATATGAGGTCCGGCAAGTTCGCTGGAAAGATCCTGTTGGCTCGATCGTGTTCGCCGCTAATTAGATATTGAACCCTGTCTTTCGCGGGGAGCACTGGAGTTGTAGTTGTGGAGACACCTAGCAATGGTTCGGAGAGACTGATTAGCCTACCTACGTCGATCTTAGGTATGCGCTTGATGTTACTAATCATCTTCGCAGTCGGCGTCGAGAGAAATAGTTTATGATGCATCGCGAATCTGAAGTATTCACGGTAAATGCCAAGTACGAACTATTAATAGCATAGTTCTCGGGTTTGTTGTTTCTGTCTTGTCTTAGCTATTTCTAGACGCGATGATCGCTGATAATATCTCTCTTGGCATTCACATTTTCCCGAGAGACGAGACGAGCGATTCGACCTTGAAAATATCATTGGGGAAATCCCCGGACGGCTTGGCTACAGATTGTTTCTGTTTCAACGCTCATGTTTGTTTCTTCGACACAGGGATATCGAATAGAATAGTAGGTCACGTGCCACGACTCTCGAGTCCAACAAGCGGTCGTTTCATATAGGATCAGTGCTGAAACTTCACCGGGGACTACGTACGCTTCCACGATAGTCCCGGGCCCCATGTATTAGATCGATCGTGTTCAACAAACTGTGCCGGTGAGGCATTTTCACAACTGCGCTTTTTGGGAGTTATCTTGGCTAAATACCACTGTTGAATTTGAAGCACCTGGAAGTAGCCGCAACAGTCCACTCGAAACGGATCGACATATTATCACGGGCCTTCTTGTTAGAGAGACCCTTACCACTAATACAACACTTCCTTGACTTGTGATTGGTCAATTCGTCTAATCCCATGGCTTCACCGTGGATGAAAATCTTAGTAGCTACTTTCACGACAAGCTTCAGATTGCCGCCCTGAACTAAAGAAAGTAGCCTCGTTATTTACCTAGCCTATTTGTGGAGCTTTTCCCCTTGTCAGATGGGTTCTTTCAGGTCGCTCAGAGTAACTAGCCAAGAGTTTCGCGATGAGTGTGGCATCGCGTAATTGCTTGTCTCTCCGCCGTCCGGTAGGTATTTCGTATAAGTAGGAGCGATTTCCTCTGTCCTTCAGAATTGAGGTTTGTACTCCTGTCCTGCCACTTCCGCCATCATTTCACCCTCCTCCCTCAGCTTCCGCGCATCTCTTTCCTTCCGTCTCTTCCCTTTATTTTCTTTTCTTCATACAGCTGGGCTGTATCTCGGGTCATAATGGCACCCAATTTTAGAAAGATTAAGGCTTTCGGTGGTCATAAGAAAGGAGCCGCAGCGCCAGGTTATATCGATACTACGATCGAAGAGGCGTCTGATCATGACCTAGAAGCCGGGAGTTTCTTGACGGAGAACACAAGGAACAATACCGTCGACAGTAACAACCAGGGTGACAACCCATACCTGGACGAGTACAGAGCGTAAGTTCACTACGAGACAGAAATGTCGGTCAGCTACTGACTTATGGTTTAGCCTGGTTCGTTATGTCGATACGTATAGAGATCCAAATGCGGAAGTGGGGGAGGAGGACTTCTCACAAGAGGACCAGAAGAGGCCTTGGTGGGCATTCTGGCGAGGTGGTAAAGCTGGTTACGCTCGCGCTTCTCTCAGTGAATTCGAGACGCCGAGCGACTGGCTAAACACAGACATCAGAGATGGTCTCTCATCGATGGAAGTCGAGCGAAGACGGAAGTTCTCGGGATGGAACGAGCTTTCAACTGAGAAGGAGAACATGATCCTCAAGTTCATTGGCTTTTTCCGGGGCCCTGTTCTCTACGGTTCGTCTTGCATAATACACTGGTCATATCTGTTCACTTTCTAACATAATTACTAGTCATGGAAGTTGCCGTAATCATTGCACTGGGTATGCAGGATTGGTTAGATGCTGGTATCATTATCGGTATCCTATTGCTCAATGCTGTTGTCGGCTGGTACCAAGAAAAGCAAGCTGCGGATGTTGTTGCCAGCTTAAAGGGAGACATTGCTATGAAGGCTCGTGTCGTTCGAGACGGGCACGAGACGGAGATCAAGGCCCGAGAGCTTGTACCAGGCGACATCGTGAGTCTCATTCTATAATTTCTATATAAGTTTCATCTACTAACATATTCGCATAGATTATTATCGAAGAAGGTCAAGTTGTTGCGGGTGATGCTCGTCTCATCTGCGAATATGATAACCCCAATGGACAAGCACAGTACGAAGCGGAGCTTACGGCTCAAGACGTCACATCACCGCGCCAGGAGAAATTCGACGAGGGAGACGACGAGGGAACTCCCCACATAGGACATGCGATTGTTGCTATCGACCAGAGTGCTATCACTGGTGAATCTCTTGCGGTTGACAAATACATGACCGATACTGTCTACTACACAACTGGTTGCAAACGTGGCAAGGCCTACGGCGTGGTTACTTCTGGTGCACAGGCTTCATTTGTGGGCAAGACAGCTAGCCTCGTTCAAGGAGCTAAGGATTCGGGCCATTTCAAGGCGATCATGGATTCGATTGGCACTACTCTTTTGGTTCTTGTCGTTTTCTGGATTCTTACCGCCTGGATTGGCGGCTTCTATCGCAACCTTCACATCGTCCTCCCAGAGGAAAGCTCGAACAATCTACTGACATACGCTCTGATTCTCCTGATCATTGGTGTACCTGTTGGTCTCCCTGTCGTCACGACAACCACCTTGGCTGTTGGTGCTGCGTATCTTGCCAAGGAAAAGGCTATCGTGCAGAAACTTACTGCTATCGAGTCGCTTGCTGGAGTTGATATCCTTTGTTCTGACAAGACCGGCACTCTGACAGCTAATCAACTCTCTGTCCGCGAACCTTTTGTTATGGAGGGCGTGGACATCAACTGGATGATGGCCGTGGCAGCTCTAGCCTCATCACATAACATCAAGGCTCTCGACCCCATTGACAAAATCACTCTCCTCACTCTTAAGCGATATCCTAAGGCTAAGGAGATGATCAGCGAAGGCTGGAAAACCGAGAAATTCACCCCTTTCGACCCCGTATCCAAGCGCATTACTGCTATATGTACTCATCAGGGTGTGCGCTACACTTGTGCCAAGGGTGCCCCTAAAGCTGTTCTGGCTCTAACGGAGTGCAGTGAACAACAGGCTGCCTTGTTCAGGGAGAAGGCTACAGAGTTTGCGCGCCGTGGCTTCCGTTCCCTTGCCGTTGCTGTTCAGGAGGAAGATGGCCCTTGGGAGATGCTTGGAATGATTTCTCTCTTCGACCCGCCGCGTTCGGACACAGCTCAAACTATCGCCGAAGCACAGGCGCTAGGTCTTTCTGTCAAGATGTTAACTGGTGACGCCATTGCCATCGCGAAAGAAACGTGTCGGATGCTGGCCCTGGGAACCAAGGTGTACAACTCCGACAAGCTACTCCACAGTGATATGGCTGGTACTGCTATCCACGACCTTTGTGAAAGAGCTGATGGGTTTGCTGAGGTGTTCCCTGAGCACAAGTACCAGGTAGTCGAGATGCTCCAGCAACGTGGTCACCTTGTTGCTATGACTGGTGATGGTGTCAACGATGCTCCCTCTCTGAAGAAGTCTGATACCGGTATTGCTGTCGAGGGCGCTACTGAGGCCGCCCAGGCAGCTGCTGACATCGTATTCTTGGCGCCTGGTCTCAGCACCATCGTTTCTGCTATCAAGATTTCTCGCCAGATTTTCCAACGCATGAAGGCTTACATCCAGTACCGTATAGCGCTGTGCTTGCATCTTGAGATCTACCTAGTCACCACTATGATCATCATCAACGAAACGATTCGCGCGGACCTGATCGTATTCCTGGCTCTATTTGCTGATCTGGCCACTATCGCCGTTGCTTACGATACCGCACATTACGAGAAGCGACCTGTAGAATGGCAGCTTCCCAAGATCTGGATCATCAGTATTGTTCTTGGAGCCCTACTCGCCCTCGGAACCTGGATTCTTCGCGGCACGCTCTGGCTTCCTGGTGGCGGTGTTGTCCAGGACTATGGCAGCATCCAGGAAATCATTTTCTTACAAGTATCACTCACCGAGAACTGGCTCATCTTCGTCACACGCGGCTTCGAGACAAAACCTTCTTGGCAATTAGTCAGCGCCATCTTTGGCGTCGATATCCTTGCATCCCTCTTTGCCGGCTTCGGTTGGTTCTCCGGTGGACAAGGCGAGCCGTCGAGCCCAGCTTCTATTTCGTCCAAGCTATCGCAAAACGGCGCCACCGACATCCTAACTATCGTTGTTGTCTGGGTGTACTCAATCGCCTGCGTCATCGTCATCGCTATCGTCTACCAAACCATGACGCGGATGAAGAGCCTCAACGACCTCGGCCGAAAGAAGAGATCGGCTCAGGACACGATGATGGAGAACATCCTCACACAATTAAGCAAGGTCGCGCTAGAGCATGAGCGTGACGAGAAGGGCGGCGACCGCTTTTACATCGCACAGAAGCAGGTCGTGGAGGATGAGGAATAAGCGGCACAACAGCAATACATAAAGGTGTCTTGGGGGTATAAAATGAGGGTTTACGGTTCATATTCAGCGATACTTGTGTTTTTTGTAATATTTATGCATTCGATACCAATCTAGCCGGTCTCTACAGGAAGATAAATACATATCGGCTTCCTTTGTTCAACATTGTTTTTCCCTTGCCTCGTCTTGGTTTTTACTGATTGTGTTGTTTACTACCTGGTAGATACAAGGTATCTCCATGCATGCTTATATAATAGCCCTAAGGACCTCGGAATGGCGTCAAGCCATAAGCAGGGTTGCTCCTCGTATATTGAGCTGAATCTATTACTCCGTGTGCTACCACACACAGTAGCATAGTATGCCGAATACAACTCAATAAATCAACTATGCAGCTATGATATTGATACCGTGGGCGTACATACATAGCTTTTCTGTCATACGTACCTATTTTCGTACAGTGATGGCTTCACATACATGGTGCAACACAGTACAGCGTAAATATGTAGGTACGTAGCCTTGGAGATGTCGAGTTTGCTCAGTGATATTTCCCTTCTAATTACAGTATGCAGAGAATTGGTGGATAGAAATTAGCAAAGCAACTCGTAGTTGCCAAGGGAAATTCGAAAAGGCTGTTGCTATGCAGCTGCCGTGATATGATTCTTCCTCTAATCAGGCTCTTCGATTGGAAAGTTTATTGCATGATAGTAAGCAGGTACCCCAGTACCTAATTCAAACTTGAGACAAAGAGAGAAATCTCGGGTCGCTAATTGGATCGTGCACGATTGGGTTGACTGGGTAACAGCGATGCGGAAAGGTGTGGAAGCAAGCCCAGGTGGGTACCTGAACTGCACCTGGACCGCACCTGGACCAGACCTGAACTGTACTACGATAGCACCCTAAACTGTGCCTGAACTTAGCGAATTTAGTGCCGGGGACTTGTTCGTTTGGTGGGGGATTAGTGTTGACCTATTATCGTCCCCCACTCCCGTCACACTCCCCACTATCCATGTCTGTTTACATCTGCCATCATCCAAATAACCTCCTTGCAACCTGCAATCAACCATCGTTATCGTCACCACCTTTGTTCATTTCTCAACATTTCCTTCTTGCAAAGAAAATAACTACTCTTACTGCTGTTGACTGGCCACGATACTATACTATTTAGTATCTATTCTGCTTAACATTCGAATTACCACGCTTTCATTAACGTGGCAATTGTCTCACTTGGCTTTTTGAGTCTTGAGTCGAGAGTAAACATTGCCGTCCTGATCGACCAATCCCGTCCGTCACTCGATCAACCCTTTCTACCCTTTCTATTTGCCCAAAGAACATCTTTTGAATTCCAATCTTCCTCTCGTGCATTGCAGTAGGTCGCATATCGCATTTTACATTCTGCACAATTCTGCATCGCGCCACCGCCTCGGATATCTACACGGGTATCTAACCACGTCGTCTGCGCATCCCTTCTGTGTTTATTTTCTCCTTCGGGAGACATGAACCTGCAATAACCAGAGCACTTTTTGCATGTTTACGTCTGCCATTATGGCTTCTGATGAGCAGCCGGTACGTTCAATGTTTAATGTTCAACAACTAAGAATATAATGAAGTAGTTTTTGGGGAATTAACGAGAATTCTTGTGTAGGTAACGCAGCCTCTGCGTATTTCTAAGAACAGCACTCCCGTGGCATCCCCAATTAAGAGCAACATTCCTCGTCCATTGTCTGAGATTTCAGCTACCGAGCAGCGACGCAATTCACCCAGCTGGAACCCATCCCCTAAGGTCATTCAGGTAATTCTAGCCCGTCCATATCTGACCGACTTGACTCACATCGTTCTTTGCTAACTCTCGTGGCGCAGAAAATGGGCCTAAACACCGACTCATCGCCATTCCAGTCCTCTCCTCTGGATGGCACAGCTTCTCCACGCCTATTTTGGCAGAATCGTAATATCAATCGCACCGAGAACGAATTGTATGGTGGTCGTACTGGCTCCCCATCGCCGACCAGGCGCTCCTCCATCGAGCGCTTGCAGAAAGCATCGCGCGTCAAGAACAGTACCATGTTCGCTAGAGAACAAAAGCAGGAGTATGATCCGGCGCGTGTACCAACTATCGAGCGACCTCTTTCTAAGGTACAAGGCAATGCTTATAGCGGTACTGGTTCTCCTTTTCGAGCAAGTCATGGCCGGTCAGAAAGCCAAACCAGTATTCCCATCTACTCCCCTACCAAGTCCCGACCAGTCCTATCTCCTGGTCCTCAGACCCCAAGCAAAGATCAAGTCTCTCCTATCAAGTCCTCTATGTCTGCGAATCGCTTTAAGAACAGCCAAGAATCCCCAGACGACGTCTTTACAGATCGCTCATTCGAGGAACACGTTCTTCCAAGCGGTAGATTCCTCCATCGTCATGCCAAATCTGTTACATTCGATGCGGCGCCACCTCAGGTCAACGAGTATGAGATGGCTACCCCTGATCTGTCTTCCGTTGGCACGAACTCGCGCGAAGGCAGCTTTGAAGACGATGAAGATGATGAGGATTATGTCTATGGGCATTACGCCGGAGAAGATGGCGAGGGTGCGGAAGACAGTTTTGATGCGACCCTCGAAGACACGGACAAGACCCCAGTTGTAGGACCTGATGACTGGCGTCAAGATCGCGATACACGTTTCGATAGTAGTCCAATGCCCGAAGGCGGTCTGCAACAAGCTGCCATTATCCGCCCACAACACTCTCGTTCCGATTCTTCTACCTCGAGTAACGATCACCGACCATTGCCCCCTCTCCCTGGAATGGGACACACTCGATCACAATCCTCCTCTTCCAATGGACTGTCTGCTACGACAGAACGTATGCTAGGCTCTCCTCGAAGTCTTCCTTCTCCACCTCCGGCTTCGGTGAGCAAGTCGGAGATCCAGAACATTGGCAATGGTAGCATGTCTTTGGAGGAACGTCTCAAGCTCATGATGCTTTCTGATGAGACAAGCCCCAAGGCTGCGGATAGCTCTGCAAAGACTTTCGCAGAACAACAACGAGAGCGTCGGATGCGACGGGCGGGTCCTCGTGATAGGGTGATGAGCCCCACCCCGGAGCATGAGGACGCTGATGCTGCAGCCAATGAAGAAGACGAAACTGCCGGTGACATTTCAGGACTTGACATTGATTTCCAACTCCCTAGCATCTCTCGTCAATCGATCCTGCGACGCGTGAATGGCAACCGGGCTCTTGAACGAGACTCCGACTTCGCCTTCAATAACTCTGTAGGCCCAGATACGAGTCTGGCTCGTGCTACTCCTTATGATCCTGATGTCCCCATCGCTAGTATCGAGGACTCGGTTCTTGATGATATTGCAGAGCAGAGCGAAGACAGTGTTGTCATCCATGAAAGCGAAGATGATAAAGCCGACGTTTACGATCTTTACCAGAGATCTGAGGATGAAGATGTCGCATCGCAAAAAGATGGCCAGGATTATGACACAGAGAGTCATTACTCAGATGAGGCCAAGAACCCTCAAACTGATGACACGCAACCTGAGCCGTCGGCCACGACTCCTCGGGCAGCGAGCCCTGCAGCTGAAGAAGCTATCACAAATTTCAGTGCTACTCTTCCCCAAGTGAACTGTCCGTCTAAGGATGCGGAATTCACTCGAAGCCTGCAGTCCCACATGCTCCCCAAACCTAAAGATGCGGCTGCGCTCACCTATTCAGAAAGCCACAAGATGTCCGACGCGCAAGCTTACTTGCAACGTTCGTACACTCCGGAGATGATAATGAAGAAGAAGAAGAAGCCTTTGTCGAAGCCAGAATATGATGGTTCTGGCTGGGGCGATCCGGAAGACGAGGAAGAGGAAGAATATGAAGAAGAAGAGTATGAAGAAGACGAAGATGAGGAGCCTGGTACTCCAGAATCCGTTATCCATCACCCTGTCTCGGATGATGACGACGACGATGACGATATCTCAGAGGAAGAGGAGGAGGATGATGAAGTGGATGTTGATGACAGTGTTGACGATGACAACGAAGACGATGATGATGATGAGATTGAAGAGGTAAAAGTACAAGTGGAAGAACCATTCCTTGAATCACCAGCGATCCCAGAACGCGAAGCAACTATTAAGGCTTCTTCTGGCTCTCGGCTAAAGACGCGTCCTTCTGCAACTCCGTCGGACCTTGAGGCCATGCGTGAGGCTCGTAGACAAGTAAGCCGTGAGATTGCACCCACCATCCCACCGATTCCGGACCGACATCGAAACCGTCTCTCTACCGACGCGGCGTCCAATAGCCTAGAGGTTCCTACCGGCGACGATTTCCTGGAGCGTCACCCCAGTTTCAAGAAGAGCAGTCTTACTTTGGATCTCGACCTCGGTCTCAGTCTTGATCAGGATTTCCAGCGGGTCATTGAGGCACAAAAGGTTAAATACCAATACCCTTCCCACTCTTACAACTTTCCTACAACTTCACCAAAGAAAGGACTTCCCTCTGTCTCTAGGAGATCTTCCCACAGAACCAGCTCCTTTACAAGTTCACCCAATGCTAACCGCAGTCCTTTGAAACAGCGTGGATACCTCATGCGCCAGAACACGAAACTAGTGACCGCCAGCGACAAAGACACCGAAGAAATTCGAGCAGGCACTCGCTCTGCTGGTAATTCTCCAGTTAAGCAATCGCGCCCCCAGTCCTGGACTGTTGAACCTTGGAACGGTAAGCACAGGAGAAGCATTCGAAAGCGCCACGGACCAAACACAGGAACTGCAGTGCCACCTGTACCAGGACACGAAAGCAACGCCACAACAACAACAGCAGCAGCAGCAACCGCGATGAACTCGCTTCCAGAGGAGGACTCCTCGGATCTAGCCACGGAGGAGTGTGGCGAGAGAGGCAGATTGTTTATCAAGGTGATGGGTGTGAAAGATCTTGATCTTCCCTTACCTAAGAGTAAGTTTTTACACATCAATATTTAACCCTAAGCTTTATACACAAATACTGATCTCCTACTAGATGAACGAGTGTGGTTCAGCCTCACTCTTGACAATGGTGTACACTGTGTAACCACATCTTGGCTTGAGCTGGCCCGCAACGCACCAATCGGCCAAGAGTTTGAGCTGGTGGTTCCTCGTGAGTTGGAATTCCAACTTACCCTTAACGTGAAGCTTGACAAGCCGGCTCCTCAACGTACGCTCGTCTCAACACCTAAAGCTGCTAAGCCTAAGTCTTCCCCCTTCTCTCGCGTTTTCGCTAGCCCGAAGAAGCGAAAGGAGATGGAAGCTCGTCAGCGTGCAGAAGAAGAAGCCTATGCGCTCGCTCAGCGAGAGGCTGCTGCCAAGCAGATGACCGCTGCCTCCTCAGCTTGGGACCTGCTTTCCCCTCTCGCTGCAGAGAACGGAACGTTCGCACGCTCCTACGTCTGCCTCAAGGAGCACGAGACCCGTTGCTATGGACGACCTTATATGGTAGAGATCGCTGCATTCAACGAATGGGCCACTGAAGAGGCCTCTTTTGCCAGCAGTGTCAAGAGCAAGCGCGCTGGAGTTCCCAGCAACGCCGTAGTACGCCGAGCACCGTACAAGATCGGCAAGCTTGAAGTACAGCTGCTTTTCGTCCCGCGGCCCAAGGGTAGTACGGATGACGATATGCCCAAGAGTATGGGCATGTGCATCCGAGAGTTGAAGGCCGCCGAAGAGCGACTGAGCAAGAACTGGGAGGGTCACCTGAGCCAGCAAGGAGGCGACTGCCCTGTAAGTTTCCATCCCAGCCGAGATCTAGAAAGTATGTGATAACTAACCTGCGAGATTTATAGTACTGGCGTCGTCGTTACTTCAAGCTAGTCGGCACGAGACTAACAGCTTACCACGAGACAACACGCCAACCGCGTGCTACTATCAACTTGGCCAACGCCAAGCGACTCATCGATGACCGACGAACCCTCACCGATCCCGAGACCACAGGCCGCGGCGGCAAGCGACGCCGCTCTGCTTTTGCAGAAGAGGAAGAAGGCTACATGTTCGTCGAAGAGGGTTTCCGTATTCGATTCAACAACGGCGAGATAATTGATTTCTATGCCGACACTGCCGAGGACAAGCAAGGCTGGATGAGAGCCTTGAACGATGTCATCGGCCGATCTGGCGGTGTCGACGAGAGTGGCAATGCTACAGGCCGCCGCAAGTGGTGTGAGCTCGTCCTTAAGAAGGAAGACATGCTCCGAAAGCGCGCCGAGTCTAGACGAGTTCATTCGAGAACTAAGAGTATGATCGTCTAACCTGGCCCCGCCAACGTTCATGAATACTCTCTACGAAGAGAAAATGAGGACACGACAAACGACAATTATGCCCGGTACGATCGTGAATGCAATTGATCTGCTTACGACTTCATGATCGGTATTTGCGGCGCCATCATTACTGCAAGAGCTAGCTCATTTCCCTATCTTACCTCTCCCTCAACTGTCTTGTTTCTTGAAGACCTCGATTTGGCATCTTGGCAAGAACACTATGCCAACGCTTCTTCTAGCCTACCATCACGTCTCAGGCTACAAAACTTTGGGCTTTGCTATTTCCCCGTAAAGCCCGTTTCTAGTGTACAACTTTTTTCTTCCCGTCCATTAATTCGCATGCGCCTGGCTGCTCACGCGCAAACACATTTTTTCGCACTAAAAGCAAGAGAGAGAGAGATTGAAGAAAAACCACGAAAAAAAGAGAAGGAAGGAAAGAAGGAAGGAGAGGAAAGTCGTCCTCGCGCCCCCGAGAACAGAACAGGATGCCTGGAGCTCCGAGGTCTTTCGTCAAGTTTTTCTACTGAGGAGTGAACGGCAATTGCATCGGTCAACGGGTTTTAGGAGGTAGGAGGGGAGTTTCTCGGACGGGTTCTTTCGACAGGATGTGTGTACCTTTTGAGTTTTTTTAGTTGACTGTTTTTTTCTGAGGCATTTGCGCGTTCCGTGGAATGCTCGTTCATACGGAGTCTAATAAATTCGCTTGTTAAAATCTTTTTTTCGTGTTCCTTCTTCTGAATGTGCTTTTGAGGCGTTTCGCAATGACGTAGATATATACCTACCTCAGTAGAGTTGAAGTAATTGATTGATACACAGTGATTGAAAATGGCCATTATGGCGATCACCAGTTACACTTACACAATGATTTGACAACTTCTACTCATTCAAGTCATCACTATAACCTAAGTAACTAGTCTTTTCTTTCTTTATCCTTATCGACAAGCCCTAGATATTGTACGGGGAAAGGAAGTAATTAGATTAGGACCCTTTGATCTTCGACACTACGTCTATCCTATCCCCACGCTTAAACGGTCTCGAAAGCCCCCGTTTAACCTAGATTCCATACGGGAGCCTTGACCAAGACTTGTCTTCCCCTGACCTCGACCGCGACGAAACCTGCAAACCGAACCTTTTTAGGATCTTTGGGGGGCGGGAGTGATAATGATGCTGCAGCTGCCGATGTCGTGGTGTCAGTAAGGACCGAAGCCGCGCTGCCTTTCCTGCTGGACGGGTAGGACCCGCCAAGCATTGTTAACATACCACTCTTTGACGACTTCTCGCGCTTCGCTTTGTCGCCATCCTTGTCGTTGCCCTCGTCGGCGTCTTCGATCGGCTCCGGCAGCGGAGGCAAAGTTGTCTTCTCCTGCTCCATGGTGTCGGGGTGTATCGGGTCTCCTGGTAGGGGGTATGTGATAGCTACATCTCGGCTTTCTAGGGGTAGGTTAGCCGCGATGCCTACCGCCAACTCGACGATCGTCGATGCGCTGCCGTCTACGCCGGCTGGGGGAGGATCTGTCAGGTACTGGAACAACGTCGCAGTCAGATTACTAGTGGCCATCTTAGTGAAGTCGGTGCGGTATTCGGCGCTCTCGGGCGCTTGTAGCATGTGTTGGAGGCCCTCCAGAGTAGCCATTCGCCAGTTGACAACCTTAGCCGTTAAAGCCTCATACTCCTCCTGACTATTCAGTGTATACGAAAACCTGCGAATATTCTGCTCTATTTGCTTCAAATGAGAGCTTAGGTGCATATCCAACCCAGGATGGAAACACTTGTTGAAAATCTCTTCGACTATCCATCGAATAATTACGGCTCGTCCGACCGCCGTCATCTCCTGCTTGCCTGTCTGAATAGCCTCCGGGCTCACGTATCGCTCTATCCAACCAGGTAGCGTTCGCCAGTCCTTACGAATGTTGAAGGAAAGGTTGTTGATCGCACCATTGAGTCTGTTAAACCGAGTTGAATACTCGCTGTCGTCGAGCGCTGTCCGAGACTGGGACATTCTCTGGTTCGCAACCGCATTTTGTAACTGCTCCACTTGAGCAGTCAACTGTTCGATCTGAGACTTGCCGTCGAAATAAAGCCTCTTGACGTTCTTATACTTAGTTACTATAACCTAGAGTCAGTAACATATTACACGAATATGGAAAGGCGTCTCCTACGTATGTCTTTAGAAAGCTTCTCCGGATCAGCTTCTCGATCTGTACTGTTTGAGGGTTGGGGACTATTTCGACCCTCGGGGCCAGGCCCATCGAACTGCGGTCGGTCTTGCACGCCGCTCGTGCGATAGGTTTGTGGCGCGCCAGTTACACCTGGCGTAGGTGGAAGGGGATTCATCGCATTTAGAGGCCCCTGACTATGTCTATAGCCAGGCGGGGGGCCGGGAGGAGGTTCAACGGAGCGCATTTGCTTATCGTGGTCTACCGATCTGCGGCTTTGTCCAGGTCCTCCGGGTGGTGGTGCCATGTTCGGGGTCTGTCCCGTTGACACCGATTGTTGCTGGCTCTGTGAGCTTTGTAGGTCCTGCTGCGAGAAACTCACGGCGGGTGAATCGTGTGTAAGTCTTGAGTTGGGTTGTGGTTGCTGTTGCTGTTGATGTTGATAGTCTGAATCGGAATCAGGCGATTCATGTGACACCTGCGAGACTGTTTCTGGGTTTGGCGGCTGCGGACTTGGCGCACTTAGATGCCCAGTAAAAAGGGACGGACGCCTATCTCCTGTCTGATATTGCTCGTAAGGAGGTGTGTACTGGTACTGGTTCTGTGCTGGGTCGACAATAATCTGGCCACCGTATAGCTGTTGCTGCTGCTCTACTTGGGCTTGTGCATGTGCCTGCGCCTGCGCCTGAGCGTGTGCTTGGGCTTGGACGGCCTGGGCATGCGCTTGCGCCTGCAACTGAGCTTGGTGCTGGACGATAGCCTGTTGTTGATGAAAAGCGAGGTCTTCGCGGCTGTAAGGTGACGTATCAGGATCGGGGTCGGGATCGTTAGGAACTTGTCTAATAGTATTCCGCGGTAGATCTTGGTGGTTCTGTGAAAACATATCTTGGTTAGAATAGGCGGTATAATAAGGATCGTCAAGGTCGCGTACAGGTTGGATAGGTGAGTGGTGGTGGCTGCGTGAGCCAGCACTTGGGGGCGGAACCCAGTCGGGATGGTCAATAGGCCGCGACAACAAAGAGCCTCCTCTAACGGCAGGTGTGTTGCTAGCCCTCTTGGATGGTCGGCGGGTCAGACCAGAGCCGTTGTCGTAGGACGCGTCCTGGTAGTGATCTGAAGTAGGTCTGTTGGAGGAAGAAGAACCGGCGATGAAGTTCTTGATCAGCTTGCGAGCTGATCGCTTTGTCTCGGTGGGGGCCGTTTGGCTATGTGGGACGGGTGGCTGGCTGGGAGGAACGACAGGAGAAGAGACGGTCTGAGGTAGGTTGTCGACCGAGTTAGAGGAGAGACCGAATGGGTGTTGGGTCTGCAGTGGGTTTAATTGGGAATATCTAGCAGATTGGGAGCGCGAAACCAATTCGGCGAAATTATCGTGGGGCTGCTGTCGCGCGGTGTAAGCAGCGGAGGCTTGATTGAGGGGTATTGAATTAGTGGGTAAATTATTAGATGGATTGTTTCCGAACACTTCTAGAGGCTGGGCGGGCTGGATAGGCTGGATGGGCAGCTGGCCACTTAATTGATGGTGGTGCTGGTGTTGGAGTTGGTGTGGTGAAGTATGTGGAGTTTGTTGCAGTGTTTGTGGTTGGGCAGCCCTAGTATCGGCCGGTAATGATAGTGGTGGTGGAGGTGGTGGTAATCGTTGTTGTTGAAAGGACTCACTAGAGCTAAGGCCGGTTGACAAGGCTGACGGAGTTGTTGGGTTAGACTCGGCGACGGCCACTGACACTGGCAGAGACTGGCCGGTCACGGGAATAGCGACACCAGCAGCAGATACTCGACGACCTCCGTTTAAAGGGCTAGGTCCTGTCACAGACCCCGAAGCAGGAGAAGAGAGAGAAGTAGTAGATGTGGTAGCACCACTTGTTTGTTGTTGAAGAGGATGATGGGGCGGTGCAGTAGCTCCACTGCCCGCCACCTGTTGCTGGTGCGAAGAAAGTTGTTGCTGTTGCTGTTGCTGCTGAAGTTGTTGTTGCTGCTGCTGCTGTTGTTGAAGCAGGAGTTGATGATGTTGCTGTTGCTGTTGCTCAACCAGGTTATGCTGGGAACGATTGCTATGCTTGCCAATGCGACCGAAAGAGGGCATAATGGTATTATTGACAGTTTTCGGATTTATCTTCCTAAACCTAAACGGAGTTGTACCTTTCGTCTCGCGCGCGCTCTTTCTGCCTCCTTTTGTCTTTCACACAGCCGCAAAGCCGCAAATCCAGACGACTGGGGACCGGGTACCTAGATAGGTAGGAAGCCGAGGAAGTCAGAAGCGAGGCAGAGCACAGGTAAAGGCCAAGTTTAGCCGCTTCGTGCAGGATATGAGATTTGATAGACTAGAAACGATCTGGCTTATTCCGTTCGATATTGTGTGCCGTCTGAGCGAACTACTGCGTACCTCCCCTATCTAGGATTGGATTCGCACTCGCACATGCACCCCTCTAACTAACCTGCTAACTTACAGGGGTTCCCGTTGTGTGGGGGGCTGTGCTGACGATGTTTCGTTTCCCGCTCTGCCTTTACCACTTCGTGCTGATGCTTTTTCGGCTGACTGACAAGGCAAGGCAGGACAGGCTTGCGTGCTCATTCGGATTGTTTAAAAATGGTGATCGTGGGAAATAAAACAGATTATGTTTCAACTCATAATCGACCTTACCCGTCTTCTCCTCTCTATCCTAGGACGGCGCAGACGACGGACCTATTCCGGGTCTCCCAATAGGCTGTTAGAGTCGCGATCGGCGTCAGGAAAAGCGCGGTAAGGGAAAATTGACCCAACCGGACATAAACGACAGGAGCTTCAATTTCTCAGGACACAGAGCTGCTTAGGTAAATGTGAAAATAAAGATAAAGATAGGGACACAAGCATAAGGTTTTTTGGATTCATCGGCAACACAAAGAGTAGGCAAATAATAACCTGGAACTAAACAACCCAAAATAGATAGACGGACACGTACAAAGCGCCAAGAGCGTTGGATGCACGGGGGAAGAGCCTGATGGCGAAGGAAGTGTTGTTTTGGCCTTGAACCTCAAGTGAGGAAGATTGGAAGGAGAAATTTAGAAAAAGCACTGGAGATCTACGGATCGTATCTTTCAGCCAGTCAATCACTGTCAGATTGGAAAGCACATTGCGCCAGGGCGTTCCGCAATAGGCAGTTTCCACCCCTTAACCAAACAGTCCAAACCTCTTTCTCCAATGATATACTACACGCACCTACCTAATGTATTGGAACGTAACCATCCTAGGTGTAAAATACAGGTTTTCAACTAGACTTACCTAACTGAGTAACTAAAAGAAGCAAAGCCTATTTGCTGTGTACCTACATTTACTAAACCTACCTACATCGTGGATGTTCAAACGTTTGGTGCTACTAAAGTATATTAGAAATACTTATATCAATGTACTTCGGAGTATGTTTATGGATCTTCTTTTTCTTCTTTTCTTCTTTTTCCTTCAAAGGCCCCCCCTTCGTTGTACCGAAACGTTACCACGATTGAAGAGAGATGAAGTCGCTTCAAAAGACCTTTATTAGACAAAATAGCTAAGCTATGCTGAGGTTAGGCTAGTTGGAGCTACTAGGTTACCCCTCTGTCGATCCATCCAGCGCGAGAAAAAGGCCGCATACAGAGTACCCAGTAGAGAGAGAAGAGATTATCAGCCCTAACGTCGTTGTCTCTAGGCTCTTGATAAGATCGAAGGTAAGATGAGAGACTACTAGGTTTGCAGTTAATTGGCGCGTTTCGTTTCTCTCACATCAGACTACATCTGCAGATCTTATTAATTTTTCCAGGTTGAGTACTTCGTAGAAGCTTATCAATATGCCACCGAGGTTTCAAGTTATCAGTTTAGGGTAACGGTCCTTGTACCGTTGCTATTATATACCAGGTTTAAGTTCGATGTAGATTCTCCACGTTCTTCTAAATATTTCTCAATACATAAAACCTAGAAATTCAGCTGCAAGCGGGGGATGGTTCTCGGTAACCTTAGTCCCGTAGGGTAGGACAATCATTGATGTGAGTGGGGTTAAGTAGGCGCTAGCTATTCTGCATCGTGCTATTTATAGATCTCACCCACAGTACCAGTACAATCCTAGTACATACCCATATGTAAGACGAACGGGATATTAAACATTATTCGAGGTTGGAAATACGTCATTTTGTTCGACCGTCACCGACAGAAAACTGGTAGCCGTCAACCATCATAATATGGTATCAGTCTCTCGCATCGGCCCGTCTCAGGACCGCTCTCGACTGTGAGACTGAACGTTACTTACATATTTAATAGGGGCATCAAGTAACCATCGAGCAACTATTTTAGACAACTCAGGTTGGCTTGGAGAAGAGCATAGGAGATGTTCCGAAACGAATACCGATCTATCACATATCCACAAATTGTCAATACGAAACTACCGAGGCTGCGAGGGATTCGGTTGGTCAGGCCTCACGGATCCGCATCCCTATCAATAAGAGATCTGGCCAATTCCTAGACCAGATTCAAGTATACAATCTTAATAACATAACAAGGCAAAGTCAATATAGGAGGCTCAGAGAAGTCATACTGGTTATACATACAACCTACCAAAGTTAGTGTTAAGGAAAAGTTTAAGACTATTGTCAGTTTTCTCATCCATAACTAACTTTATATGTACTTGCACTGGCTATACATATTGCCGCTCAACCAAGATTATGGGGTCCCTGTTACATAACATGAAAATTATAGGTGATTAGGTAACGTTGTTGATGTGAAGGTTTCCAGGTTCCACGATCTCACTGCGACTCTCACATGCAATAAATTATGTGGTGTACATTTCATATATTTCCCATTCTCATTCACATCTCAGTATCAATTGACAATACAGTCCATCTAACTTACATCGTTAGGTCATTCGTGCCTCCTTGCCCACAAAAATGATCGACCGGTATCGACTAGTTTTCGAGGATGCTTTACACGAGCATCTTAGACACGGGAGCTACCCGAATAGCCCACGGCAGTCCCAGGCCGACAATGATACTCCGTTAAGCTGAAGCTCCTGCTGAATTAGAATCGAGGCGGTAATGTGGGTATTGGAAATATGACTCGTTTCTTACATGGGTACCCGAGCACTGGCATCCGCTAAATTTATCTATATTAAAACGGACTCTGCACCATTCCATACATGTTTCCATACAAAGGGCCACCTGAGTCTGATATATCAACGAACGGAAGTATATAAAGGTTCGTACTTGATATGATTCTACGTAGGAGTTCTGGGCTTATCCCGGAATGAGCGGCAACGAAAGGTTAGCTGCATAAATCCCGCGCGATATAAAGTGTAGCTGCAGGCATGAAGGAGGCACAAGATAGACCGGATAACTCATTCCCGTTGCCAAACTAGTATACTGCATCGATCGAAAAGAGTATGGCTGACCGCTTCAGTGGAAGAAAAATGTCTCGGGTTACAGAAAGCAATGCTGAGCAGCGGCTTGCCGAATATTTATGTTACTCAACCCAACTCACAAACAAGCGGTAAACCTTTATTCCTGAAATATGTTCCACGAGATATCAGCCCGACCAGAAATAGTCATTCTTCAATATCTCGAATTAAGATATATTCAAAAGTGTATTATCCAATATTGAGATAATCTCTGATGCAAGGACGATTTCGATTGAATTGTTTCTCAAGCAACCAAATACAAGTTTAAGGTAAAGACAGGTTTCATTTTCATTGACTAATGCTTTCAAATCAATTGTTTGCTTATAGTATGAGTTGTATAATCGTCGATGTTCAATATAAGTGACGCACAGGGGCAGGTAAAGGTCATGGATGCCTCTCGACAGAGCATCATACTCCGACGAAGCTCATATATTCACATCAAGGATAGTTTGAGTTTGCGTCTCTCCTAGATCACGATCGCTTTTGATATTGATAGGGATCACACGAGAGGGCAAACCGTAAGTAGTCTGGTAGTCACCATTTTATCATGGGTCGTGTATAGGTAAACTGATGTAGTACTACGATCTACCCTTCTTAGGTATGGCCTAGAACATCGTGAAGTGGTACATAAACGGCTATTTAAATCAAAAAGTGCGTTTTCGGTCCTCGTTCCACACAATAATCTACTCCGTGTGTGTATAAGTCGGCCACGCAAGATGGCGGTTCCTTGCATGTCAATCTCGTGGCCGTTTAGGACCTAAAACATCGTACAGAGTAACAAGGAGATGAAAACTTAATCATTTCTATTCGAACTGCCGGCAGGCTGATGAGGAAGTCGGTAAAGTGTATAAATATCCTAATTTCTCAGTTCACACTCGAGGGCTCCCATCGAGGAAGTGTCGAGCAGATAAGTTAAATGAGTCCCTCTGTCCAAGTCTCCTCATAATTCTTACAAAATTTCACCTCAAAGTTTCTACAATGCAATACTTATTCGGCATCACTCTGCTCCTAGGGATCTCCATTGCCCGACCTCCATTCCCTCGGGATGTCGTGAGCCCTCGAACTGGAAATGTAATCAATAAACCCTGGGAGCTGGCTCAGTTTCACCTCGAACCTTTCAATCTCACAGACATGGGGGTCGAATGTTCAAAGAACACGAATTCTTCATTGTTCGGATGTTCCATCCAATGTAGGTCCATTAGAATCGGCATCTATATACTCTCAATGGCCTAATATCAGTATCTAGTTAAATGGGAAGACCCAAACGCCAACCAATCCTGCAGTTGCAAGGAAGACTGGCAGTGGAATGGCATCACTCAATCTCAAGGGCCCATGAACAACTACAGCACGGAATACTTCGTCTGCAAGAACGACGACACCGAAATCTTCCAATTCAAGTTCATGGACATGTTCGACATATCGAACTTCAGCCTCTCTCTGACGCACGCATATAAAGATAACAAGTATGGCGAAGATACTCTCCCAAGGTATAGAGACAAGCTAACATCTTCTAACCTCAGGAACTTCCCGGCGCCTACAATGGCCAATATGTTTTCACAGCCGAATATTACTCTCAAATTAAAGGAGAAATCCAATACTACGATGGCGTATTCCTCCGCCTGCGACTGTCCCATAAAAGCGAACATTACCGGCATAACAATTTAACATAGGGACATGTCGCCTCGATCTTAAATATTTACCACATCAATACTCAGCGTCTCTTTTCTGTCGGCTGGTGAAGGTGCACTTGGATATCATTACCTATCCTTCCGTTTCGTTGGAAAACCTAGATCTCGCATAATATTTACTACGTGGAAAACACACCCCTGAGTTGGACTTGAGAGGGTTCATGATCTAGAACATCCATATAAGACTGCTGCAATGGCAGTATCCCCTATTATTCATAACCTCATTTTCTATAGATTCAATTCCGTAGGCGGATCTTGCCCGGCACTAGAATATTTCAGCAAAAATATTAGGTGGCAATTGACTCAATACTACACCGAGCCCCAACCAACCCATTATTTCGCGATAATGTTATGTGATATCGTAACCCTAAAATACGTTCAATGACTTACATAGATTTTTAATTTAGAGGTATTTGTAGCTCACGGCAAGGCCTACTCAATACTAGGTGAATTATCAGTATTTGTGTTGATACATACCCAGCGTGGAACCCGAGTTATAGAATAATTATTTCTGGTCAAGGTGAGTGAATTCGCGTATGCATTTCACCGAAACCCGACACGAGGGGCATATTGCGATTCCTGGTAGATGGTTTTACCTCGAGGATCCGCCAATAACCTTTTCCCCCTTCCGACGTAGCAATAGTAACGGTAGATCGTTGTCTATATATCGGAATATTCTAAAGGGTGCCGTTCCAGTCCCGAATGTCGACACGAGTTGGCGCAGCTAGGGGTCCCGCGTGAGTGTAACCAGATGTATGGGACCGCCCGTAGAGTCGAAGCGGTTTGTAATATAAGCCAGCCAATGCAACGTATGACGAAGCCGCTGCTGCGATGAGATTGGCATCTGGAGCGTAGACAATCCCGGAAGAGGTAGTAGAAATTCGGCGATATTTAAATTGAGCGGCCTTGGGCGATCGGTCGGCCGTGGTGGCCCGACCTATAACATATGCCGTCGGAAGCGGATGGATGGTATAGCGTAGATCACGAAAGAAATGCAGGCCAAGTACGTATTAGGAAGGGATAGCAGTATTAGTAAAGGTTGTAATTAGAGGCTGAAACATATCCTAATCGGGAAAGGGAGTTTTGAACTCCTCAACTCCGAAGCACAGCCGCGGAGAGAGAATGATACCTGCGGAAAGGGGAGCGGAAGCGGAACGGGGAGAATCTACCTCTAGATCAGGAGTCTAAATCATCTTGGCACTCAACAGAACGCTCGTTGTTGCCTAGAATTTCCAGGTTTAACGCAGGCGCGGGTGCTTTAGCGAGACGCATTCCGGATCAAGGGACTCGGAAGTCCAGCGCGAGGCCGATCTTCGCATCGTAATCTCGCTCCCACTTTTATACCTAGCGCCGGATCTCGAAATACGACGAAGTCTGCGTGTTAAATAACTCATTTTCCCAAACTGGTCCCGTAGCTAACGTGAAACATATATGTATAGTATAAGAATTAAGAAGGGTATAAAAGGTATATTCGGAAAGGATATAGTAAGAGAAGCGACGGGACGATGAAGACGACGGTCCGGTTCAGCCATTGCGAATCGTTTTAAAAGCAGGGAATAGAGTTGCGCTCTCGAGACGTATGATTGTCAAAGTGAAGAGTCATCAATACATGAAGTCCTACATACTCGGCGGTCAGATACTGCTCCGAGATTTGCATAGATTTACCTAGTTAGAAATATCTTAACTCTGGGCGGCGATAAAGAATACTATTTGAGGTTGCGAGTGGAGCTTTAACCGATGACGGAACCGGAGATAGGCGAAAACCCAACAATCCTAAATCCTAATAGGCCATCAGGGGCAGGCATCTGGCGTGCTCGGATGCTATCCATTGCTACCAACATTATCAGAATTTCTTTGGAAATCCCATAGAAAGTCGAATGTTAGTTCTTTAAATATCATGCCTCGTGAACTCATGAATGTTGTTTGAGTCAGGTACTAGTTGATATCTTGTATCTTGCTAAATTTGTCGGTGGTAATACTTGCGTGAGAATACCTATATTGGTAGGTAGCTAGAGCAATGAGCGAGTCTCACACGAGTGCAGAAGCCAAAGAGCGGTCGGCGGTTCTGAGGACGGTCAAACGAATTATAGATTTCATCTTGAGCAATTGGTTGGTCGTGGGATTCGGCCTTGCTTGTCTCCTGGCATATTTTTTCCCTCGTATGTTAATAGGACCTATGTTTTTGGTATTGTGCGGTTTGCTAATCCATCCATCTTAAGACGTTGCGGCCCGCGGTGGCGTTATTCGCTCGGAATATTCGGTCTTGTATGGAGGCATTGCTCTGATCTTCTTCATCAATGGAATGCAACTTAGCCCGGAGAAGCTTAAAGAACATGTGAAAAACTGGCGACTACACATTGTTGTGCAGGGAATAAACCTTGTCCTCATACCCGTCATTCAACTTGGTTCGTAATTCAACTATGTCCTTAGGCTGTAATGTTTCGCTGATCTTGCCCTAGCCATCATACATATAGTGATAGCCGCTGGTGCTGTGACTTCGGGTACAATTGATGCTAGCATCCTCATCGGGATGGTCGTAGTCAGTTGCATCCCGACTACTTTGGCATCCAATGTCGTGATGACAAGAAATTCGGGTGGCGATGAGGCTGCTGCCATCATCGAAGTGGTAATCGGCAACGTAGCTGGGTCTTTTCTCTCTCCATGGCTGATATATGGATTCCTTCCCAACGGCGGGGAATTCGACCGGCTCAGACCAGCAGAAGCAAGTACCCTAGGACCTATGTATGCGAACGTTATGCAGCAGCTAGGTCTCAGCGTACTGCTTCCGCTAATTGTAGGGCAAGGCCTACGATGGACTTTTCCGAAGCAGGTCTCTTGGACATTAAAGACATTCTACCTAGCACAATTCTGCTCCGTATTGATGATATTAGTGGTCTGGTAAGTGCAAATTAAAATAAAGAGTGAATAGGAACTCAAGCTAACTTGAATCATAAGGACCACTTTCTCAGGTGCATTCCAAACAGGGGCACTCACCACACTACCTAAGTCATCGATAATATTCAATGTGTTTCTGAACCTAGCAGAATACATATTGTTCACAGCTATTTGCTTCTGGATAGCATCGCCACCAAAAATCTTGTCAATGCCGATCAATGCTTTTGTTGCCGATTCAAGGTTCGGTTCGTATCTACCTAAGGCGGTACGGAATGCGATAACAATTAAGAAAATGCCCAAGGAGCTCGTCGTTGCTGTATGTTTCTGCGGAGCTGCGAAGACCACGAGCGTAGGGATTCCTTTAGCTGCTGCTATGTGGTCTCAATTGGATAATTATACTATATCATCCATCCAAGTTCCAGTGCTCTTATACACAGTCGAACAAGTATTCGTAGCGCAGTTCTTCACCATATTCTTCAAGTGGTGGCTGCATCGAAACGGTAAAGGGATATCCGATACTGACTCGATCGCAACTGGGGAGCAGGAGTATATGACGAATGAAGGAAGAGGAAATACACATCCTAAGAGTGAGGAGAATGGAAGCCACGGGGTTCAGGCTGATCCTGTCGATATGAGTGCAGTGCATGAGAAACCAAGGGCTGCCTAGGCCCTAAGGCGCCCTAAGGCACTCTAAGGCTGCTAGGTCGATATCAACTGCACTAATGGTACCTGATTAGGTGGGGTAGACGGCTAGTTTGGAGTTAATTTGGCGGGGCTAACTATATCAGCCCACTGCACCTACGGGTATGACGTGCCTGCCTATTAATTCAAGAGCATGCATTAGCATTAACTGGTTCTCAATAATCATCATGTAACGATCGTCAGCCAATTCACACGATCGTTTTCTTTAGAAAATTCTCGAATTGGGATCAAGCATCAGTGTTGAAATTTCTTCATTTCTACCTGGTCTTCCCTACCAATTCACACTCCTCTCACGTACTTGTGGTTTTATCTTTTGATGATTGCCAATCTTCAAGTTTATCGCTGTCTACAATTCGGCACGCTTTTATCTGCATCTTCAGTTCAAGATGAGCTCTGGCCGAGCTTTACGAGGAAGCTGCCATTGCGGCAGAAACCAATATATAATCACCATTCCAACTGACACCTCAGATGTTGCCCAAATGGTGTTTGATTCGGCTGAAAGTCAAAGTAAGTTGAATCATGTTAATTGCTACTTTCCAGGTCCTTCCACAGGGACCTATAAAGATGAAAATTCGCTTGGATCACTACATGACCACAAACGTATTTACCTTCTAGGATATTCAAACTGCTAATGTTGCACTTACCTAGGAATGTCTTCCGCAACCTTTCTCTCGGAATTCCTACGAGTTCCGATCCATTGGTATCACAGCCAAATCTTCCCATTCTTTCCCGATGAATCTCGAGCTACCATTCGACGCGCATATTCCCACCCCGACGAGCAATCTGTCATTCGACAGTTTTGCGGATTCTGCGGTACCACTCTGACATATTGGACCGAAGATCCCGTCACCGAAGCTGGCTACATACAAATCACGCTTGGTAGCCTCTTAACTGAGGATCTCTACGATCTAGGTGATATGGGCCTAGTTCCCGACGACCCCGAACAGGAGTCCGAACAAGATCGCATGGAAATCGAGTCCGCTTCCGAGACTGGTCACGCTACCCAATCTAGTGGTCATGACGTTACAGGTATTCCGTGGTTCGAAAGCCTTACTTTTGGTAGTCGCTTAGGAAGTATCTATGCCGCAAGACGTGTTGAGGAGAGCCGAGATGGTCGAGTTCGTGTTGAATACGAGATTACGGAGTGGGCGGAGGGAGATGATGCGGCTATAATTACGGGTTTGGTGATGGAAGAAGAGGAAGAGGAAACGACTGAAGTTGGGGACGGAAAGTACGGAGAAGAAGCAATGGCTAAGCCTGAACCCGAGTCGCCTGCAACGGGTAAGAGGAAGCGCGGAGAGAGTGAGGATGGAGATGAAAATGTCGGCAATGCTGCCCAGAGCGACGTCTAAAGTACCTGGTCTTTCTTCAGGTCGATTGTTTGCTCGCTTCTGGACGATACGACTACGAAGCATTAGTGATGGACGAAAACTGTCTAGGGACGGGGATAAGTGTCATTGGAAGCATACTCGCTTCCTCCAGCACCCATTTGTTGAGTTCTTGTTGGACCCTGTCAAACCTTTCTGTTTTTTTTTCTGGCGTCGGGCCATTGCTTTTATCCTGCGACACGGCGTCTGTACGATTTGCGTGAATTCTGCATCGAAGGCGTCTATGCTTACAAGGATCCAGGCCAGTGATCAGTTAATGGGATCCGAGTCTCCGTCGAGGAGATAGCTGTATGTCGAAAAGGGATTTTTTAGTTCCAAGGTTTCGCCTGGAAAAAATGGGTATGACCCAAGCCAGGCGATTCTCAAATAATCGAAAAATTCTCGCCGAGACATTTATGCGACGACTTAAGATGGTAATCGGCGAATGGAAAATGGACGTAGGAAGCAAATTCTGCATAACAAGATATATAAAACAAGTCGTTATTGTATGTACGGCGACATTGGTCGTCGGAAGCCGGCATAGGTTAACCGCTTTTCAAGTGTTTTGTGAGTATTCAATCCAGGGACCAATCCCGGAGACGTAAAGGACGTTATTGATCTTACTATCATTATCTAGTTATTATTTTCGCGAGTCGGATGGCTCGCCGCCCGCTAACCCATGGGATTATCCTCCGCCCTCCGACGTCGTATCCTCGTTCTAGATCCTAGGTGAAGGGATGTTGCGCCGCATTCCAGAAGAGCAAGGTGCAAAGATGGCCAAGATCGATCTTTTGAATCGTTAGCGCGACCGCTCATCAATTCGTGACTATCCCGAATCCAAGGAACGGCCGTTGTTCAAAAGAGGCTACTCTGGTCTGCCCACTCGGCTGTATCGCCGAGGTTTTCACGAGATCCCTGGCTGCATGAGGAGTCAGGGCTCTCTTGACTTGGGGTCTGGCTTGGAGGGACTGCTCTCTCTTAGTAGCCGTGGCCGGAGAGACGGGCCGTCGCTGAGATCTAATATGATTCCGGCACATGACGAGTTCGTTTGTGGGGGGCATCCCCATCGATCCCAAATCAAAAACTGGACCCTGTCTTCTCTACCTACACGTATGCCTACAAGCTCCAATTACCCCGCGGCGGAGATGGTTGCCAAGTTGTTTTGGCCTATGTGGGTATGTATGGATGGAATAGGTATGAATGGTTTGAGAAAACAGCCACCATCATACAAGCCTGTTGTTCTCGGTCGTCACGGTCCGACGCGGGAGAAAGGGAAAGTACCGGCCCCTTCACTCCCCTACACTATATGTCGACATTGCATGGTTCAATACTATACCATACTATATACTACTATAAACACATTCGTCTGTGAGGCATCACGGGGGTATATAAGAAGATGCTAACTTCCACCCTAACACCGAGCGACCCTTTTCGGAGGGTTGACTCGACTGGTATCTGTGTATCATCGCCTTCTGCTTCTCATCTTTTTTCGCGAGAAGACTTCGACTCATATTCTTGATCGTGCACATAAGAAATCTCCTTTTCCCCGGACGAGATCGGAATATTAGCGGAAAGCTTTGAATAACTTAGATATACCCTCATATTTCCCTTTGCGCACTCAGACTACCCATTCAATATGTCGTTGCCTTCAGATTTCCTCTGGGGTTTCGCCACAGCCGCGTGAGTAATATGAAACTCATTCTCCTTTCTATACATTTAGGGGAGAGTCTCGTTACTAACATCACCTTTCTCCTCACATAGTTATCAGGTCGAGGGTGCTACCGAAAAGGATGGTCGTGGTCCAACTATCTGGGATACCTTTTGCAAAATCCCGGGAAAGATCGCAGACGGAACCGACGGGTCAGTTGCCTGCGACTCATACAATAGGACCTCTGAAGACATTGCTCTGTTGAAGAGGTTGGGTTCTAAGTGCTACCGCTTCTCTTTATCCTGGGCAAGAATCATCCCTCTTGGAGGACGAAATGATCCCATCAACCAGGCCGGTATTGACCATTATGTCAAGTTTGTCGACGACCTACTTGCGGCTGATATTGTACCTTTTATCACCCTGTTACACTGGGATGTCCCGGACGAGCTTGACAAGCGATACGGTGGCCTTTTAAACAGGCAGGAGTTCCCACTAGATTTTGAGAACTATGCTCGTGTCGTCTACAAGTCAATCCCTAAGTGTAAGAACTGGATCACATTCAATGAGCCTTGGTGCAGTTCTATCTTAGGGTATAGCACCGGTTTCTTCGCCCCTGGCCATACGTCTAACCGAGAAAAGTCCGCTATCGGTGATTCCAGCCGAGAGCCATGGATTGTCGGCCACAACTTACTTCTTGCTCACGGCAGGGCCGTCAAGGTATACCGCGAGGAGTTTAAGCCTACTGACAAGGGCCAGATCGGTATCACCCTGAACGGAGACTTCACATACCCATGGGACCCCGAGGACCCAAGAGACATTGAGGCTGCCAATCGAAAAATAGAGTTTGCCATCTCGTGGTTTGCCGACCCTATTTACTTGGGCAAGTATCCAGACTCGATGCGGAAGCAGCTCGGCGACCGGTTACCGGAGTTTACACCCGAGGAACTGGTACTGGTTCATGGGTCTAATGACTTCTACGGCATGAATCACTATACAGCCGACTATGTGAAGCATGGCGACGGCAACCCTCCTCCGGAAGACTACCTAGGCGACCTATCGACCACCGCTTACAGCAAGAGCGGCGAGTGCATTGGTGCGGAGACACAGTCATTCTGGCTGCGCCCAAATCCTCAGGGCTTCCGCGGTCTCTTGAATTGGCTTAGCAAGCGCTACGGTTACCCCGCGATTTATGTCACCGAGAATGGTACCAGTATCAAGGGCGAAAACGACTTAAAAGATCCCGAGATTCTCAACGACGTGTTTCGGTACGAATATTTCCGAGATTATGTCAACGCCATGGCGAAGGCTGTTAGCGAGGATGGCTGTAATGTCAAAGGCTACATGGCCTGGTCGCTCATGGATAACTTCGAATGGGCTGAAGGATACGAGACCCGGTTCGGTGTTACCTACGTTAACTACACAGATGGACAGCAACGGAAAGAGAAGTACAGCGCACAGAAGATGAAAGAGATCTTCGATGCGGTCATCGAGAAGGCTTAGAAAGAAAGGGAAGTGCAGGGCTGACGATCCGATAACTACCTCTCTTTCTCTCCTTGTTGTATATGTTTCCTGCGTATGTTATGAGTTGCGTCGATACCTCAGGTAATATTGGAGTATAATCAGGGTTATTATTACGGTCCTTTTGGATTTTTTGCTTAATGCTTCGCTCAATATCATGACACGTGTCTCGAGAATCTCCGAGGCAATCAAACTCTCATCACATTGAAATTGCTTTGCTACGTAGTTACAAACTGAATCTCCTCGGGATTTCGTGTCAGAGATGTGTTGGTTGGTTAAAGAGATGCGGTCTTATTACCGTACCTAACCGAAGGCTTTTAGCATTTATGCGGGTGATTTTACTAGGGGATTAGGTTATTCTATCCGATGTCGAGGCGATGAAGTGATCATACATCGCCTCGAGCTTACTGTTACCGTCCGTCAGTGTACCGGTCTTATTGATCACTTGTGGCAGAATTCTATAGATTGGTCTTCGTGCATTCTGTTACTCATAGTCTTCTCTCACCCTTGTCCACTACAATCGTTGAAATAATATGATTGGATTATCCAATGATACTACAGCGAAGAAGAAAAAAACGATATATCCTATGAAAGCAGCTGGATTTGCATCAAATATAACGATGTAGCAATAGAGATGTTTCAAGACCAGACATGCTTACTATACAGAAACAAGCCCGAACCTATAAATGGTCTCCCCTACGCGTGATATTTCTCGGCATGATATGATATTAAATCCATTTATAGGTGACTGCCACATCCCACATCGTCCAAATGTGATGAAATTTGGTGCTGGAAATTTCAACGAAATAATACAGCAAATAGTAAGTACAGCCTGCTTTTCCGTTCAGGTTTGGTGGATACAACAGCTCTTCAGACAATCCGCACAATAAAACATGCTTTCAACCGTATTCCGTACCTCTCCCGTTGAATTGGCCGTCCTGATCCGGCCGAACACCTATAATTGTACAGCAAATCCCAAGCCCGTAACCGAATCGACCTGGTTTTGATATAACCTCTCCTTCACATATTATACAAGACTTCTACTTCTTGAAGCTGTTTCTTCGTGCAGCAAGGTCATGCAAATCGCCCGTCTCGCCAACCTGTACTCGGCCGCCCGTGTGCTCGTCGGCTACCTTGGGTCCGCGTTTGACCGCGCCGTCGACCTTGTCCTTGAGCTCCTCTTCTTGAGCTTCCGTATTGCCACCAAGGCCGGCCTGAGGTCTATCGCCGATTTCGTCGAGGATATTCCTGGTCGCGGAGCATGTTAGCCAGTGTAGGTATTTTGGTAGAAATTAGATTTGGAAATTTGGTTGATAATTCTCATGCGGGCATTGGGTATGTATTGAATAGAGAAGGCTTACTGCGTATGGCCTTGTTGGTGAGGGTCAAGCGGTGTTTGCTTGGTTCCAGACGACTTGCCGATTTGTGAATCCGCCATCTCGATTGTGCTTTGGCTAGGTTCAGGGTATCACGGGATTTTTTATGAAAAAACAACTTGATAGTTCAATAGTTGGTAAGGTCGAGTATTAATGTTTGAGTGTTCAGAGTTATACTTCGTAGGTGGCATCTATTGCCATCTTATATCGAATATGTGGGGGATAACGCCGATGACGTATGTTGAGGTCATACCCTTGTACTGATGTATACAAACATCTCTGCCTCATCCGCTTCCCAGCCCTTATCTAACATCTTGATTGTCTATGTATATAAATAGCAAATCAAGCTTTGAATGTAGTAATGATATCCGGTGGGTAGATTACATAGGCGATCTATGTTGATTCGAATCGATCCATAGATGAGTCAACCCAGCATTCTTGAGTTGGTATGATTTGATAGTAGGGCGGATTGCCATTTGTACCTGTTGACCTTTAACTTCATCAATTCCTCTTTGAATCTCTCTAGTACGGAATGTGTAGTACCTAGCATTTCTTTGCTAGGCTATCTGACAAGACTGAGTAAGTTTGATTTAATTTGCACCTAAGAAGGAGCCATATAAGGTGATGGCCCACGATGCAGCACCATATCAAAAAACTCGTTATAGTAGTTGTGATCGAGGTATTGGTGAACGTTGTTTTATCTCTCATTTCGTCTTTTCCTCGCTTGAGTTGGTCGGTAAGTTACTAGATTCTCGAAGAGAAGCAATGCTGTCATCAATGATGGATATTTCCGCATTGATCCGGAGAATCTTCTGTTCGAGCATTTCCTCATACTCCTTGTCGGATAATTTTCTCATGGGGCTCCATCTTGAATCAAGCCAGCTCGATTTAGGTTTGGATTCCTTGTTTCTGGAACTATCCTTGAAGCGCTGAGATAAATATTCGCCGACGCCGCCAAGAGTGCCAAAGACGAGAATTCCCGGTATAATATTCCTAGGTCCTCCTGTACGAGTTTAGCAACGACTACGTGAGTATAGAGATGGTATATTAATAAAAAAAATAACGTACGGATCATGCCGCCGACCATTCCAGACACACCGCCGGCTGTTCCACTAGCCTTAACTCGATCCGACAAGGTAATATTTTCTTCACCACCCCATGAGTGTAAAAGGACGCTTTTTGATGCTGTATACTGTGAATAACTAGAAATAGTAATTTGGTAGTGATGAATCTTACCCATATATGTAGATCCGAGACCAAACCATTGGAGGCCAGCGACGAAGGCAAATATTACTGGAGGAGCTGATCGGACAATGCCGGCACCAGCCCCAAACAACATGCCAACAGCACCTAGGTGAAGTCAGTAAGTCTATCTCGGTAGTCCACAAGTTGGCGTATGATTATACCCATTGCTGCCCCTGTCTGTATTGATTTAGCTGCAATATCCTTAACCACATTATGGGACATATCAGTAGAATATCTATCGTTTACCCCTGCATTAGGGGGTAAGGCTTTGGACCGCTGAGGCGTTGGCGGCTGAGATGACGAGGCCATTTTTTGGGTAGTTGCCGCAATAGTGTAAATAAATGGAGCTTATTTTCTCGTTTGTAAAGGGGGCCAACCAGCTTCACTCTGGCCACTAGCGATATCTTTCAAAATTATCAATTCAACTGCTGGTAAATCTAGTGGGTTGTTGGAATAGATGAATGAAAAGAGTCCACGGGTGTTCCTTAGATTCACATGCACCCGTGTATGATGTATAGTATCATATAAGATAAGTCATAATAAAATTGAACAAATCTCTTTTAGGTGTGAGACGATCTGGAAATACTAGGTACTAAGAGGTAGGTATTTGACGTATGGCATGGAGCGGTTACGATGATTGGAGGCCGTCCCTGAGCTGAGGTTTATCGATTTGTCGTATCTGTATGTTAATTCTGCCCATTGTACATCGGCGGTAATCAATTCCTCTGAGAGATACTTGACAAACATGTACCTGACTAACACGGCCCTACAAATTTCAACCAATGAAAGATTTTACATTGTGCGGCATGCCACAAACGGGAAATACAAATATCCAGTCTAGGTACTAAATTATATTCGTTAAAATGGTAGGATGATCCTTTAAGCTACCAGGTACTGTATGAGGTCCCGTACATGAATGAAATGTAAAAAAGGATGTATAAACCCCAAAACAATTAGGGTCGTAAACATAAATGTTTTCGGATGCCCCTTTAGTGTCGAGGCACTTACATATGTACCTAGTACTAGGTGAATAGGCTACCTGCTTCGAGGTAGAAATATATAATATTGCTCAAGCGGTAATTACAATCTTCACTGACAACGTGAATTGTCCCTTCCTTTTTCAACCCCTTCTAAGTTCTGCCCCTCTATCCACCACGTGCAGGTACTAGGTACCGATACAGGAGAAAGTTGGATTACGTAAACCACAATATCTGGTGCTAAAGGTAGAAGTACAAGGTAGGTCAAAGTTGAACCCCGCCATGAAAACCATAAAAATTAGATAGGGTACCTGATCACCTTGTACTCCAGGCTTAATTCTCCCCAATCATGCCTCATACGTTCTATGCGGAAAAAAATTAAGCTAACCCTCCTGCCATTTTTTTCCACAGCATCCATTTTTTTCTCTTTTGATCGTGGAAAGTTTTCAAGTTAACTGCCAATCTCGCAAACTTGCCAACTTTCGCCGACCACATCTTTCGTCCCAATCGACTTTTTTTCGACCGACACCAGTGAAATTCACAAAATTCACTGCTGTCCCTCGAACACTCATAATTTCTCATCGCCCATCGTTCGCCGAAGAACTAATCAGAGTTTCTTCGGTCAAATTCATTTCCCTGCCTGCGCGCGACGACCTCTGCACGTTGCGCGTGGCTAAAACACCGCAATCATGGGTATGTTCTCGCTTGAATATCTCCCACTACCCCTCGGAACTACCCCTCGGAATATTATACTAACAATTGATATCTTATAGCTCCCAAGAAGAAGGACCAGCAGAAGATGTCCCTCGGGGCCTTCTTGCAGGAAGAGAGTCAGTCCGCCCCTCCCTTTGATCCCATCTTTACACCGTGTACCCTATCAACGTCGTCATCATTTTACAAATAGGCAACTGAATATTGATCATTTATCTGAGATGGAAAGAACGAAGTTCACATGCTAACACGAGATAGAATACGGTGGTTCGTGGGCTGACGAAGTTGAGGATTCATTCGGTAAGACATATTTGATTCTGCAAATAAGTTCAACTTCATTAACGCCGTATTCTAGGATCCCAGCCTCTACCTTCCTCTGGCACTGACCGACGAACTGGCTATTCTAGCTATGGATCCGGTGGCGGTGATCGTGGTAAGTCAACAATAATCGATGAACGTCTCCTAATATTGCAGACCGCTAATTAGTATCATCTATAAGGCTACGCTCGCGACTCTTACGCATCCCAGGGACCCGCACAACTTCCTACTAAACCGCCTTTCACCGCTCACCTAGGCAACCTTTCCTACGAAGCTACTACCGAATCTGTGACCGAGTTTTTCGAGGATTGTGACATTACTAGCGTCCGAATCATCGAGGATCGCATCGAGCAGCGCCCAAAAGGGTTTGCCTATGCTGAGTTTGCGAATGTTGAAGGTCTAAAGAAGGCCTTGACTCTTGATGGAACCAGCTTCCAAGGTCGCACTATCAAGATTAAGATCGCAGATCCCCGTGAGTTCGATCAATAGTTTTTCTTTGTTGGATATATATTAATAAACTTTTAGCCAAGGAACGACAGGATCGTGGCGGCGACTCAGCTCGCGACCTTAGTAGCTGGGAGCGAAAAGGTCCCTTGGCGGATCTTCCATCTCGTGGTGGTGATCGACGCCCCGCAGAATTCGGAGAGCGCCGCGGACCTGGCGGTTTCCGGGATCGGGATGCAGCACCCCCTTCTGACGACGGCAAGGTACGCGATTTCGGCAACTGGGAACGGAAGGGTCCGCTATCACCTCTTCCTCAGCCCGAACGTGCGGGATCACGAGATAGCAGCCGTCCCCGAACCCACGATGCTAACCGTGGCGATTCCTTCCGCAAGGATCGTAGAGCCTCTCCAGCTACGTGGGGTGAGGGTCGTCAAGAAGGCTCTCGTCCCCCTAGGGAATTCAAAGAGAGGACTGAGCGCCCAGATCGCCCAGAGCGCACAGAGCGTCCGGAACGCGCACCAACTGCAGCGGATCTAGACAACCAGTGGCGCAACAACATGAAGCCCGACCGTTCCGTGAAGTCTCCTGGACAGTCCCGTGATGGATCCGAGGCACCGCCGTCGCCAGCTCCTGCTGCGGCTAACCTCGCAGCTCCCGTAGGTCGCCCTCGACTTAACCTCCAGAAGCGGACGGTATCCGAATCTCCTGATGTCGTATCCCCCGGATTGCCATCTGCTACTGGCGACTCTAAAGCGAGCCCCTTCGGTGCCGCTCGTCCTATTGATACGGCGGCAAAGGAGCGTGAGATCGCAGAGAAGCGAGAGCAACAGTTGAAGGAGAAGAAGGAGGCAGATGATAAAGCCAAGGAAGAACGACGTATTGCCAAGGAAGCTAAGGATGCCGCGGCAAAAGAAGCTGCAGAAAAAGCTGCAGCGGAGGCAGAGAAGCCAAAGGTGGTTGAGCCAGTCGAGGAGAAACCCGAAGCCGTCCCTGAGACCAAGGAGGAGGAACCTAAGGAGGGAGGTACCCAGGCTCAGAACGGCAATGGTGCAGAACAGAAATTGCCAATTCGACCAAAGGATAACGTGCCAAATCCTAAGACCACCAGAGCTGCCGAGAGTGGCAACTGGCGAGCATCAACGGGAGAACGAGGTCGTGGCGGCTACGTCAACGCCTCAAGAGGCCGTGGTGATGCTCGAGGCCGCGGTGCGCCGCGGGCACCGCGCGGCAACCACGAAGGTCGACCTCCCCGAGCAAACGGAAACACAGCCGCCCCCTCCACTCAACAGTCTACACAGGCCCCGCCTCCTGCCTCAGAGGGCGAGGCTGCTCCGGCACAGAGTGCGGATGGCTGGACAACGGTCCAAACTAAGCCTCGCCACAATAACCGTACGCGTGCTTGAATGCGACGGCAAGCAATGTACAAAAACCAGGTCTTCCATGCATAGGTACATGGGGGGAGTTCATCGGGATCCATAATGCTGTGGACTTGCAATACGAAGAAAAATTTTTGATCTTTTACTGCTATTGACCCCCTTCGCTGTGACGACTGCTTTACGACGATCATGAGGTTAATCTGCTGCGTTTCTGTTCCATCGTATATACCAAATACCCACTACCGAGGCCGCTGGTAATACTGAACAGCATAACCTCCCTCTTCGCAGTTTCTTCGCCCTTCTTTAAGGGTCGCGAGGGTTGGATCCTTACATCGTGCTTTCAGACTCGTTCTACTTTGATAAGCATTTTCCAAAATTCGTCCACGCAAAGGAGGAAGGGTCACCCCACGAAGAGCATGAAAATGAATTGAAGACTTGGTTTTTTTTTCCGCCTGATACCTGCAATACACGATTTTCGTTTACGGCACCAAACTTGATTTGAAAGGCAGGTGGGGGGTAGGGGATGGATTCGAGCATTGAGAGGCGGGTTTTAAGGGATTGATGGCCTTCAAAATCTCTTCTTTTTTTCGGATGCTACCAAAAAAAGTCCAGTTAGGAGTTTGCGGACAGGGTTCAGGGTCGTTTTTTCTTCATCTTCTCTTCTCTTCTCCGCTTCGCTTTTGTCATTTCTTTTCTTCACTCTAATCCGCTCGATGAGGGGGCTGACGTTTCGACCTCGTTCGCTGCGCTATTGCGTGACGGATCGGACTCCGACCATTTGGTTGGTCGCTCAGCATACCACCATCCGATTCGCCAGACCGAGGACGCAACCGTTGACTTAGGCATCGGCATAGGAAGAAATGCAAAATATTTCCCCAGATACGATGGATTCGTGCAAATATGAATGCGAAATTAGCTTCGGCTGAGATGTTTTTTCTTCTTCTTTCTCTTGGGTACTGTGATCTAGATCAACTAGAGGACGCTATCGTTAGCCAGCTCAGCTAGAACGGTCCTCTTTCTCAGTTACCACTGTGGTAAATTAAGATCATTAGAACATCAGACTTAACTTCATGAAACTGTAGACTTCAAGGTATCTCGCAAGAATTTGACATAGCTAAATATAATGACTTCTATTCGCCCGCAAGCCAATGTACTACTTTTGCAGACGTAGTGCCACCCGACTTAGGTACGTATGAATTTATAAGATGAATAGATAGAATGATTCGTACGTCCAGAATGAAAGTGCCTAATTTCTATCGATCTTATGCATGTAATGATTGTATGAGGTTCAGAATCATTCTCGTAAGCCTGGGATTCTAGATACGGTACCTAGAATAGCCCATTTACTCGACTTAAATGTCAAATTCTTATTAACCTAAGAGTCAGACAGAGCACTTCATCCATAGGGTTCAAAATGATGCCGTAGCAATGAATATAATTATCTACCTTCTCTAAGGACTAACCCCTACCTATCGTACTAACTTCCGCAAGCGATTTCTCGATCTTCCTAACAAATTTACTTCTTAAACACCTGAGCTCCCAACCTCTCGATATCTCTCCCCTCCGGCGTGTTTTTCCCAGCCGCCTCAAGCAGCCTTGTCCACGCATCAGCGTCTTTCGCCTTGACGGCCTCCTCCGCGGCCTTAACGCGCATGCCGCACTTCTCGTACATGGTGATAGCGGCGCCGGGTTCCAGGTTCGTGCACTTGGGGATGAAGACGGCCGCGAGGCGAGCGTTGCCCGCTTGTAAGATTTGGTTGAAGAAGGGCTAGACAGACGCGGGATGTTAGTGACGTGGAAGAGTGTGGGGGTTGGAATTCGTGCTTACCTCCCACCCAATCGGGCTTTTTCTGCTCTTAGCGATGTCCTCGATTTCGTTCCAGTCTCGCTTCGCGACAAGCGCGCGTAGCCTAGAGTGAGGCTGTCGTTAGCTACTAACCCATTTGAATGAATATGTAGATTTGTGCAAATAACAACTTACCGGGTCCACCAGGCCACCTTCTCCGGGACCTTAAATTCGCTCTGGACTTTCTTGGCCTTATTATGGTAGCCAAGACGAATCAACTTGAACAACGTCTCGTTGACACTCAAGCCAGTAAACGTGTCCGTCAAATCTCGGTCTAAGGCTTCTTGCATGCGTAAAAGCGCTGCTGCTTCCTTCAAGGCTGCCAGCTCGAAGTGGTTCTCTCTCGAATCGGATAGTAATTTAGCGGCGAGTGTTAGCTTGTCGCCCGCTGTGCGTGCATCGAACTGGCGCAATGCCTCGCGGATGAACACGCCGGCACCATCCACCCGACGGTCATCTTGATAGTATAGATCCTTAAGCAATGTATTATCGTTCTCCAACGTCGCCGATGATTCTACGAGAGCAGTGGCCGTGGGCCGTGCGTTGATTACACGGAAGAAGGATGCTAATGGGAGCTTCTTTTTCAGCTGAAGAAGTACAAACAGAATTAGATCGGAGTCGCCACTTTCGATCGCCTTGTCAAGAGCTATCTCGTCTTCCTCCATGCTGAGGAGGAGCGGTACTTGTCGTCCCGCGCGAGGCTCGTGGTTTAGAAGCTCTGTTGCTAGTCTGCCACGACCTTCATCGTAGGCGGCGCGGGCAATGGACTCAAATGAGATTCCTGGCTTGCCTGAAAGCTTCTCTACAACTAATCGGCAGATTGAGTCGTCGTCTTCCGTGCCCATTCGGACTTTAGCTGATGCCCAGTGAACGTATATACGATCTGTAGGTAAACGAAGATACCCGGCAATACGAAGTGCGAGTAAATATTCATGGCGATTGATGAGTCTTTGGATAAGCCCCTCAGGAGTGAGGCGTTGGAACTGTTCATAAGATAAGGGCAGGCCAATTTCGTAGTATCTTACAGCATTAATTACTCGCAAGGTTTCGCACATGTCCACGAAATCGTCGCTGTTGTAGATATCAAGCACCGATTTTCCGAACGAGGCAGCCTTGAGAAGTTGCTTCTGCCAATGGATGTTAAACTCATATCCAGCAGCAGCAACACAAGTGTCGACAGCTTCAACGAGATTAGGCCTAATAAGCTGGATATTATCATCAGCCTTTGGAGACTGGTTCTCAAGCTGCTCTACAGCATCGAGTAAGACGGAAGCAGGCGACTGGCTGCCGTAGCGGAACACTTCTTCTATAACGTCCGGCACTTTCTGGATAAAATCACAGACGTCATTAGTGATAAGCCTAACACCATCGTGATCTATTATCAGTTAGTATTTATTTAACCTTCAAGTCGGAAGTGACATTGTCGCTTACCTGCAATTACATGGACACGGCCTTCGTAAACGTAGCTTGCTACTGCAGCATTGGGCCCTACAACATTCACCTCGTCCTCCCATGCTATAACAACTGCATCGTTTCCGCACCACTCCAGATATTTAGGAGTAAGTTGAGATCGGGAATCGTGTTCACTCAACCGACTCTGGAAATCAGCGGTGATCACGTGAGCTTTTCCATCTGCAGCATAGAGTGCCGCAAACTTCCCATTTGGGGATACACTGATGTGCGAAAATGGACCAATGTCTAAGAATCGATCTTCGCATTCAGTTTTATCCACAGTATAAACCGTCTTGTCGATACTCAATAGTACCTCCACCGATCTCGATAACGTAAAACTGGGCGAGATAATAGCCCAAGCATGAACTTCTCCTTCTGGTGGCGACGCGAGCGTTTTTGGCCGTGGCTCGTCGTATGAGGATACTGATATGAGGGCGTTGTTTGTGAGTAAAGCAACCATACCATGGTCATAGAAACGACATGAATGAATGCCGAAATCTTCAGCCTCGCGGCCGAGAGAGAATTGTGTAAAATCCCCTTGCAGGTTGTAATAACATCTCACAGTCCCATCGTAGCTCACAACCAAAAGCTTCTCGTCTTCAGACCAACCAAGGCCTTTGATAGATCCTTTATCCCAGGCGATGCTTTTTAACAGTTTACCAGCACAGCTGTATATGTCAATGCTGGGCTTTGACGATTTGGAAGGCTGGTAAGAGATGATCTTGGTGTCATCTCGACATATTGCTATATGATATCAGCGGCGTTTCGTACTCCACAGGTTTTAAATGCATTAAGAAGTCGTCTGTAGTAAGATGAGTTACACAAAAAACAACCTCCAAACGAGGAGTGTTAATTAAAATATGTTGTAGCTTACCTATGGCACCGCCATATGGAGCTCCAGCGACGATATAGTTATCCAAGTCAAGATCCTGGTCGAAGATTGCGGTATACAGCTGAGTCTTGCGGTAAAACCTATCTCCTACCTTCTCCCAACCGGCAGTTGGATGCGTCGCTTCCATCTTAGTATCATAGTCGAACAGCCGGTGAACACGTTCCAAATTCAGAAATGCGACATGATTATATGTGAGTATTGTTCTTTTAATGGCAGGAAGATGAATGATCGAAGTTAAGCTTGGGCAACAACATCGGATAAAGTTCGGCTTATTTAAGCATACTGTACCTGCCTACGTAACTTTTACGCGCACGGACCTGTAGCTTAAGCTTCATAAAATTCAACGAGTAACAGAGCTGAGGGGATCTATGTACATAATACCTAGAATGCCGTATATTTATCAACAGGGTTCATGATCTTAGGGAAGGAGATGCATATATAAATTATTTAAAAGAGCTAACTATGCATACGGAGGCCCTGAAGATAGCTCGGGGCATTGCTTTCATAGGGCACCTATTAATCATTATAGGACGAAATATGTGAATACAGGTAATACCGGGTAGGTAGTTAGGTATAATTTCTTTTTATTCGTTTAGAATCTGCCATATAGTTCAATTCAAAACCCCTTGCCGTATCTTCAGGCGAGGTTTGTATTGCACTAGATAGTCTAGCCTTGAGTGAGACTGTTGTGTATCCTATAACGCAGTTGAGATGGATTGACCCCATTACCAAACCGATATATGTTGTATGCAACAAGTTCCTAAGAAGTCAGGTAACTAGGTAATCTCATACTTGGTATGCTAAGATATTGGTAAGCCATGTTCTTATAACAAACATGGAATCGCACCTAGAGATAACTTACCTACAAGTAGCTTAGAGATTGCATCTATCTCCAGCCCGAAAAGTTGATTTCAGCAGGGAGTGACTATTATAGCCAGTCGCCCCCTGATATTTAGGAGTGGCTTCGGAAACATCCCGCCTCAGCCTTGGCCCGGGTATATACTATGCGGCGCATAATCAAGATCTGAATCTGGTAGAGGCGATGCTAGACGTTCATCTTTTGTTGCCATATCGCTTCGCCATCATCTTCTTGTAGTGTCCCTTCTTACCACTAGCCTTAGTTTCTTGAATTTGGCCATACTTGTTCTTGAATTTGCGGGTGATGTCTTCCGTCTCCAGAACCTCCTCAAGAAGAGTGCGTTTCCTCTCCTTCTTGGTTAATCTGGCATTGAAGAAATCGGTCGGTCCCTCAACTATAGTCCCGACTGAAGAAAATTCAGGAACCAAGGATCTTGAGCTGTCTTTACGGTAGAATCGCTTCGAATCTAGCACATCACGCATACGCAGTAGCTGCAGATCTTTCTTAAGTTCGGGGGTAAGATCGGTCTTGGGGAGGTTAAACCAAGACGATCCGGCATCTGTCTTGACAGCCTGGAGATTGGTCAGTAAGGAGCTTCTGCATAAACTGACAGAGTAATATGATAAAAAGTATGGAGTCAGAGTAACTATGATATTGATCTATCATTCTGGCGTGGTGATATTACCCATAACGGGAATAGTTACCACTTCAATAAAATATGGGATTAAATTTCATCATGAAAGGGCGTTGCCAGGAATAAAATTTTAAAAAAATATTGTATGGAATTAGTAACATACCATCTCTTGTTTTGATCGCCTGACCTCAGGTATCCTTACCGAAAGCTCTTCTGACTTGGCATTGTCCTTTGATGTTAGGGGGGCCGACTTCAATAGCGAGGCTTGGGGTTTAGAGGTCTTCGCGACGTCCGATTTGGAGGGAATTGCGACAGCCTTGCTATCTTGTCCCTGACATTTTGCTTGTAATCTGATCTCAGCTTCTTTAAGAAGCTGTTCAATCTGATCATCTGACAGATCGACAATGGTTGTTGTGTCTGCCATATTGGGCGACAATTTCAAAAGCTTTGGAGGAAGAAAAAAATAATTTTTCTGAGCTTTGAAGATAACAAAATTTGATCTAGTTCAAGCTGTGTGGCTGTATTTTAGTGGGACAGAGGCTGCGCAGTTTGTTTGTGGCTGCGATCGAACCAAGTAGCCAAGGTTAAATTGATCTTATGAATTATGAATGTATCTATGTACCTATTGTACTGACATTCAGACGCGAGACGGCCTATCGATAAAGGCGGAATTGCCTGTCAAGGTGTCCCGGACATACACCCATTATCCCTGCAGCCACCCCCAACCTACGGTACGCAGCCAGGCAGCTTCCCTTCCCCAGTGTCCGATGGATGCGAGTCTGTGAGTTTTGTGAGAAGCCAGGAAGGAAGTGTGCGGATTGCGGGTCGCTGATGCCCAACCATATTGCCAGCGCATTGATTCCAGGTTCCCATCGAGGCTGCCCAGTTTTCAAAGCCAGCCCTACAACGTAAAAGTGTAAAAGCGCATCGAAGATCAGAGCAATTCTAGAAAATGCATTCACGTCATTGCCCAATCCCGACCAACACATCCAACACATACATCTATCCATCCATACCGGTACCTACACACCTACACACACATCCCATCCCATACATCCTACGTCCATACGTACGTCCATCCATCCATCCAAGCCATACAACCAATACACATACACACATACATAGAAGCTAATAAATACCTTAGCCTTGAGTTGTTTGATCAGATCATTTGGATGCATACATAACGTACAATTCATAAGTCCACAAGCATAAGCACTTCTATCCAAGTTCATCCTTTTTTAAACCTCATTTTATTTTTATTTTCTCTTCGCTTCTTTTTTATCCATCTCATCCAACCATCCTGATTGGACAGATAAAAAAGAATTATAAGAAATAGGACGAAGTGAAAAGAAAGAATTTGACTGGACGAACTGGACAAATCGAAAGCCTTTAAGTTCCAATTTCCAGGTTCAATCAAGAAGATAAAAAATAGTGGACGTCTCGGAGCGAGCCGCAACCTGGAACGTGAGCAAACTTCTGACTAAAGAAGAACTCGGGAACGAATAACAATTCTTCTAAGCGACAAAAGGCAAAAAAAATAAAAGAAAAAAAAAAATAAAAAGTGCAAAATAAATCGCCGCAAATCACCGGGCTTGATAAGAAACAAATCCGAGCAAATCCTCGAGCCGGACGTCAAATCACACAAAACAATCAAGCTACCTGAGCACCTAGAACACTTACCTAGTAGCAGCTGGGCACTGGGGCACTGGTCACTGGACAATTCTTCAAACCCCAGACCACTTTCAAGACACCGCCCAATCAATCATCCGAATCCGTTCCTTTCTAAGCTGGTCACTCCCGCCCCAACCCCCCATCCAATCAATCTCGCCAATCCGAGGTCAACTTTGAATACCTACTGGTCCAAAAAGCTCATTTGTTACATCACCACGCGCACCCAAGCTTCGACCCAAGGGCCTGTGTAAACAATACAAACAGTCCTTATTTTTTTCTCCGCCGTCGGGAAGTCTATCCACGCACAGTGATACCTGCGACGAAATTCTCGGCAAGCGAAAAAAAGAGCAACACTCGACTAAAAAAAGCTCGCTAGCAACTTTGTTAGTGTAGTGCGCGTGCGTCCAATACTACATAGCGCAAGAGTTCCAGTTTGCCTGTCAGCCCCGTCGAACTCTTGTGGTTGTGTTTTTTCGCGCGGCTTTTGAAATACTCGGTGCTTCTTCTCTTGCCTGCGCACTCGAGGTTGTAAGACTGGCGCGCAGTTCTTTCGAATCAATTGCAATTACAAATACAATGGATCAGTCCTCGTCGAGTCACCCGCAGTCATCTCGAGGAGGAGGTGGAGGTGGAGGAGGAAGCGGTGCTTATGATATAGCACATGGAGGTCATTACGGTAAGTAACTCACAATCGCATTCATCCGTTGCGAGTTGCCTTCTCTCGTGCGACGTCGCTAATCATCTCTCCTTCCAGGTGCCAGTGCAGCGGTGAGTCCCACCATCCTCAACTCTTCCCCTGCCCCTCTCTTCTCCCCTCCCACTACCCGTCCTTCTCTCCGTCTCTTTGACCCTTCTTGTTCTATCTAGCTTCTGAGTTTTCTTTCATCCCAACCATCGACTAACATAATCCATCTATCTAGCTCGCCAATTCTGGCTTCGCACCCGCCGAGCTCTACACAGGTCCATGGGCCAACGTTCACCAGGGTCTACACGGACAATATAAGGACATCCTGACGACTTATTGGCAGAACACCATCAACCATCTCGAATCCGATCAACATGATTACAAATTACACCAATTACCCCTTGCCAGGATTAAGAAGGTCATGAAGGCCGATCCTGAGGTTAAGATGATTTCCGCTGAAGCACCTATCCTGTTCGCGAAGGGATGCGATATATTCATCACCGAACTTACGATGCGGGCGTGGATCCACGCAGAGGAGAACAAGCGTCGCACTCTACAGCGATCCGACATCGCCTCCGCACTCGCTAAGAGCGATATGTTCGACTTCCTCATCGATATCGTGCCCCGCGAAGAGGCCAGCCATGCAAAGCGCACGAACCCCGCCCAGGCACAATCAGCCCAAGGTGGCGTGCCGTCTGCTGCACCTGGTGGTCAGATGCCCGGATCTCACGGGCTACCCGGCGCCGCGAACCATATGGCACCAGGAGACTACGGTATGGGCGGCCATGCCATGGGTTCCGAGCAAGAATATCGCGGTCCGCCTATGTACAACCAGGTGCAGGCCGGTCCCGGAGGCCCCTACAGCCAACAGCCCCCGCAGCCGATGTACAGCGACATGGAGGGTATGTACGGTTACCCCGGGATGCCTCAACAGCAGTAGGACCGCAGTGTGGTAAACCCGGGCGCTCCCTACGAGAACCCCGGAGAAGGAGGAGATGAGGCGGGAAAGAAGGCAGACGAATAATCGCGAGTCGATCCGGCTTCGGAGCAGGCTGCGCGCCAGGAGCTGGAAGTGAAGGGAACATGGGGCACGAGACGCGGCGCAGGGACAGTACATTCCAGAAACGAAAATTTTCAGTGAATAATACTAGGGGACACAATGTTCTTATTCTTTGATAGTTTGGCGTAGGGGTTATATGGTCACACAAGGAAGCCGGAGCCCGCAATTGCTGCGGGCTGCGGTGCAATGAATGCAATGTCGATTGATTTTTTTTTCGTTTCTACTAATTGCTCATATATACCTACTTTACACACAGCTACTCTTGTTCGTGGTGCTTTGCTTGGTACATATGTACTTATTAAATTGTCTGCTTGCTATGTTCACCGTGTCGCGATCGTGACACGGCAACGACCAATTTTCTTTACCCGTCTTACTTTAGCTGTCTGGGCTTTAGGGCTATCTGTAGTTTCGAATCAGGCATAGAAATATCCCTAGTGGCTTCGTTGATATGTACTCTGGTATTACTGTCTACTCTACTTAGTACCGAACCGCGACGAGAGGTTCGACGAGAAGTTGACGAATCTCTGGGCAGCCTGGCCCGGAGTGACGATTTGTTGGGTAAGTCTGTCAATATGTATTAGCCATTTCATGTTCTTCTAAGATCTCCTGTATTTCGAAATTCGGGGGGGTAAACTTACTTCTCTAGCAGGACTGGGCCATTCATAGCATCCACTCGTCCGTACTTCTTGTTCCTAGTCGAGATGTCGAAGAACTCGTCCGTATTATCTGATTGGAGGAGTTGGATTGTTTGTTCCAGCTCGTCCAGGTTAGATCGAAGCATGAAGCCGTTCTCGAGGCCGTCCACGAAGGTGGTAAGATGTTGGACGTCCATCGAAAGCGCTGCGACACCGTTCGGATTGATCTTTTTTACATCGGGCGACAGGGGAAGGGCCTGGATCGTTATGTTAGTGCCAGCTTTGGAAAAAGGTAGTAGAAAAGATGTTTAAGCCACTAACAAGAATCTTGTTTGCCGCATGACTGAGCGCGTCGAAGTAAATGAGCTCCTTGATCTCTCTTGGCAGTCCTAGTAACGTCGAGTTCATTATGTTCGAAAGATACCTAGTCAAGGTCTGCATGTAATTGCTCGGTTCTGTAGGTCGATTAAACGCAGTCCAGTCATACTCTGCCGTTTCCACCAGATCGTCGATCTTCGAATTCACCAATTCGAAGATGCGCTTTTCGGCGGTCTTCTTGTTCTCCCTAAACTGCTCGGTAGCGGCTAGGGTTAGGGGCCCTCCGGCGGATGCTGAAGATCGTGCTCGGATCAGGAGTTGCTCTAACTCCTGACATGCGATCTCAAAGTGTTCTAAGTTGATCAAGATTTGCACTATCTGACCCAAGTACTGAGAGCTCAGTCTTTCTACCAAAGACTTACACACCTTCTCGGTAAGGAGCTCATCAAGTGACTGACAATGCGAAGTTAGCAAGCAATTATGAGAAGACTGGCGTGAGGACATTACCTTGCGTAGTGTATCGTCGATCTTGTTTGGATGCTGGAAATGGTCATCCGAGAAGAAATAAAACTGGTTGAGGAAATTTCTAATGTCGATACAACACAGAGGATACATTTGAGAGAATGGCAGAACGCATGGGAACCTATAACAGTTAGATGGGCATTCAGGAAAGCGTATGTTGTAAAGGCTTACACAAGCTCGTCGTTGGGCTTCTCTGGAACAAACCAACTAACGTTCGCCACCTTCTCATATTCTTCTCGGGTATTTATGGCCATTGGCATGTAATCATCAGTTGATACAATCTTCTTCGATGGTCAGCTCGGTCAAAATTCTTCATTATATGTGAACGTTCTCACCTCTTGAAAGTCTTCACTGAATCTTCTCTTCAACAACTCGGCATATCTGTCGAATAGATCGACCAGGAATTCGTCAAGTCTTGAGACAGAATACCCCCAACCCTAGAGAAACTTGTTAGGAAGCTGTCATATAAAAAGGATAACATACAAATGGCTCACCTCCATTGTCAGGATGAAAAGATCGACACGTCCTTTGATATTCAAGAGGATTTGGGCGTCATTGATATCGCTCAATGCCTTCGATGTTAGGGATATTGCCGCGGCACACATCGAATCCCATAGCTCCTCAACCTGGATATATTAGCATAATTACCTCATAGACGATAGATTATCTCACATCAATAGCCGTTCGTAGCTGAGGTGCTTGGCGCATTGTGGCCTTTTCGATAATAGCGAACCCAGCAATGCCTTCCAGCAGACTGCTTAAGGAGGACTCATCATCAGTAGTGAGGCTCACAGAACTTGGGATGAGTAGTTCCTTTTGTCGTCGTCTAGTGGCAGCATACTCGGACCGAAATTTATCACTCTGTCCTAGTGCCTCGTGTATGTGAAGAGCCTCGAACAGAGGTGTGAAATCGACCTTTAGTTCCTCGTTGTCAAGCACATCGAATTCCTCACTCTCATCGAAGACCAGCTCGATAGCAGAGTTCAGCTTGAAATGGTTCAGAAACTCGTCGTTCTCCGCGCGTTCTCGTTGTCGTGTACGACGCATCTCAGTGTGATAGAAAGCCACCTCCCCGAGGAATTGTGAGGTCTCTCTGATGCGGAACAGCCAAGTATTGAGATCGGTCATGACGGCTTCGGATATGGTTTTCTGGGATGCGGGAATGGACTTCTGTATCATGTTTGCAAGTTGATGTTGGGTAGCAAAGTTGTTTTGTATGATCGGTATGAGGAATTCGTTCTGGAGGTCTTCGAGTGACTTGAGCGCAGCGTAGTATTTCTTCTTGCGGACCAAGTCATGGGCATTGTTGACCGCATGCAATATCTTCAGAGATTCCTTCAGCGCATCGGATACATCAGAAATATTCTCTCGGACGGCTCGTGTATTGACTAATGCCTGCTTTTGCTCTGCCAACTTCTCGGTACTAGCTTGAATGGATTGGTTCAGTTCGAGGATATCGGCAGTCAAGGCCACCGTTCGCTCGCGGACATTCTGTAGCTGATTTACAGAGCCCAGAAACTCCTCATGCTTCGTCAATCCTATCCTCTCGATCTCGGTCTCTCGATCTTCGGCATATTGTGACAGGTTCTGAGTTAGGGAGACTGCCCTATTTGTTGTCGTCGCATCTTTCAGGACAGGTATTAATTGATCGAGGAACTCGGCATCTGAAGTGGATAGGATTATTTGTTGGACAGCAGAGCCGTAGTCATCGTAATTCTGAACCCTTCGAGGCATGCTTGTAATGGAGGTCGGTTTGGTAGCGCTGCAATGCGAATGCCAATGCTACCAGATGCGTTGTGCAGGCGACTGAGGCAGGTTACAGGTTTACAGCTGGAGATCAAGGATAGGTAATTCAATGGAAGAGGTGCATCAGGGCGAATGAATCGACGGAAATACAAACATTCATCGCCGAGCCTAGTATTTATTTCTTAGGTACATATGATCACGTCGTTCTCCGTTCTTCGAATGCAGGTACAGGTAAATGCGTTGGTTGTATTTGGGATTTGTATGGTAGGCAGCACTGAATAATAGAGTAGTACTGTATGTAGGTGGTAAGTAGAAACGTCACGGTGCACAAGCCGCTGGAGGTGCCCACCACTATAAGCTTCACGCTCTAACCCCACTACTAACGTTAAATGTTAATGGTACCCGGTCTAACTCAAGTCACGCTTTCTCAAATATGGCTAGTTACTACTGTCTATCAAAAAGGAGTCATTTTTAGAAAATACCTCCTAGGTAACTATATCGAGTTATTTACAAATAATCAAATGAAATTAATTCATAGGTCCTTTGTAATGTGGACACGAAACTGTTTTCTGATACATTTATATGCCACTTTTTGATGCAACTCTTAATGCCACTAGTTGCATCATTCATAGTCACATGACCACCTTCATCCTAACCAGTTTGTAACCTGTCCTCCGGCTTTCACTTTCATATATGTAACCATCGCTCTATGGTCATACCTGAACAATCCCGTAGCTATTTACATTATAAAGATGAAATACGTTAGTTCCCGGGGATTTATATGAACTTTTTAGCACTTTAAGGGTCGTCGCTAAGTACTTAGCAGCGGGAATCGCAAGTTGAAATGGTATTGCAACAGACATATTCATAATAGAACAATCAGCACATAAATTTGACAACCCAGGTCCTCCCAGGCCACCCTTATTTATATACCAGACCATACAAGTCGTTAATATACAACGCTTAACTTCGAAACAACCACCAATCTCCACCCTCCTCTTAAGTAGGACTCAAATATCGCCATGGTTCCTATCGACAATAAAAACCATCGATCAACCCGTAGACCCCATTTCAACCCTTCCCTTTAAGACACCGATATATCTCCAATTGATATCCCCCGTAAATCAAAGTGTAAATCCCTCTAGCCAGGGCCGCTTTTTCCCGCTAAGTAACGAAAACCAAGTGCTTGCAACATAAAGCATACATGGGTAGTATAATGCTGATAGATTCGCTCGCTTTAGTTTACGTAATGAGAAAATCTGAAATGGTATCTTGAGGTCGTAAAGAAACTCGACTGTGGGAGAAGGCGAAAGCCCCCGGGTAGTTCGAGTAGCGATAAAGGGGAATGTGAAGAGCAAGGCAGAAATGAAAATTCGGTGTATAAATAAGCCTCAGATCAAATAAAATATTCGTTCAAAACATGGTCCCGTAGAGGTCGTTGGTCTATTTGAACGTCAAGGTTCCAGGAAGATGTGGGAATATGTGGGTATGTAAAGAGATGAGAAAAAGCATAATTGTCATCACGGCTCTTCGATGATCCCCTCGCCGCCCGCTTCTTCTCTCCATTCACGGCTCTTGTCTGTCAATTTCTTAACACCACTAACGCGCCCAGCCCATAGGCTTTCGACTGGCGTTCGGAACGTAAACGCTCGCTGGCTGCTAATCACACCGATAGCCTGTAGGACGGCCTTGCGGCTGTCACGACCAAAGACCGCGGGATGGCTAATCCACTCAAGACTAGCCTCAAGTTCGGCATCGAGCGCGGCGACGGTGCCAACATCGATACCATTCGCATTAGCTAATGTCAAGCCGTCGTTCGATCGAGTCCTAGATATCGGTGGCGGGAAACCATTGAGGCCCGAGTGGGCTGACGCGGTCGGTGACGGAGTATGCTTCCGGTCTGGCGTAGCTGAGATTGGAGAAGCATCTGATCCTGGTTGGGGCGTAGACGAGTTTGATTTGCTGTTAGGTAGCGGTGGTAAGGGGACCGGCGGAAGGCCACCTTTACCTAATCCCTTCAAGATTGAACGAGTCTCGTTCAAAAGAGTGTGTGCGCGATCGTGCTGACCTCGTGATACTAAAGTTAACGCTCTAGTAAGCATGTCAGAGGTGAGGAGCTCCATCCGCCGTTGGACGATGTGCGGATGAGGGGGGATTGGCGGGTTATTCTGCCAAGATGAGGCCTTCTTTGAATTGCCAGGAGCTGGTAGCATTGTGATGGCAAGTAGGGATGGTCTAGGTAGGTGCATCATAGTACCATCCCTTAGTATGTCTCCCCAGACTAGGTCTGCTTGTATGAGAGGTAGTTCCTCTACCGAAACCGCTCTTTGATCATCATGTTCTACCGGTCCGCCTAAAGCCTCCAACCCAGATACAATCGTCTCCCATGGATCTTGGGGTAGCTGCTCTTGTGAAGAGTTATCCGGGACGATGACAAGTTGAACCAGAATGTCCCGTTTATCGCCGAATCTGAGATCGCCTAAAGAGGCTTCCGCATCACGGCCTGTAGCACGCTTGGTGATCTGCAATGCTCCGCTGATTTTATGGAATCTGGCAGGCGATCCTTCGGGTAGCTTGAGCTTCAGTTTCACGTTCTGGTGGGATAAAGATTGCATAGACCCTAAACATCCAGCTAGACATTCGCGTAGCATCATCCAGTCCTTCACGTAGGTATACGATGCCTTAGTTCGTGAAGATAGTTCTATCATGGTATCTGGTTTGTGAGTCATTCCGAGGCCGAACGAGTGAATTGTAATCCTAAATTTTGTTAACATTGGCTTTCATAATTCCAAGGTGACGGAGCAGTAACTTACTTGGCAGCTTCCGCTCGTGAAACGACAAAGTCAACGCTATCAGCATCGGACGTCGAAGCGTCACTGATAAGCATGATGGTCGCGATCGGATTGTTATACTTGCGTTGCATCAGTAGATCCATGGCAACATTTGCGCCTTCGACGACGTCTGCTCGGTGACTCTTCTGTCCCACAGGTTTGATCGACGCTAAGATATTGTTCCATCCGTGCCAGGCCTTCGTAGTCATACCCACGATAGGTACACCACCTCCTCCTGAGCCAAATGTGACTAAGCCCATACGGTCTCGCTCGCCGAGAGTGTGAACCATGAATTTCAGAGCATCCCTAACTAAATTTATCTTGACACCTTGCATCGAAGATGAGATGGGCACCACCACTACAACATCAATAGGCACGTGGAATGACGAAAGAAGTGGGCTCTTAGCGAGACTGGTGTACTCGGTAGGGGCCGTTGTGACAGACTTCGGACCAAAAGAGGACGCAACCGACGAAACCCGTTGAGGTCGAGTTCCTCTACCCCATTCGTCCTCTTCGTTTTCTGATGTCTCGTGACGCTCGTAATCTGGGCTCCGGACTGGAGAACTCTCAACAGCATTAAGATCAAGGAGAGCCTGTTGCCACAGCTTCAACTGGTTTCGGTTATCAAAACGTAGGTGGAACTGCGGAAGCTCAGCGACAGAGAGGCTGAGTGTCAGTACATTCTCGTCGACTATAATGAAGATTGATAATTAGCTTGGGTTCCTAATCACAAAGATAAGGTCACTCACTCATACCAGTTTCTGTGACCTCATTAAGATGTTTCTTAATAAGGATGGAACCCTTCAGGGTACAGCGTGTCGCTTTCCGTGGCAGTCCGTTTTCATCCCATTGTTGTTGTGGGGCAGGTGGTAGATTTTTCTTCTCTTTGACGCAAATAAGCATTTCAGCGAAGAGATAACATTCAAGTTCCTGCCATGAGACTTTATCTTTGCCGACTCGCAGAGTGCCATAAAGTCGAAGCTTCCCAAATCTATATATCGTAAGTCATTAGTCATCGAGAAACGGCTGATAGAAACCACGCACCTATTGAAATCGAGCCCATGCCAATTATCAACCCGATTTCGCAGATTTTCAGTCATCTCCTCCAGTACTTCAGGCGCTTCATATGGGTAGAAACGTGGCTGCGAGCTCCTCGCCGGCGATGGCGGCCTTTGTGCAAATGCTTCCTCCATGCGCATCTGTGGTGCCGGGTTCACGACTCCAAGGTCTTCGGGATCTGGCCTCCACTTATTGTCGGCGACTTCCACCGTAATAAGACATGTCAAGGTCTGCTGTTGTCGTGATCGATTTATGGTGGGGAATTCAGATCGAACGACGACCGACGGCGACGGAATCGGATTGCGCGCCATGGCCCTCGGACTACCTGGCGTCGCCTCCATAGCCTGAACGTCGTAATCATGTCGGCGGGGCGGGCCGCTCTGAGTCGTTTCGGGGTAACCTGTCGAAGAGGCAACACCCGTAGCCTCACTATCGCTACGGCCATGCCTGTGGGCAGCCGCATAACGGTCCGAACCGGCTGTCTCTCGACTATTTCGGAAACTACCTTGGGCAGCGCTCTCGCGGCCGTTACTGGGAGGGGCGGGCATACTCTTATTACTAGACTCGCCACTAGGCGGCCGGGCGCCCTGGGTTTCCCAAGGCTCCCTCGAGGCAGTTGGTGTGGTGAGTGATCTATTATCGCCACTAGATACTGACCGCACCATACTCGTTATCTTTTCTATAAGAGGCAATATTAGTATGCGCCTGACTCAACACTGTGCGATTGGTACTTACCGATGTCTAACACGTTACCTCCTCGGCTAGTGTCCAAATGCAAAGGTGCATTGCATGATGGGCAATATTGCGATTCGAATTCGCGTATGAATTCATAGAAACATGCTTCATGAGACACATGAGAACACGAAAACTGTAAAATCCTTTCGCCACGAAGCGTGTGCTCCAATGGCTCCTCACAAACGACACATTCACTCCCAACAAAGGTCCTCTCCCTCCGCGTACGACTCCTTTCTGCATTCATCATGCCGGTAATGCTACCCTGGCGAATGGTATCTCTAGATGCGGAAGAACTTATGGAAGCAGCAGAGCGATGCGACGGCGCTCGCTGTGGCGTAAATGTTGGGCGAAGAGTAGCCGCGGTAATAGAATGATCTAATAATTGAGGACATACAGTCAGTCCACGATTGCGCAATGACAAGACACGGCGCTCTGCGCAACGAATCGGGAGGTGGGAAGATTCCAATCACAGCTCTATCCAGGGGAATATAATGAAGAACACAGGACTCACTCTTCTCAGGATAAGACGGGGCGCTATGTAAACTATTCCAGTCCTCTTCCTTTCTCCGCAGAGAACGCAAAGAGCGCGACTCGGCCCCAGGTTTCAACCGACCCAAGTCGAACAAGTTAGAAACCTGACCGTCGCGAAAATTACGGTCCTTTGAACTGCTAGAGCCAGAAAATCCGTGTTGTTTCGATGATGATCGACTAAACATGAGCGACGTAAGGCTGTGTAAATCTCTAGGTGGGTAGGTTGTATACAGAGAATAGATTAGATTAAGAGTCTGGGGGGAAAGGTTGCGTCAAAGAGCTGGTATATAGTTCGACGGTATTGTTTTTGGGTGGCTGTGACAACTGGTTGCCGAAGACTGTTTCAAGTTGGTGGTATCGTTTATGCTTATGATGGGCGAAAAGCAACAGCTGAAGGTCGAACGTTGAATAGCGACAGCTCACGTATACAGAAAAGCAAGGTTTCTGAACCCAATAAACAGACTGTCGGGTCGGGTATATGTTTAAGTTAATTCCAAATTCGTTCAATCGTCGTAAGCGGTAGTTGAAAAATTAGTAGATCGTGAAATAAGTTTGAAGGCCTGTATAAGGGGGAAGATGGAGAGATTGTCGAAATAGTCGAAATTCGTTTTAGGATCTCATTAGCGGGCGAGATATTCTATTCTCCAAAGTCTTCTTCTCTCCAATAATCCAGGACCCAAGGACCCAAGGACCCCCCCAATAAGATATCCAGTTAATGGGGGTTCCAGTTTTTGGTGTCCGGGAGCACCAATAATATTGCCAGTAGCACGCAGCCGGCCCTCCCTGCAAAAACTGACGAAAATTATTAAAGCGTTGCTTTAATAGTAGCTGCAGTTATTCAACAGACGACTTGTCGTCAGAAAGGGAAAAAGAGGATCCTTCTATCAATACCCTTTTCCAATTTGCTTTTTCTTCCTCCCCTCCCCGGGCCTAGTCGAAACAAGGTAGATCCTTGACTCAAAACGCTGAACACTGAACCGGTGGAAGATCTAGCGGGCGCCAACTTATATGTATGTATCTCGTAACTCGCAACCCGACAAGCTGAGGGTTGGGCTGAGAGTACATACAAGTCGCATTCAAGATTAGTGAGCGTGGACAACTCTGGAAGTGAAAAGGAACGACGAGTCCATTATAGGGAAAAGGATGTTAGTTGTATGTTTCGCAACGCAAGAGATTCAAGAGAAACTCTTGCCTAGTGTGTGGCAAATGGTATGGTAGTGATAATAGCGATGGTAATGGGAAAGGGAAAGGAAGATGGGGGCCATAAGGAAACTGGCAGGCCATAAGGGATCCAAATAAGTACCTACATATGTATGCAGGTATGTATGATTATGATAGTGATTACCCTAGGTGTTCTTAATTATTATCTCGTTTATTATTGCAATGGTACGGTACTGCGATGCTACGTTGGGTACTAACCTTGGAGATCCTCTCCCAAGGAAACCAACCTGGTCAGGGCCGATGGGTACCTCCCACTAGCCCGCCCCTTCCTTAGGTCCCGAAGTACCTGAAGTATAATTGTACCTGACAGTCCTGTCAAGACGGGGAAGGTGGACTGGGTCTTGTACTCCGCTCGTAGCTTACATGTACATCAGTGATCAATATGTACATGTACCGTATGTACGTGATCTGAATTGGCGACATGTATCCTACCTAGTACCTACCACCTACATGAAGTATTGTGCCATAGCTGTAGGTAATATCTTCAGCGCTAAATCTATTGACCCAGGTATGTAATACATCAGCCACTTTTCATGTGGTCATCGTCATATTCATCTCCAGTCGTCTGGTTGTCTGTGCTTACACTAGGAGAGGAGAATAAATCGATTCGCTTCGCCTCTTCATGTACCGTTCCTGTCGAAGTTGCCGAACGGGTGGTTCCATACAGAGAACTGGTCTCTGGATATGAGGCCCCGAGAGAGCAAATCCAGCTAGTTATCGAGAAACCATTTCGTTATTGTCAGGGGGACATGTAGTCTGTGCGTACCACTGTAACATGGAATAGGAATTTTCCAAATCCTTGTCCATACAGGGGTTAGATCCTTGCCTCCAACCATCTTGCAGTCCATGTCCATGGGCGCCCATTAAACGTACATAGTACAACTCCCCGCCCTACTAGAGCCTTCCAGGAAATAACCCATAAACCAGGGACGATAGTGTATTGTATGGTACATAACTGCGTACCCGTCCGTCTTGAATCTTCATTGTGACTCGTCGTTGAACGGGTTGGACCGCTCTCATGTCATAACTCTAGAGCTCTGCCTGGACAACCAGTTCAAGGTTTTGACAACTGCGATAGCCTTGTCCATTCAAAATACTCGATGTGAAACGCGCCACTCGGTAAAGCTGATGGATGTTAGCAAAACATACCTAGTACGGCATGATAGCGTCATTCTGTGCCTTGATCTAGCAGCAACAGTCAGCGAGCTGTCTTTCAACTGCAGCTTAGAACGAGACGAAAACCCCGATCCGTTACTGGCTTCCACCGTCATAAAATAGACTCGGCTACCGATCAAAAGTTCGAAAAAAAAAAAACTTTAGAAGCGCTAAAACTGATATGCGTATCTCAAGTTGAGACTCCTGAATAGCGTCAATTTGGTCTGCGCTAAAGCTAAGAATTTCCCGTGTGGCCCGCCGAGGTGTCATTCGCAGTGGCCTTGATTTGAACGTATTCCGCGGCAAAAAAAGAATCAAGACTGCTAATATTATGGTGAGAGAGGGTGTCAAATTATCTATCTTGTCAGCAGCAATATAAACAATAGTTAGTTTAAGTCTTCTCCAACTCCTCACTGCAGGACTTTATAAAATGAAGTGAAAACTTGCGAACATTAAAATGATATTTATTAAGGTCATTAAAATTACACTCGCAAGATGTAGCTTTGGAAAGTGACCAGTATGAAAGTTTATTCTTAAGTATAGTAGTACTTATAGATCCAAATTCCAGCTACGCGGCACTTCCGAACCCGCGTTAAGGTTAGTTAATAAGCTTAATACTAGAGTATTTGTGTCACCATCGTTAGAGGTAATGAAATGGCTATTCAAACCCAACCTTAAGCTTAGGAAGGTACCTATCTACATACCCCACGTACGAACTTCAATCCTTTCCTCCCAGCAATGTCTACATCATATTTGCATTTTATATTCTCTACCTAATTCATACCACACCTCGCGAAATGGCTTCAAGATGGGAAGTATTCTAGAAACCACGCATATGCATATACTACCTAGCCTGCCGACCTATCATCCTGCAACCTCCACTATTCCAGGCAAACTAGACTGCTGGAATCGCTCTTCGATGGCAATGCATATGATGATTGGAGATGATCCAATCATCAGGTGCCGATGATATAGCCGTACGTACAGAAACGAGAATGACGCCATGAAATCCTACGCCCGAATTGTGACCAGTTACCTACCATTAAACCATCAGCCACCTACCAGGTATAACACGACCTCTTTACTCAGCAAGGCACAATGAGGTTCGGAGACATTCCGACTCGTCCGTTTACTGGAATATTACACCACAATCTTTTCTAGGGCTCAGCAGTATTAGTGAACTCGCGCAGGTGTCTCTCGCAGCCGCCTAACCTTCGTTTTGTAGGCGCCACTACCTGTATCCGACGCTGAGCAGCCACCAGTGTCGTACTCGCAGCAATTGTGAACTGCATAAAGCTTAAGTACCTACCAGTCTAGCAAGTCCGCATGGCAGCTGCAGAAGCCACGCTATTCACCGGTATCCTGTTGGTGAATAGATCGAGATCTAAACATCCAAACCACCCTAAAATATTCATGTCTAATCCCGCTAACGAAACCTCGACATCACGATCCAGTAGCTATGTTCATACGGGCCCTCTTTAGGCGAGAAGTTCAGCACACCTAGCTATCATGTCAGACAACCCATCGCATCTAGCCCAAGACGGCGGTAAAGCGCCCTAATGCTTTGCGTAATGTAACGTGGCAAAGCAATTATCATGCAATCTGCTGCAACAGCGTCCGCCTTACGAAGAAAGGAAGTATGCCAATTAATTTTGTCTCGGAGATCTCACATCAGCGGCTCATTCAGACATGAAATCAACCAACCCTAAGGATATATTTGATACGAAATTTTATTAAACCTGTACCAACGAACGTATCAATTTCACAGTTGCGGCGGAGTCACGAAACATGTGGCTTTCAGCTAATGACGATACATGCCTTACTCAAGAGCATATCCAGGACACATCGACAGCTACGGATCTAATGTCTCCACTTGAACTTCATCTCTCTTAAAATGCTAGCTCAGAGATGAAAGGGATGAGTTAGTTATAAGGAAGAGAGCTAATCGATCATGCAATACGGATATGCCAGTGAAGCGTTGCATCTTACAAGGCGAATACCGAAATCGCAAAATCTCGTAACCCACGTGGCATGAACCAGATAGGCAGGTGTATAGAACGGCTTTCTACTTCTTAATGATGGATCAAGTAACGAACCCACCTCCTTTGATATCACCTACCTCATTATAGGATCGTTTTTAGAAGAACGCCTACAATTCAAATCACGAACTTAAAATAAGGCAGCAGAGATGATCATCTCTCACCTTAAGGGCCAGCCCGTCGCAGTATTCTGTGAGACAACAGACGTTGAGTAATCCAAATTCCAAAGGGTTGGCGATGAGACATCGTTGACATCACATTGCATGGAAAGAACTTCCAGAACTCATCCATATCGTTG